AAAGAAGTTCAACAAACTGTACATACATTGGGTCGGAGGAATCGGACGCTGCGGTCTCCATCGCAGAGGGACCAAAAAAAGAGAATATTGTGTTCGCACGGACCAATTCAATTCTCGGTCCCTTTGACACACCGACTTAACTGCTGGCAGTCCACATTCCCCGTTGCGTGCCAACAAACCGACGGGAATGAGTCCACACTGAGCACTCTCTCACAGATGTTTCAACTAAATATGAAAGTAAGCCAATAGGAGCACTCGACACAATGAAAGGGCAGCGGTGAGACAGCTCATTCACGTACACGATTTAAGCCCTTAAGGCTTAAGAGATTCAACATTGGAGGGGGGGGGGGGTTGCTTTGTTATGTTGACCTCGCGATAAAAAAAGCGTTCGTCCTATTTTGAGCTTCCGGTTATTAAGCTGTTAATTCCTGGGGGTTTTTATTTTATTTGAAATTACGTTTTTGCTTTATTGCTATTATAAATAAATAAACGTAACCGCCCAAATTCGGAGCCATTATCATTCTTTTAAATCATACTTACTGTGCAGTCATTCGCTGAAACACAACACATACCGGTGTTTTGTTTTAATCACGTGTACACTACATCTTGCATGAATAAAAAAAATTAACGCCGCAGAAGTCCTCTCCTCTCCGTGGTCCTCGAGAGAAAGAGCTTCACGCGGCAAAAAGCAACGAGAGCCGGCACACTCACTCAGCCACTCCGCGAGGCACGCGGCATACTGCGTTTTCATAAATAATTTAAATGCATGTCTGTTAGTATTAGCGCGCCCCGAGACGCTAACAGCGACAGATGTGTGGCTATTTATTTAGATATAGGTGCCTCACTCGCGCTGTGGAACATCTCAACTTAATGCGTGTTGAGGCCAAGGCAGAAGTATGGCCCGGAGGGATATTTTTTTTTATTTTATGTATTCCCCATCCCCTCTCCCTCGTTCTGTCTTTTATACGCATCTATGCTTTCCATCTGGCCCGGCCCGGCAGAATGCGTCCCAGCTTCATTCTGGCGATCGGAAAATCGGCACCAAGGACACACTGAATGTCCCCGTCACGATAGGCGATGGCCGAAACAAAATTAAAGTGTGTGCGTAAAAAACACACAAAGTCATTTTTGTAAATTTTGATGTCATCACAGCCCCTTGGACCAAATCAGCTGGAATGCGCCCGAAACTCGTCGGGTACAAGAAGCCAGGGATGGCGAAGCCTTTTGTGCCTGCTGGTCGCCTTGGATGGGCCCCACCAGCAGGCACAAACAGGTAGCGACAGAGCTTCGGGGAGGCATGGGGACTATGTGGTGGACAGTAGAGGGTAGTGCAAAAGAAAAAAAAAACTGGTGGTTATTCTGTACTCTCCCCGCACCTCCCCACGATCTTCACCGACCCCACATTGGCCAACGCGGTCAAATGTCCATGGTCAAATATCCATCGCCAGCCACTCGAGGTGACTGAAGGCCCGCACACCCAGGCAGTTGAAATGACAATCTGTATTGCAAACTCACTTCTTTAGACTAGGTTCTTTTTTTGTTGTCGCGATTAGTTTGTTGTCCTTCCCGCGCACCTCCCATGACCACAATTGGCCTCGTACGGCGCGAAAGAAGTTCAACGTACGTACGAACATCCCCCACGTCGTCCCCCGTGTGTGCTCGGGGCCCATCCATTATCGAGCGCGCGCGCCTTCTCTGTTGTTGTTGTTGTTATACCACACTTTGGACGACGTTCCGGGCGGCACGCGCTGTGATCCAAAAGCTCAAAACGGGGATGATGAGACCTCGCGCCCAACAATGGGCGATGAAGATACAGCGAGCCAGAGCAGTTGTGCCAGAAGCGTGATCTATTGTTTTTTTGTATCTCTCTGACTCTCTCCCCGTTCTATTTTGGGATCAAAATCATCCCAGCGTGGCAGTGTGCGCCCCTCGGCTTTGAACAGAAAAAGAGGATTAAATCCACACTTCTTACTGAATTAACCAAAATCCTTCTCGTACAGGACGTTGTCAGTCCACTGCTGGATGAGCGTCTCCCTCTGGGCACCAGCACAATCCGCAACAAACTAAACCCGCACACGTGTTACTTGAGCGTATTTCACTAGGCTGCTGAGTGCGGATTTGGTGACAGCATAGAAGTACCGTACAACGATGCGCAGATTTTGCTGCACTGCCCTGTAGCAGTGGCAGTGGCTCGCCAACATCACATGATCCCATGGCCTGATGTGATTTATGAGCGCTGGTCCTCTATCCAAGCACCATCCAGGAACAACTCTACATCGCTTCGCTTCCGAGAGCAAGGTACGTTTCGTGCGATTTATAATTGTGTTGTAGCTGATTTCTTTTGAACACGTCGTCGGCTTTCGCGACCAATGTCATCCATCATCCAGGTTTTTTGGGTAAAATCTCATAAATATATAAATGTGTCGTTAAACCCGCCACCACCCGACACAGCCAATTAGTAGGGTTTGTCACGTAATCGGAACATGCCAATTCGTTACTAGTACAGCACACCGGTGTGTTGGAGAGCTAAGCCGCAACATTTACAATCTGAGTACGACGTTTCTCCAGTAATTACAACTAGTTCTCCTTCAACTAGTTGTAATGACTAATTGCAATTAGTTGTAATCACAACCAATTACAACTAATTTCAACGACTGTTCACGTGACAAACCTTACTAATTGGTTGTGTCGGGTGGTGGCGGGCTTAACGACAAATCTATATATTTATTACGCGATATAACCCCAAAAAACCTGCATTATGGATAACTGTTTTCTGTTCATGTTCTCTTAGTGGTTCCACACAAATGTGTTGTGGTTTGGTTCCTCGCGCCTCCAAGTTGTTCTCAAAATATCTCTCTCTCTCTCTTCAAGAGCGAGAGAATACTGCACAGCGAGTTACACGTTGCAACTGATTAATATTTGTTTTGAAGCGATCGCCAGCTCTTGCAAACAGGCGAGGAGGTATACACAATATGCCAGGAGGGCTCCCGCGCATGCCTGGCCCATTACCAAGAAAAACACAGCTTGGCTTGAGAGGGTCATGCCACTCGTAATCTGTGCCACCCCTGGGCTCCGCGAGAAATTCCCTTAACGGGAAGGGTTCTCTCTTGCCTGATTTATTGTGGGAACTGGAAAACCGGGGTTAAGGCATGTAGCGCAGATATATTTTCAGTTCCGGAAAATAAAATAAAAACAGACGTGAACGCCTGACTTTATGGGGGCAACGTTTACGTTTCATATAAAATATCACCCAATCCATAACAAGAGAGAAGAACTGTTTAATACAAGTGACATTTGTGTTTTGTGCAGAAGATCTCAATTGACTACATTTTGAGGGCTCACCCTCCTCACCCTCTGTATCTCTCACCCTCCTCATCCTCTCTACTCTCTCCCTTATACGCTCCTCACACCTCCTCACCTTCCTCTCCCTCTCTCCTCTCACACCTCCTCACCATCTAACCATCTCACCCTCTCTCTCCTCTCACACCTCATCACGCTCCTCACCCTCTGACCTTTATCTCCTCTTAACACCTCCTCACCCTCTTACCATCCTCATCCTCCAACCCTCTCACGCCTCCTCACCCTCTTACCCTCCTCACCCTCTCACGTTCCCCCCCCCCCCACCCAACCAAACCCTCCCACCCTACACACCCTGTCTCCTCTCACACGCACAATGCCAGTCTCACAAGCGGCATCCCGACCGCGTCAGCACCGCGCCCGCACGCGCGTCGCCGCATCTGCCGGTGCCCTGCGTGGCTGCGGCAGAAGGCGGAGGTCCCGTAGGGATCCCTCCCAATTGTGCTCGCAATCAGCACCCCCCCACCCACCCCCGCCCTCTCTTCTATCCTCTCGCACTCTCTCCTCTGACACTCTCACCAAATCTCTCTCTCTCTCTTAAGAATCGCTTCTCTTACCCATCCTCACCGCTTCTCTCGCCGGCTCACCTTCGTAGTATGGTCACAGTCTCACACGTGCGATCATTATGTCACCATCTCTCACCACCCACCCTCACCTTCACGCACTCTCACTCCCTCATTGTCTCACCCTTTCACAAGCTGGTTCCCCCCTCTCACCCCTGAACACTCTCACCCTCGAACACCTCCCACCATCTTACCCCTCTTATCCTCTCATCATCTCACCCACTCGCTGTCACCCTCTCCCCACTCTCACCTCCTAACCCCTTCTCGGACCCCTCGCAATCGGAAAGCCTCGGACAGAGCCAAGATTTCCTACGAAATGTAAGAATTATTGGTGGAGGGTTTTTTTTTTCGCTGTAAACCAGGTTTCTGTAACGAGGTCGCTATAGAAAATGAACTTTAACTGCCCGATGGGTTTTATCCTACGCCAAAATAAAACCTTGACAATGAATATATCGACAGTGGGGTATATTCAGTTCGCAAAGAAGCTCCCAGCACGTGGAGCGAAACGTCGGACATCGTGTCGAACAACACAAAGTCACCACCCCGAAAAACGCACCGGAGAGCTGTGCGTCACAACCGCGAAAAAATAATGCAGTCGTCCACTGCAAAATAACACAGAGAGACACACACACAGAGACACACACCGAGAGACACATAGAGACACAGACACACACACAGAGACACAGAGAGAGACACACACACAGACACACACACAGACACACACACACAGACACACACAGAGAGAGATACACACACAGAGACACACACAGAGAGACACACAGAGAGACAGAGATACACACAGAGACACAGAGAGAGACACACACACAAAGAGACACACACGCACAGACACACAGAGACACAGAGAGACACATAGAGACACACACACAGAGACACACACACAGAGGCACACAGAGATAGACACACACAGAGAGACACACAGACACACACACACAGACACAGAGAGAGAGACACACACACAGACACAGAGAGAGAGACACACACACATACACAGAGACACACACACACAGAGACACAAGGCGGAGACAAGCAAATTGTACAAAATACTGGAGTCTTACTCACCAAGGCACTGTTGGGACGAAGGATCTGGCTCCCCGGGCAATTGCCCACTTGTTTGGCGTCCCGCACTTCTCAATGGATATAGAATATCGATGCGATTCAATTGACACGGAGCTCCAAACCAACAACCTTCTTTGTAAAGAAGAGGAAAGCGAGAAGAGCTCTCCACTACTCAGATGCTGAGCCAGAACCCAGAGACAAGGAGGTTAGCGGGGCGGGGGGGGTAGACTCTTAACATCTGACAAAGCACGTAGCTGTCAAGCCGGAACGTGTTGCAGTCTTCTGCGGAACGCGGCGTCTGGAGCAGAGAGATCCTCACGCTTGTGGCTGCTGTTAAAAATAAAGAAATAATCCACACGCTCTCACTCGCTCGCTCGCTCTCTCTCTCTTCCTCTCCCCGCTCTTGCACCCGCAGTGATGTATGGCCCCCTCCCCTCTCCACACACTCTCTCTCCCACTTGCCCCGCTCCTACACCCGCAGTGAATGTATCAGCGCTCGCAGATGCAGAGACACCAGGACCACGGCGCACCGTCTGCTTCCCACCGCTAGACAACTCCCCCCACAAACCCAGCGCCCCCGGGGCTTTATAACGCAAGCTCCGCGCACACCCCCCCCCCCCCCCCACAATTCGCGCACGAAGCGCAACCAATCGGCTGCTGCAAGAGGAGCCCGGAGAAGAGAGGAGGGGGGAGTCGGCCAATCCGAGGCGAAAACTTGCCGGGGTAAAGACAAAGGCGCAGCCCTGCAAATTTCGCCGATAAGGCCACTGTTGGCGCAAGGGCATTCACGAGAGAGAGAGCTCTCGAGAGCCCTTCTAGATGATATTTGGCCGAGTCCTTCATGCTGGCCAGACGTCTTGGAAGAAGAGGTGGGAGTGCCAACGCTTTTCCCCACCACATGCGATCTGCCGGTTGACACACTCTGGCGTGCTCATGTATACTGCTAGGTGCAGATCAAACCATCGCATTGGATTGCAAATCCTAATGCGCTTAGCATTATACCACGGGGCCCGGTGTCTCCATTCCTCCAGGCTCTATTTAAAATCAGTACCGCTAATACGGAATGGCCAATGTGATTTTCCTTTGGATGGACTTGTCCTCAGCATAGGATTAGGGAATATGCACCACTGGCTCAGAGCAGGTGAACAGACGTTGAGCTGTGGTGAATCCGCATTTTGAGGCTGTGGTATTTCCAACAGTTTACAAAAATGTATAATTATTTCAATGAAACAAAATACTTCCAGCGCTTTGTTAATCCCCTGCTGCTACCCCAGTACGCATGCAACATTGGGCCAACGTTGGCAAGTGGGACGTTGGGTTAAGAGCGTTCCGGCGTTTGCGGGGCAACCATTGCAGGACGCCGGCACATCCGTGCTCGCCGGGGACGGACGCTCGAGATAGAAAGGCGATTGCCTGGCGGTAACATCACCCATGACGGCGCCGTGCGGTCGTGTATTTTCGGCCCAACGTCTTCCCTGTAAGGGACTATTCGTATTTCACACGTGTGACGAGCGTTGCCCTTCAAGGCGCTGTGATCGTTTTGCTCTACACAAAAAGAACATTGGTGGGTGGGTGAGTGAGTGGCTGGATCTCACACAAAGAGAATTGTGTACAAAATGTTATCACGGGCTTCGAAAATAGCCGGGGACAAAGAGAGATGCGCCTGTCTATTAAGCGACGGAAATGTTTTTTGATATGAGAATCGAATGCCCTTTTATGTGCTGGGTTACAAAAAAAGGGCATGAGATTTCTGAGTATATATATTTTTTTATTTCCCGTGTGCACAAAGAGCATTCTATTTGTATTTTTATTTACTGGGTAAATAAAAGGCGAGAGTGTTTTTTTTTTACGTTTATGCCCTGGGTAAATAGAGAGAGTGCGGAGTGTTTATTTTATCTCTGGAGTAAATAAAGAAAATGCCATGTTTACGGTAGAAATAATGGCGGCACGTTACCATATTTAATTGTGTGGGGCGTCGTGGCTATCGCTTTGCGCTACGACCCTGGCAACCTGAGTTCAATTCCCGGCCATAGCGAGGACCGATGTCTGAAAATTTAACCTGCCCCCCCCCATGCCGTGGAGAATCCCACCCCCCCCCCCCCTCCGAGGACCCAACACGACGCAGCGTCAAGTCGACACTACAGCTCCGCCTGCTGAAACATTTCAGGAATTTCCAGCGCGACTCATGAGCCGCTATCTCGGCAGGCATAAATCAAGGCAAAACGGATCGGTGCTCAAATATTCATACACCAAAGTGGCGGTGAAAGCGAACGGCCATATGAAATACGTCCTTCGGCTAAGTGGTATTGAAACGCGTAGTACAATAAATAAATAATTGCTTTCTCAGAATTTGTAATTTTAAAGGGAAGTGCAGTGGCGAATTCCAGATTTTACGACGATGATGATAATGATGGGCATTGAAGAACCATGCCACTCTCCATCATTAGACTGACCTTGCTATTAAATATACATTGTCTTGATCCCAGCTGTGGAAAGATATTTGGTTATTTGGTCTTAGAATACTAATAAAATACCACTACTTACAATACTACGATAATATTACTACGTTCAAATACTACTACTGTATTACAAAAATATTACGACATCCATAAGAGTTTTTTGGGTTAGATCGCGTAAATATATACATGTGTCGTTAAACCCTCCACCACCCGACACAGCCAACTAGTAAGGGTTGTCACGTAAACAGAACGTGTCAATTCGTCACTAGTACAGCACACCGGTGTGTTGGTGAGCCAAGCCACGACATTTACAATCTGAGTACGACGTTTCGCCAGTAATTGCAACTAGCTTCATAAGGTGATAGCCAGATTTGTGGAGAAGTCTTACTGTTTCGTTCCTTATATAGATGCATAGATGTGTTGTTAGCATGTTCTGTTTACATGACAACCCTTACTAGTTGGCTGTGTCGGGTGGTGGCAGGTTTTAACGACACATTTATATATTTACACGATCGAACCCAAAAACCTCTATTATGGATGATATTGGTCGCGAAAGCCTACGTGTTGAACGGAATATTACGACAATAATAGTATTACTTTCAATACTACTAGAATAAAATTATTACTACTACTTAAAATACTTCTACAATAATACTACTACTACTTACACTACTACATTAACACTAATATTACTATACTCTTTGGTTCTTTCGTTAAAGTCACGTAGGTGACTTTTTTCTACCTACGTGACTTTACCGAAAAAAACAAAGAGTATAGATTCCTGAAGTCACGAAAGCTTCAAATCACAAATATTACTACCACTATTCCAATAATATTATTACTATTGCTACACTAACTAAACAGCACAACAATAATACTGCACGATTCCTAATGAAACCCTTTTGCTCGGAATGTCTTTACAGTTCGTGCATTGGGATTATTGGCCAGCTTAACAAAGGAAGCGTTTGGAATTACTCAGAGAGTCCAGAGCTAAGCCACGCATGCGATGGAGTGGTGTGCAAAGTCACGCACAGATTCAAGAATCCACTGCTGTGTTGCCAAACGCCTTGCAACCTCACAGCCCAAGCTTACAATATCCGTAATTTTTTCAGCTTTTTGAGTTTTTTTTTCTTCCATCGTTTCGAACTACCGTTGTCAACTGAGCGGTTTTGACGCTAAATTTATCGACTGTTTACATTTTCCCTGCGGGAATTTTTTTTGTCCAAGTTACAAACGACACATCTAGCGACTTTCACTCCGGACAACATTTGGGAGTGATCCCAGGTCTGCACTCAGGATCCTGTATCGGTTCACTTCTGTGTCAGGAGTGAAGTCACACGACTCCGAAGAAGGCACACACGATCCTCGATCGGTGTCAGCACTAATTTATTCTTTATCCTGTTTTCAACAGCACGTGTTTTGGCGTGGGTTTCGCGTAAATAATATCTGTTTTTGTTTATTCTTCGTGTGCACATTCCCTCCATGCAAATGCCCTCTAACTCGCCGCCACTGCCGATGGTCTCGGTCTGACGTGGTCGTCCGTGGCTCAATCGGCAGCGGGGGGGGGGGGGGCCCTTTCGCAACTTGAAGTAAACAAAAATTTCTCGAGTCTATTCGCTCCATGTAAACGCTTGGGCCAGTTGGCGCGCGGTGGCATCATCATCGGTGACTTCAGACGCTCCGCCAGAACGACGCCTGGGCTGGCGACTTTTTGTTTTGTTTGTGCGAGGCTCGTTTGCGGCGACTTTCTCCTTCAAGAGCGCCCCAACCCTCCGCCCCTTCGCACCCTGCGTCGAGGAAACTCTCGTCGCTTTTAAAGCGAAATCTACACAAGAAATATTAATACATTTTAAAAATTCAGCAGCTGCCCGGGAAGAGCCCCAAAAACCGCTCGCTCGGCTCATTGCTACACGCGGGGGCGGCCACGCTGCCCCTTGGTCGTGCACTTTCTCAATGACCACCATTATGCAAGAAGGTGTTCCGTTGCGTCAGGGGAGAGACATTTAGGCCCTAAGTGGGGTGGGCGAGGAGCCCCCGACAATGTCCCTCGTTATGCCCCGGCAGCCCGGGCTGGACTGGCGCACACACGGCATCCTACTTCTTCAAAGTGCCGAGCTGGCTGTCGGTGAATAACGGGGGGGGGGGGGGTGCATTGGGGGGGGGGGGAGTGGTGGGGTATTGGGGGGGGCACAACTGTGGCAGCCCCCCCTCCTACTCCCCCCCCCCTCCTACTCCCCCCCCCCTCCTCCCGACCGACTCGCCCACGGTCTTCGCAATTCTCCAGCCAAAAAACAATCGAGCTCCTTGTTTCAAGTGGGGGCGCGCAACAAAGGTGCGCTGCAAATCGAGTTGAATTTGCTTTTTATTTTATTTTACTACCCCCCCCCACCCCCCCCTCCCTCGGTGGGAGTGAGCGAAATGCAACTGTGAAGGAGCCTCGTTGTGCTTGTGCAGAAGCAAATTGACGGCAATTAGCTTAAGCTGGAGGATTTGAGCGCAGCAATGGACCGGCCTGTAAATCGTATCCCCTGCGAGTGTCGGGCCGCGGTATTTTGTGTGTAAACAGTCGTCATGGCCATGTGCCGTTTTAATAGGGGACCCGGGTTATTAAAAGTAACAAAATACATGGAAATAGATGCGTGTTTCCCCCCCCCCTCCTCCTCCCAACTCCTCCTTTTAAAATGTCAGGCCTTTCCATTCAAAAACACTCCAGTAAACAAAATAGCTTTCTCTCCAACTTGACGTTCCCATTTTTTGAGAGAGGGATGGGACGACGCGAGTGCAGCAGTAGATTCCGTGCAATGAATGGACACTCCGGGTGACGTTGGACGACCGTCATGAACCACCGGCATCAGAACATCACAATTGCCAAGATGTTATCGGTGTGCGTACGTGTTTGTTGAACTTCTTTCGCACCCGTACGCAGCCAACCGTGCTAATCGGAGGTGCGGGGGATTCTCGAGAAAAAAATTTGTTTTCGATCTCGATTTAAAAGTGCACAGCTCCAGTGGCTTATGGGATGGAAGAGCGTTCCAGAGGGCAGCAGAAGCGCATCTGAAAGCGCCACGCGATGCGGTGACCGCCTTTGTTCGATGGCTCGCCAATTAGCCGCTGCTGCGAGGAAAATCGAAGTTCGCCCGACGGTTTATGCCCCTTGATGAAAATGCCCCCCCCCCCCAAAAAAAAACCCATTGCACGAACGCTACGGACACCCCCGTGCACAGAGACTCAGGCGACGCTCCACAGCGTGAACGCGGTGAGCGCTTTCAAACGGCCAAACAACTGCCCACTACCTAGATTATTGTGTGCCTGTGTGTGTGTCTCCCTCTGTTTGTCTCTGTGTGAGTCTCTCTCTCTCTCTCTGCCTGTGTGTCTGTCTATGTGTCTCCGTGTCTGTGTTTTGTCTCCTTGTCAAATTTAGCAATCTTTGGAAGAACGTAATCAACCAGGTGGGGTGTTGACTGTTGTGTTGGCCGACTGTCTGGGTGTGTATTGAATTATATTTCCAAGTTTACTGTTTGTTTTCTCATTCATGTGTACCTGATGGTGGTTGCTTGTGTTGCAATAGAAACGTGGTATTCTATTATTATTTAACTTAATTTCTTTCTACGTGACTTTACCGAAAGAACCAGAAGAGTAAATGCCCACTACATAATGCTCGTTGCCCCGCAACATCCCTGAAATTCACCACGACTCTCCTGGCGGCCTTGTGCGCCGATCTGATGTTCCTCCAAACGGGCATCGTCACATCGTCACCATCCAAGCTTTCATTTCACCCGGCGACAGCCAATCGCGCTTGCGTGGGCGATCAGGTTCGTTACAAGCGGCTGCGAACACGCGTTGCTCGTGAAGAAGGGCAGCGCAGCCAAACACAACGATGGACTGTATAATGCCGCTACGTGTGTGCTCCCCATCTTCACCAACCCTCACTGACCAGTGTGCTGAAGTATGATCAACTAATCCCACGCTCCCCCCCCCCCCCACACACACATCCAGCACAGTGTGCAGCGCCCCTCATCCATCAGTGGATTGACACAAGGGACTAAGCGCGTACATAAGAACTCTAAGCTTCTATTAGCAGGCAGACTTCAGCCCATGGCAGCCACATTTAAAGACACTATCCTCAAGGCTACGGTGCCCAGCGAGAGAGAAAGCTGATGGCAGACAGAGGCAGCCGCTTCGAGTGGAAACAGCTCTGACCTTTTCACCTCTGCCAAGGGTCCCTAACCCAGACTCCCAGTGGAGGCCGTGAATGGGGGAGGGCGAAGGTCCTTTCCTGTGCGGCTAAAACTCCAGCCTCCACCCAAACACAGCCGCCGTGTCCATTAAACTAAGGAGGCTTTTTTCACCTTTCAACGTCCGATGTATTTTTTTGTGGAGCGGTGGCACAGTGGTGAGCACATCGAACTACGAACCGGGCCATCTGAGTTTGTTTCAAGCCACGGCGAACATCAGTGGCGAGTGATGTCCAAACTGCTTCTGGGCCCCCTGATTCACCAACCCGCACTCACCCAGCGGGTTGAAGTATGGTCAAACAGGCCCCACGATTGGTGTGACACGGGGAGGAGGCCTCTATCCAGCAGTGGATTGGCAAAAGGCTGTGAATTGAATTGTCTATTTTATATCGACTTGGTGCATGCATTCACTTACATACTTTTTTGTTAATATTAAACATGTAGGTATACTTGGCGCAAGACATAGGCATGCAAAGATGCATCAGTTTGCTAATTACAGTAATATCAATTCTCGAAAGCTACGACACATGCATCGGATCACGTAAGAATTTATGCCCTATCGATTTAAGTAGATTACAAGCAAATCATGCATACTCTTTGGTTCTTTCGGTAAAGTCACGTAGGTATCAAAAATAATAGATCACGAAATATCCATCGGTATGCAAAGCAATCGTCATCATCCGCCTGATGACTGATTTGCGTTGCGATCGAAACGTCGTGATCTATTATCTCTACCCACGTGACTTTACCGAAAGAACCAAAGAGTATTGATTCCTGCAGTCACGAAAGCTTCAAATCAAGAAGCAAATTATATTTAGACTAATGGGAATTGTACAAACCAGACATGAGAGAAACAATACTAATGAGATGGTGACGAAACAAAAGTAATTGATTAATTACAGTCTAACGACAGCCCTGAATAGCACAACTATTTGAAACACCAGGGCGCAGATCACCACAGCGTCCAGTAGCAACCCATCTTGTGCGTATTTGAGTCGAGAGTAAAAATGATGCAAAGGGTTCGTCCAATTTCCCAAAGTAGTCAAGTGCCAGTATTTCATTCGAGACCAGGCTTCTCTGTAATTCCTCTTGTACACAAAGCACAAGCGCTAAACCTGCCACTCAAGCGAATGAGGTCCCATAATTTAACTCTCCGACCAGCCTCCACACCCTCCATACATTGATTTGATCATTCACACCTTGCCTACGAGACTCTTAACTCACCCAAGGATGCCCAGGAAACATGAACCTGGAACGCACGAAGGCCAATGCATCGTCGTGTATACGTTCAATGATTGCGCCCTTACCTACTCGCGTTATTATAATCTGGGTAGCCGAAACATCGGCATAGCTTGGAAAGATGAGTCAATTTGGTGGATTACTCAACAAAAAATCGTAATAAATTACCATTTTGGAGTCGATTATGCCAGGTCCTTTTAAAAATGGCGGTCATCCCAACAACTTGCCTCGTGAAGGTGGGAAACCCCGTTACAAGCCAGGCTCAGCATGGCTCGGTTGATGATGCAGGTGACATTAAGCCCCGTTCATTCTCTCATCCAGCGGTACAAGTAAAAAAAAAACATCTTTCCCCCGAAATATTATTGAGTTATTCGATTTGTCAAGGAATCGTATCGTTAAACCATAGAGTAATTTATGCCCTAAATAACTGGATAATGCAGCTCTAAATATTGGCTTAAATTGCTCACTGTGGTGAGACTTTTATCTTGGTTAATTTTATTTCACCCACAATGTTCTGCAACAGAACATCACAAGTTTGTGTTTTTAGCCTGTCATGGTTTGTTTGGAATGGCGAATTATGAATACGATGTTGTTGATGCAATTCAGCAAAACTAAAATGTAACAAAAAACATAAAAAGGAAAAAACCAATGTTTTGCAAATATACACTGCACATTCTACGGGCACATACAAAGTTAAAGTGCAGCCCTGCAATGTTTTTCTTAAGCCACTGCTCGCAAAATAGCCTCCACTAGAGAGAGCTCTATGGAACCCTTCGAGAGGTATTCTAAATTCTAGATTTTAAGCTTTCGTGACTGCAAGGATTCATACTCTTTGTTTTTTTCGGTAAAGGCACGTAGGTAAAATAATAATAATAAAACTAAATTAAATCACGTTTCGGAGGCAACACAAGCTTCCGTCTTCAGGTGGAACAGTCACAGCAAGATAGCTGCATCAAGTGAGGAGCTCTGAGACACTCGAGCTTATATACAGGTTAAGGGGGGGTGGAGGAGCCAAGACGGGGATGATGATGAGGTGCGGGGCTAAGTTAATCCGTCTTTTTGTTATGCTGAGGGTTCGGGGGTTGTCGTGGTTCACTGCACGAGGGCAATGGAAAAAAAATGGCTGTGCACTTATAAGGTAGCTAAATTTTGACTTGGTTTATGACATCTTTCCAGTGGTTGCTTAATTTAAAACCATTTTCTAAAGGCACATGATACTCGAGATATTTGGCACGGCAAAGGAACCAAGAACATTCACACTTTGTACACGGGCAAGTCACCCGCACAAGAATGGTTGATGTTCGTCTCGACACTGACAAACCCAGTGGTCTGATTCTCTGGTCCCCCCTCAAACGGATTATAAATATATCCCTGGCTTAATTTAATTACAACATAGGTTTAGACTTCGCAAGGCTTAGCGTGAATAAATCATTAGTTTACATATGAATTCTCAACTATCCAATGCTTTAATACAATGACAACGAAGCATCGCTGCATATAGTTTATTCCCAGAAAAAAATAACTTTGTGCAGAAATGATTTATAGTACAAATTAGAATTTACTCATATTCATTACAAGGTCATTCTAATTACGGGTAACATTCCATCACTTCCGCAGACCATTAGAGAAAATATTTTACGCAAAAAAAAACACCAGCAACAACAAAAAATTACAGACGTCTGCGTACGGCTCCCCAATATACACATAGCTCGCATACACTCATCCGAGTAAATAACAGCGCTCGCTAACCCAGGTCTAAGAGAAACGCCGCTCAAGTTCCCGCGGCTACCGCATGTCTTGTTCAGCGTGGCATCTCCTTGGGTACCTCTTCAGAAGAAAAAAACACCAATATCGACATTATTCAGCATCACAGAGCATCACGTGAAGAGGTCAAAGTTCATGAGGCACTGCTTCATTTTCTGTTTCAACAGAACCGAGAGCATTCGGGTTGCCCCCCCCCCGGGATCGGACGTGGCACGTGTTTAAAACGGGAATCTCGCAGAGGGGGTTCCCCCCGCTTTGGAACGATGGTCAGGTGGCGGCGGCGGCGGCGATGGGTTACGGGTGCCACGGCGAGGATCCGGTTCCTGGGCCACGGCGACTTGGGTGACCTTCCCGAGCGGACGTTGGGAGGGGGGGCGACGCGATCACGGCGGAAGTGACAATTGTCCAGCGTCGTCTGCCGAGTCTAAAATGCGACACATCAGGGATGACTCCACCTGCAGGGGGCACAACAAGGAGCATATTGTTCATTGGTTCACACAAAATTATTATGAATATGTTTAACAACCCTCATGTAACGTGTGACAAAAAAAGAAATGTCCTTTATTTATCTAAGAAAGCCTCACTAAGTCCCAGAACTCTTATTTTTTCACGAGGGACCTGCATTGGCATGTTTGATCAATTCAAATTCGTGGGTGGTTTCCATTTGGGATGAAACCAGAGTGCATTGAGAATAATTACACGGATTAGGGATGGGGGGGGGGGGGGTAATACTCAGAGCTCCACACACTCAAAAATATAACAAAGCATTGACTTGTCCTGGTCACCTCGCAGCTCAAGCCGACCAACGCCTGCCATTCTCAGGCAACCTCCTATTTGTGTACTGAACGGGCTCAACACTACTTCGCGTCTGTGTGATCGAACACATTCATTCAGGGTGATTTTGTAATGGGCACTGGCCCGATACTGTTTTTCATACCGGATTTGCATTCCGTAAATAGTGTTGACCAAGTTCTTACAATTTTAGGAATTGCTTCCCGTAAACCCCGTGTAGCCGTGCGGAATCTTAAGCGAGGTGTCTTAACTGCTGCTCCAGCTGGAGGTCACGCTAAGCATGGCCCAGTGCTGGGTCGGCTCAGTGTCGAGTTTGCACGCGCAGTGGCCGAAAGATCGCACGGGGACTCCGTGCCAAACCCAGCGCTGCTCGGGGAATGCTGTAAACACTAATAGTAAAAATTATCATTTATTTTTCATGGGCACATAGTCCTTTGAAATATGGAAGAGGGGCAAATTGTTGGAGGTGGAGCAACTATCCAACTCCCACTAATTATAACCCTAACCACACTGGCCAATCACAATATAGCCTTGCTACTAACAGCAATGCTAACCAAACACTACTCCTACTAAACTTGCCAAAGCAGATACCAACCCTACCCATAACCCTAACCATATGAGCCAATCAGACCATAGGCCTTCTACTAACCAGAATCTTAACCACACAAGCTAATCAAACACCATCCTTACCCGTAACCTCAATGACACGAGCCAATTACAAGTTATCCCTGCGAATAATGGTAGCCCAACTGAACACTAAACCTAATCCCAAGCCCTAACAAACGAGTCAATCAGCTCCTAGCAAGGAACTTACCTCGACCCAGACCCAAAAAAACATAGTCCAAGCTGGATCTTAACGCAGGCCTGTTTAACTTGTCATTCCCTTTACAAGACAAAGAAAATTAGTTTTCCCAGTGGTTAATTGGTAACAAGCCCCATATTTGTATAGTTAAGAGGATGGCAAAAAACATAGCAAGTGTCTACATGAATTTGAAAGTGCCTATTCATGCAGCCACCTACTTAAGCTGCCTTAAAAATATACACGCACACTCAGCATATCTCACAGTAGACTCTTCATTTCTATTTATTCATGGGCTGATACGTAGACGGCTGGAGCGGTGTCGAAGTCACGTGAGACCTACCAATCTGATATTTATTCATCACTATAAGCATTTTAGCTGCCCTAATCGGGGAACAGAGGGGAATATTTTCAACCTGGCAACATTGGGGACTCTCCAATCCACTCGCTCTTGACCCTTCGGGCCATTAAAATAAAAACATGGGGCAATCGATGCGAATCATCAATTATTAAGGAAATAAATGGGTATGGAGCCTTGAAAAAAACCTACAATTTTACTGGAGTCACCGTGGCCTTGAGAGCATTAGTTTGCTCCAGCAAAAACGCAATCAGCCATTAGCGATCTCAACATAAATCTGCGGTTGCCTCTTAATCCACAGTTGTCCCTTAACCACTGTACTATTATATTCTTGGTTCTTTCGGTAAAGTCACTTGAAGGGAAACAATAAAATAATAAAATATATATAAGAAACATTTGAAATGTTTCTTACCGTTGGTTTTCACACCTGATGATGACTGTTGTCTTATATATATTTTATTGTTTCCCTTCAACGTGACTTTCCCGAAAGAACCAAGAATATGAATCACTGCAGTCACGAAAGCTTTAAATCACTGTACTATTGTCTCTTGAGCAAGTCTTTTTGGTACCATTTCCACAATGATTTAAACAAAAGCCATCACAAACCAGTGAGTCTAAACATTTAGGCTTGTGATGGATTCAAACCACAAGCGATTCAAATTCGAGATTCTATTTTTGTTGTCTTAGTTTTTTTGGAACTCATTTGTATTGATTCGTATTCTTTCGTTTCTACAGTTCTCCATAAGCCCAAATGCATCATGGGTATATAATTCGTGTGCGATTTGCATAATTGATTCTCATGTGCATAATTCGATGCATCGATACATGCTTACATAAGAGAGACAATAACAGTTTGTATAGAAATACACAAGAATCTCACGAGACTTTCAGGTTATTTACTGATGTTTTTTTTTATTTTATTGGCAAAACGTTCAACCTCGTTTAGGCAACAACACTCGTCAAGGTTTCAAGTGAAGGCCGGTTAAACATGCATCCCTGCAGTTGCTTGCAAATGCCACTGCTGGCGGAAAGGCCTACACAAAATGGAGCTCAAGAGAGCCCCTTCTACAGGGTATGGGGCATACTCTCCCAGGCTGGCCAAACATCTTAGAAGATGTGGCAATACTCACACCTTTATCTCACCACACGTGACCTGCCGAATCGACCTAACTGTCGTTTACCCATTTATTCTGCTGTGTGGACAGAACCGGGGGGGAGGGGGGGGGGGAGGTCGGGGGGATTTAAGATACTTGGACATTGTTGTAACTGCCACATCAAAAGATTTAATAAAACCGGCAATCTCTGGAACCCAAGTCCAGTGTGCTAACCATTTTACCACAGCAGCACCCCGAAGGCAGGTAATAAAGAGTTATTTAAAGGTTGAGAGATCCAATAACCAGACAGTACCTTTCAAATAGGCATAAATAACTTTAGCAAATGATAATCCATGGCCCTGTGCACTTCTCCACCCATCCACGCAAATGAATTCGACATTATTCCTGACAAAAAAGTATCATATTTCTTATTTTCCCAAAAATATATAATATCGCTGTTTACACAACTGATTTGGACTTCGCCCTCACATGCACATTTGATTAACATTCTTACAAGTTATGAATATCATGTGCTCTTACACCGACGCTGTGAATCATCACACTACAACCCTCTGGCAGCTGTTACGGTTCCACAAACGTCAGCCAAAAAGCAAGCAGCCAATTTTAACCAGGGAGGTTTGAGTGGAAAACACACAAAAGCGGCAACAAAACGGCTCTGCTTTTTACATAACCCGCGGAGCAAATGGATTAAAAAAAAAATACACCGCTGCCAATTGAACGATCAACATTTATTCACGCAGCTCCCCTTAAGCCACCCTCTTTATCAGCCACAGCAGATGCCGCGGACTTGCAAAACACAAATCTGTCCTCAGCAAAGCATGAGCTTAGGGGCGGAAGTGTGCTCACTCTCCCGTACTCCCGCACGCGCTAGCCTGTTGGCCCACTGCCTGTGCCATCTGTGCGGGACGAGCGTTTGCAGTGGCCGTCTGCCAGGTGAAACCGAGCACCTGTGTCGTCCACGACTCGCGTGTACACTCGCACACCACCCGCATTCTTTTGATCGCCGCTGCGATGGCTCCCTGAACAATACCATTAACGTCCTTCCTGCATCGTGCATGCCACAGCATTTGCTTTGCAATAGAACTGAGACGATGAGATAATTAAGTAAATATGAACATTTTTTAGATTGCGGCCGATTACCCCGCTCCCTACTCTTTGGTTCTATTCGGTAAAGTCACGTAGGTAAAAAATAAAACAACAAAAATCACGACGTTTCGGCCACAACACAAGCGGCCTTCATCAGGTGAAGGGACCACACTGTCTTGAAGACTGCGCTTTTTTCACTCCAGCGCAGTCTTCGAGACAGTCTGGTCCCTTCACCTGATGAAGGCCGCTTGTGTTGTGGCCGAAACGTCGTGATTTTTGTTGTTTTATTTTTTTACCTACGTGACTTTACCGAATAGAACCAAAGAGTATGGATCCTTGCAGTCATGAAAGCTTCAAATCTAGAATACCCCGCTCCACTTTTAGAAATTGGTAGTCGACCCGACATCTTGCCTCCCGAAGGAGGGAAACCCCCTATAAGACACGCCCAGTGTGGTGCCACTGATGACATGATAGTGTCATCAAGCCCCACCAATTACCTCTCGGCGAGCAGCACACATGGGAACAGAGGTGAGACTTTATTACAACTATTTTTGTGTTATAAAAGTAGTCTGGTAATTGAAGTGATCACCAGTCGAGTAATGGACTATTTGAATAACCGAATAGCTAAGCGATATCTTGAAGTGCTCGTGTGCACGCAGTGCTTGTTGGCTGATGCGTAGTCGAGCACGTTGCAAGCAGCAACAAGCCATGACTTAAAAAACGAACATCTTACACTGTGGAATGAAAATGTCCAAGTTTGGAAAAATCATGTGCACGAATGGATGCTTTCCAACTTCCACTTGTCTTCGTAATCATTGAAATAGCAGTGTGTAAGCCGGTGGCTGTTAGGGCAAAATGTGTTTACATCCTCGGAATATAGTGGTTTTTCTCTGGTTTGTGTCACTAAGTTTTAGGCAACCTTTTGATCAATTTGGCAAGTTGTCTACGGTGCTAGTCCTCACCCATGAGAGCAATACATTGTTGTAATGTTTTGCTCATACTGGCTCATCTTTACCAGTCATTGTTTGCCCTACCCATTACAGACGGGTGGTATGTAATGCGTTAATGCGTTCAAACTTTGATGAAATGCGCTGAAAAACAAGAGCATCCTGTGACTCACCCCGAGTATGTACTGGCAGCTGTGGGGTTCCAGCATGTACACCGTGACCGCGTGCGGGGAATCGGACTCTTTACATCTGAAAATAATTCAACATGCTCAAATCAAAATAGATCATGTAAACATTACTCTTCGATAATAACAGTAATTTTTATTTTTATATATAAAGGTGTATCACTTCGGCACGACGTATGAATTCAGCAGCAGACAGTCAAAAGAGTCAAACAGTCGGTGAGCGATGGGCACGCGAGTGGGAGGACAGTTCAATCCTGGATGTGCAGGAACTTCGAGAAACCGCAAGTGAAATGACCAGCTGAGGATTGTGCAGCCTCTCACTCTTTGTGCCAAATACAATATTATGCCCCAGAAAAAAGCTCTTCAAAGCCAAAACATCCGCGGCCTTTGTAACTAGTCTACTTTGGGATGAGCCCATTCGCTACTTGCTGAAGGCTTCTAGAGAAATGCTCTCATTCATAAAAAAGCAGCTTTAGAAAGGAATGTGGCAAATTGGCCAAGGAGAGTGTCTCCCCCTTATGGCTGTCGTCCATGTCAGAATCACCCGCAGTCATGTACACCGAGCCAGTTCAAAAATGTATCCGTAAGAGGCTGTTATTTCCTCGCAAGAAGTCCTTTCTAGCTCCATTGTAGAGAGATCAGCATTTTTTTATTTAAAGTTTTCGTGACTGCAAGGATTCATATTATTGGTTCTTTCGGTAAAGTCACGTAAAATATAAAACAATAATTGTTTTATATTTTTATTATTCTATTGTTTCCCTCTACGCAAAATTATTGTTTTATATTTTTACTATTTTATTGTTTCCCTTCTACATGACTTTACCGAAAGAACCAAGAATATAGGTCAGCATTTGTTTTCAAAGACCGGTGACTGACAAGAGCAATGTCTGTTACTGTACGGATCAAGGTGATAAACAATAGAAAACAACAGCAACAACAACAAAACAAAACTTCTTAGCCTCAGAATAAAGATGCATTCAGAGGATGTAAGGAATCTCATGGGAGCATAGAAGTATAAACAATATTAGAAGTTCAGAAGAGAATGCAACAGAGTATTAGAGATGTAATGAAGAAAAGGAGGTTTGTGATGGGAGGAACACGTGTACAGGATGGAGGAGGATCGCAGCTTACCAAGACAGGCATTATAGAGGAAGGCAGAGGTTGCTGACCAGAGGAAGAGACAGAAAGCCCAAACGCTGATGGTGATGAGACTGCACGAGTGGTCTTTGAATCAAGTGTTTATTGTGTAAAAAGAAGGCCGAAAGCCAGATGGCGGTAGTGCTGAGACCCACAGAGCGGACCTTGGAAATAAGAATTAACTTGTCAACAGCGACAAGGTGTAGCAGACACAACCCAAGGTGAGGTGTGGTCACAAATGGCATGAAATATGATGACCTCTTAACGATTCGTTTTAAAGTTAAGGAGAGAATGTCAGTAGAGGGCCAGGTTACCATGTCACCATGTAACCTGGCCAGGAGATACGTGACTCACTTCAGCTTGACGATAACTTGTCTGGGCTTTCCGTTTATGTCGCACACGTCCCCATGGCCATAAAAATGTGACACGGATCTGCAGGAACAAAAAGTGGCAATGTATCAGTTATCGCCATGGGGTAGGTAATGTCCACGCGCAATTAATACTCTTTTACTGGTATATCTGAGCCACGCCCACACGGTAAGGGTGATTACGACTGGCGATTTGGCTATAGGAGCCAGAACCAAAACCCGAAACTGGCCACACAAGACAACCGAAGGCAAGGCAGTGGGGGTGAATCATCTTCATCATATAATGCAACTCGCTCGCTGCGCGTGAGAAAACAAGCTGGTGCCTCCTGACCCGAGCATCAGGCTGGCTCGGCATGGCCCCGGTATGGCTCAATTGCACAGTGGAAAACAAACAGGTGTGTGAGGTCCTTCACCAAAAGGAGGTAGCCAGGAGGTTCAGGGGAGTCAGTGCACTGGGGGCTGCCACCCGCTGAGATTCCGGGGTTCTAATCTGGACAGCCACTCGTGATTAGAGCAGGTTGTCAAGTGTTACCAGCTGACAGCGTTAAAATAAATTTGTATTTTAACATAAATTGGCGAAATCACAGCTCTGATAGAGATTTTTTTGTTGTTTCATTGACAAGCAACGAACGTTTATTTCTGCAGCAGGAGACGTGGACAAGTGAAGCACCGCTAGTTTAAAAAACCGGTCACTCGAAGGGACCTCAGAAGTTCCGTGATGCCACCATTCCAAGGGTCATTGTCTAACGTGGGGTGATGCGCTGAGATCCGAGAGTTCCAAAATGAACATTTCTGCTTCTCATGACTTGGTGTTGATGACGTAATTGGAATAACATCCAGCAAAAGACAATTGTAAAAAAAAACACACATCACAAGGGTACGCTGATTTGTCACGTGCTATAACCGATACCTTTAATTTGTAAGTAATCCATCCCATCGTTGCACAAGGATCCCTTGTAAAAAAATAGATATTGCAACTCATGACAATTTATCCATGTTTTAAAGGAAACTAGATTGAATTGATAATGTAAAACGGTAGAGGTGCAACCCTGCATCTGCTTGCTCACCCCACTGCTGGCACAAGGGCCTCAACTCGAGGCAGCTCTCAGAGAGCCACTCTGGAGGGTATTTTGGCCTATTCTTCTCCGGTGGCCAGACGTGGGAATGCCCACACTTTACCCCACCAGGCTCACCGTGGTGTACCCATTTATTACTGCTGGCTGGAAAGCGGCAGGGGGAATTAAGAAGACCACACGATTGTTCCAAATACCGCACGGCGAGACCGATCCAGCTACCTTTGGGATGCAGGTCCAGCGTGCTAATCATTAAAGGGTTGCACAGTAGCGAGATGTTAACTACCTCGCATGGTATACAAGTTGTGGGTTCCATACCGACCCTGACGGTTGTATATTTGGAGTTTGCATGTTCTCCCTATGGTCGCGCGGATTTTTCCCCTCCGGTTTTTCCCTTCACATTTAGAAACATGCGTTTGGAGTATTTGGCTGCTTTAAATTTCGACATGATAAGCCACTTTGTTTAGCTATCATTTGTGGCCATGTCACTTCTGAAAAAGAGCTATATAGCTAAGTAGGTCTGACCTGGTAAAATAAAAAAAGTCTAAGAGTTCAATTATACCCCAACAACTACTCAATATCGGAGCACAGTCCACGTACTTGATTTTGAGAGTACCATCGGCTGCGCGCTGGTAGGCACGGGGGGTGCTTCCCTTGGCCCAGACCGCGTGCTCCTCCTTGTTCCACGTGCCGACCACGATGACCGTCCTCGTGCCATCCTTCTCCTGATCACGTGCGGACGTTACACGCGAAAGCAGTCATTCGCTCACTTCGTTCACCCGCTCTTCTTAGTCACCTGCTCACTCACCAACGCACTCGCTCACTCAATCACCCGAACTCGCTCATCTGTTCACTTCCTCACGCACCAACGCACCCACTTGCGCGCCCAGCAACTGGCCCACTTGACTAGCCGACTCACTTTCTCATCCGCTTGCTCACCTACCTGGTCACTAACTTACAATTCACTTGCTCGCTCACCCACCCGATCACTCACTTGCTCAGGTCAGTCGAACACTTACACACTTCTTATTTAGAAAATTGCCTCAGGGCAAATTTCTAGTTATTTATGCGCAGAATCTCTGAAAGCACACTGCTCTTAAAATCTCGAGTGATAAACAGCCCAAATCAACTTTACTTACTTTAAAGACATAATGCATGGCCCAGCAGCAACACAATCGCCGCATTGTTGCAGGGTTTCACGCTTCTTATGGAATCCAACGGCCACTCTCATTATTACTGCGGGTGTAATAACTGTAACAATACGCACAATCGGCTTCACAGTGGACGTTAAAGATCCCCTGACATCATGAGCAGAGACTAGGATGATGAGCGCCAGCTTCCGTGTCGGAAATTTTAAAATTACGCACAAAAAGCTCAATTGGGATTGTGTACATAGCAATCATCGCCCCACCATACTGGCAGACCAAAGCTCCCCCAGATAACTCTTGTAAATGAAAGGATGCTGGTCTTGAATTCTCACCTGGTTAAACAAAATACACCCGTGTTTCATACTCTTTGGTATGGATTCCTGCAGTCACGAAAGCTTCAAATAAACTCCTGTTTCAATCGAGCTGCTGACAGTTCTGCACCTCCCGATTGACTACGTACGGTGGGAAATAAGTTCAACATACATGCATACAGTCCGTATACAATGATGGCCTCAAGCCATGCGTGATTGTGATGTAGTCGTGGCAGTGGTGGTGCTCGTAAGAGGCAACACAAACCTCGTGGTATTGATGCACGTGCCTGCCATAGCACAGTTCATACTTCCACCACCCGACGCCCTGTGCCAGAGGAGGACAACAGGCGCCGGTAAACATTTCACATGTTATTTATGTAGTTTATTGTAAAAAAAAATCCGGTCACAGTCCCTATGATCACTGTTACGTTGCAATTATGGCTTTATTTTTTGGTGATTTGGAAAACGTTTTTTTTGGTTTGGACATGTTTGTTTTGTTGTAGTACGGAGTTAGACTGATGGCCTTAATCTAAGTTTTCCTGTGGTTGTTATTGTTGTTGACTTGCATCCCACTGGGATTTTTTGCACACAGCGTTGGTGTACGGTGCTTTTTTCAGGAATATTTTTGCTGTTTTTTTTTCCATGGATTTTCTGTTTGCACAGTCACATAGTCACTTTAAGATGTTTTTCTTGTTCGTGTTTTTGTTTGTTGTGGTTGCACCCGATTCAAGAGCCGAATGGCTCACAGGGCTATACCAAAATAAAAAAAAACTGAAATTGAAACACGCTGAAATGTATTGCAAATGTCATCACTGTCATCATAGTCAGCTATGATCCAGCCACTGCTGGACGAAGGCCTCTTCAACCCATAGTTCTTTCCCACGTTCTCGCAGTGCAAGAATCCATTTGCTGTTGCACACGAGCCGACTTCATTGCTCTACTTCTATTATAGGCATCCTCTCATTAATGCGAACGTAGGTAAAATACTGTACATATTGATCGGCTACACATTTAATAGTTCATAATTTACTCATCATTTAGTTTAATAAATTGTCCGTTAGCGACCACATATTAAGGCCGGCAGGGCACGTTGGAGAATGGGTGGACAGCACTATGCCCGGTAGCCTTTCCTCCTGGTTACACACCGTACTAGCCCTAGGACCAGTTCAGATATTTGTCACCGACTATGGCCCTGAGCAGGAATCGAACGAGGGTTGCCGGGTTCATCGCACAGCGCACTAACCACTACAGTAGCACTTACGATGAGCCCGAACATGTGCGTGGGCACACAAACTACCCCCGTGAAGCCTGAACAGACTGTTGGGGCAAGTGCTGCAAGTGAGCACCTATGAAGGCCGGCACGGCACACGAGGCGGTGGGTGGCCAGCACCACACCAGGCCACCTTTGCCTCCCCAGTGGTGATGTTTTTACACACCGCACCAGGTACTTATTTGAGGCTGAGACGACTTATGGGAGAGGCCCAGAACTGGGTTAAAAAAATCGTCACTGGTGTAGGCCGTGAGCGGGAATCGAACTCGGGTTGCTGGGTTCGTAGTGCAGCGCGCGAACCACTACACTTCCGCTCCCCGCTGCACACACACACACATACGCGCGTGTGTTTGCGAGGGCTAACCCCGTGGAAGCAGTGCGATCCGGCCAGGAACGCTCGGAGAAGCTGCTCGTCAGTCACAGACGAGATGAGCGTCATCGTCCTCTGCCCGCCAACCTGTGCCGTGGCACGAGACTTGTGGGCCTGCTCAGCCGCCTTCATCGCCAAGTCAGGTGGGGCAGATTTCTCCTGCACGGCCTAAAACAGCGAAGATGATCGTGAGTTGTGCGCAGTTATTCAACTCCAACACTTGCCTTCCTTGCTGCACTCAGGCACCGGATGTCGAAAGCGTTAATGTGTTATCTCTGTCCAGCTGTGCCTGTCTGTAGTGGGGGGGGTCACAATAACTTCTGTAAAGATGACCCAATGTAAATTACATTATAGAAGGTCCAAAGTAATCAAAGTGTTACGCAAAACTATACGAAAAAGAATGATGACAACAAAGGACGTTGATCATGATCAATGATCTCAATAATAATGGTAACAATGAAAATTACAACAATGATGGCTGACCAGGCTTGGCCCAAGACCCTCACAAGCTCCACCTGGTTCGTGGAGTTCAAATGAGGGTTCTGTGACCTCGGAGGCGACCTGAGAAGCAGACTTGACCCGTAACCTGTAACGACCGCGACCCCAAACTTGTAAAAACCTTGACCCCTAAAACGTAATGAACTTGATACCTAACCCACAACGACCTTGACCTCTAACCCACAACGACCATGACACCTTACCCACAACTACCTTGACCCTTAACAAACTTGACCCCTAACACACAACTACCTTGACCCCTAAATCCACAACGACCTTGACCCCTAAATCCACAACGACCTTGACCCCTAACACACAACGACCTTGACCCCTAACCCACAACGACCTTGACCCCTAACCCATAACAACCTAGCTGGCGACCTGTCTGGTCCTTTGGAAGGTGTCGCGGGGCAAGCTGCTCTCCTTCTGCTCCTGCTCCATGCGGTCGAGGCTTTGAGGCCGCGCGGGAGACCCGGGGAACGACTGGCAGTGAATGTCATTGATGGGCGTCGTCTTGAACCTGCAATGTAGCACACAAGCCGGTTAATCCAGCCACTGTGTTTTCCTCCCACGTGCAAGCAATCGCATATGGATTGGGGACACTTTCCAGTGCAGGAACCTCCGGAAAAAAAAAGAGTCCTGAAACTCGTTAATACTGAGCACGCACCTCTCTCTAGTTGCTGTGTCACACGTCTTACCTTCTCTGTGAGAGGCCAACATAAATTATTCATGTCATATCCTGCACTTACTGAAAAAAATCAGTAAAATGGAGATATGTTGTTAGAATTAAAAGTGTCTGCATTATTGAGTTACATTTCCCAAAAGTGCTCCGTTCTGCTCGTTTGTCCCCGTATACTTGTTCCTGATCCACATTCAATAATTTAAGGTCAGAATTTCTGATGACCGTGAAGAAAAAATGTACACAATGATGGCCACCACCACCACTGCGGATGGGGAGATGGGCGACAGGGGCTACGCCGAATGAGTTCCACAACTCCCGTGAGCACGGTTGGCTACGTACGGTGCGAAAGAAGTTCAACATACGCACACACACACACACACAACTCGTGAGCACTCACTTGTACTTTGGGTGGCGGCACAGCAGCGGCGTGAGCACGACCACCTCGTACTCGCAGCTCGTCACCTCGGCCACGGAGAGAACCTCGTGGCGCGCATTGGGGTGGCACACGTAGAGGACGGAGGCGCGGCGCGGCACGCCGCCACGCAGTCCACACGTCGTGCCGTCACCCATCTCAACCGGGTAGTAGGCCGTCATCTGCCCGTCGATGTTCTTCATCGGGATCTAACGTCGCACGCATGCATGCATACACGCACACGTCAGTATGTGCTTCAATAGAGACAAAGAACCCCATCCCCCAACCACCTCCCCATTGCTTTGCCAGTTAGCAAGCAAATGCTGGCAGCAAACACCGATAAAGGCTGCTAAGGATCGACAACAGTCACAGGATGGACACGGTTAATTGGCCTTAGAACCACTCAACTGACTCAGACCAGGCATTTAAATCAGGAATACTTACTACAGCACATGGAAAATTATGCTTTGTCTTTCTTGAGTTATGGGTAACAAATCCACACCTGTGTTGCAAATGAACACATAGTGAACAGACAGCAAGTCTGTCATGAATATAAAATGTATGCATGGGAAGCCAAGTTCATCCATGTAAAATTACATTTCTTTTCAGTGCAACGGCCGATCGTAGCCTCCGGCCCCAATGTTTTAATGCAGCATTTGTTTACACAAACACTGGACGAGTTTCGACCGTCACGGTCTCATCAGCAGTAATCGCACTGTATATTCGAAACAGACATCCTGCCTGTGTGTTATTATACACTTGTTACCCGCGACCCACCAACCATGGCCAGAACGCGAAGTCCTTAGAAACAATGGGAATCCAACAGCAATCACAACAAAGTCAAACAAATTCATCTGAAACCGGATTTCGGTGAAAGATTACGGACACCAGCATCCACACACTCGTATATTCCAATACAACGGGGGTAAAAGCAACTTGAGCCACGCAACATCCCCAGTGACTCGATTCTCAATGGAATCATTCGTTGTTATTAAATTATCAATTGTTACCAATTGCATTAAAATTTACCGCAAGGTGACGTGCAGCAATATTGCTCACGGGTGTGCACGTGCCACGCGTCAACTGGCTGTAGATGTTGTTGAGCAGGCCAGAGGTCGCTTGCCGGCGTAATTAAATTATCTCGGCGAGACAGGAATGTGCGCGCTGTCTGTTTCTAATTTTAAAGCCAAACAAAATCACAACAAAATAGTTTGAAAGAACACGGCTACATCCATGAACTTTAACGAGGAAACCCATAAATCCCACTTAAAAAGTGCAGCAACTATAAGTTCAGAAGGAAACAAGCCAGCATGGCTATTCCATTAAGGAAGCCCTCTTTTAAACAATACATAGATAAAGATCCCACCATATAGTCTTGACCAGACTGCTCAGCCAGTGCTGTTTGCGAGCACCTATATATGCAAATGCACTCACGGACACGGACTTTTACCAAGGTCCACTGAGCTATATAGCTCTTCTTCAGAAGCGACCTGGCCACAAATGATAAAGCTCAATGACGTGGCTTATCACGTGGAAAATTATAGCAGCCAAATACTCTAAACCCATGTTTCTAAATGTGGAGGGAAAAACGGAGAACCCGGAGAAAGAGCCACGCGACCACAGGGTGGTGAACATGCAAACTCCAAATATACAGCGGGCATCCGGGTCGTGATCAAACTCACGACCTCCTGTATACCAGGTGAGGTAGTTACCATCGTGCCACCCTACATGCTCGCACTGTAACGTAACGCTGTAATGACAAATACAATTGTCTCTTTGAGAGTATGTCGTGTTCACAACTTGCCAAAGCAAATATACAGATATAGGCATTGACACTGAAAACCTTCCATATGTTTTGGAGAGCACGGTAGTTTACGTGAAAATCGAAACGTCGTTTTCTATACATTTATTTATTTATTTTCTTCCTACGTGACTTTACCGAAAGAACCAAAGAATCGAAATAGGGTTAGTGGCATTTCAATCCGTAGCATACTGCACGCCTGCCAACCCTACAAGTTTGATCGATATACTGTAAATGTTTCAAACTATTTCACGGCACATCGATTTTCAAAGCTAAGCATTCCATTTCGTGGATTTCTTCAAGGACAATTGTCCTGACGGAATATTTGCTTTTAAAATCAGTATGTGGTCAAACGGTTTAAGAATCGGCAGCCTACCGCTTACATCAGAACGTGTGGCAAGTTGGGATACTGCCTATTAATAATTACAGGGTACTCGGTAGGCATAGTCCATCATAAAATGTTACTCACATTATTGTTCTTTGTTGACTCGTGTTTGCTTTGCGTTTCAGTGCCTGAATAATGGAGAGTAAAATAATCCAGTCACATTGTCTGTACACATAACACACCAGGCTTTGCGCGATTATGAATATATATTACTCATGGATAATATTCAAAGAAACATAAAACAAAACTGAAAGGGGTATTTTTGAAAAACTTGATAACCCACAAAAGTACTCTGGTGTGTTTTCAGGTGGAAATGCGTGTTGCTCGGAATGATGTCCGACGTTTCAAAGGAGCTCCCAGCACCTCAAGTAAAACGTCGAACACATGGCACAACCACATCGGAGAGCTGTACAGCACAACCGCGAACACCTGCACGGCAGTGCCCAAAAATGTTCATTTGCCCAAAAAGCAGGCTTTTGTTGAGAGTGGGCAAATTCAGTGAAGCGAGTGAAATACTAATTCTGCTGAGCATCCACATGTGAAGATAATATACGATAAAAAAGCAGATTGTGTTATGTTTAAGAGATGCCAGCATAAGTCATCAAACATAAAGTACAAATGTGGGTTACCAAATTTTTCCAAGGCACCTCTCAACTGTCTGGTTGAATGCCAGCAACAACTGTATCTTACTTTTTGTCAGCTCTGGGTCATGTTTGGCAATGTATCCCAGGTAATACTCCTGCACGGTCACTCTCTGGAAAACAACGTCACTCAAATTGCATAAACGAAATACCAAAGACACATACCACACACTATTACACCATTTACAGATGAACCAATTTTTGGTGAAAACTGTATTAAAAATAAAATTGTTTAATTAAAATGTATGTTCTGTGTAGCATTAACGGTGTTGATGTTTGCAATGAAAATCATGCCAAATACAAAAGCTCAGGACTAAATCAGAACTAAATCATAAATTGGCTGAAAACATCTTAATGTACATAGGACTACTGAGCCTGGGCAATCTGCACAAATCACAACGCTACATAAAACAAAACATTACTCATTGTTATAGTTACCAATAACAGCATTTTATAACGATAATAAAAAACTATTTGCACTTATTATGACCCTTTAGGGTCAATGTTAGAAAACATTTTTTATTTAAGAGCCTTGGGATGACAGTGTGTTACCGACCTGCCCAAACTCTTTCTCCTCGTGGTACTGGCGAACGTGTCGCCCATGGCAAACTTCATACGTCCAGTAGGGCTCGATCTGCCCGGAGAGAGAGGCACGAGGGGAGAAGGCACGCGCTGTCAATGACGGGATAACAGATCAACTTGCAGCATTCAAGAACAGATCAACTTGCAGCATTCAAGAGAGAATGCTGTCCTGGTGGCAAGTATTCAACAAGCACTGCCTCAGGGAGGATGTAACAGCCCGACGCGCTTCACCGACATACATGTCCACACTTGTCACTCCAACTGTGAATTTCTCAAGAGCATTTTTCATTCCACTTTGGATTCAACTAAAGTAGGTCACTGTACACATCAAGGACATACCTTTTTGAAAGTGTAGAGATAACCGAACATAATAACTGTGGACATGCCAATGTTTAAGATAACACTGTTTTCATTATTTTTTGTTAATGCAAGTATAACTTGTAGTCAGTGACACTTTGCTGTCGCCGACGTCTGCTGGCCGAGTCGCCCTTGAAAAATGAACTTCATAGCTCAATGGTCTTCACTTGAACTATATGGCGGGACCCCGGGGTCCCATAAGCCCCCGGCTCTCGCATAAACTGCGTTTCGACGTCATTTTACGTTGAAGGCGAACAATACGGCAATTTATTCTTCTCAGCGAGCTCTACACGATGCGCTAATCAAAGTTTTGTTGATGACTACGGCAATTTTGGCAACAAAGAACGAGAGGATTTATTTCTGGTGGGTCGCGGCGTTTATGTGCGCGGTGGGACGGAGTCGCCAAAAATAAATAGCGATTTTGACTTCCATTTATTTAGGAGCCCGAGGTCCCGCCATAAGGTTCACTTATTGAAAACTCATTTATTTAGAACTGCTTTACACGTTTAATTTGTTGTCCTTCCCCCGCACCTTTGATTAGCAAGGTTTGCTACGTACAGAGTGAAAGAAGTTCAACATACATACATAATCAGGAAGTAGACTTATGAACTTCCAATAATAACAATGTTCAGCTTTATTTCAATCCACTGATGGACAAAGGCCTCCTACATGCTGTATCAGTTGTGAGGATAGTTTGACAATACTTCATCAAGCTGAACAGTGTGGGTTCAAAGGGGTGGTGGTGGGGAGGGGGATCTAATGACACTGATGTGAGCCGTGACTGGGAATCAAACCCAGGTGGGCAGGTTTAGAGTGGGGTGCGTATCCAATGCCACCCCCGCTCCACCCCTAAGTAAGGTGCAACAAAATCTTATACAGTAAAACCTTGGATTGCGAGCATAATTCGTTACGGAAACTGTTTGTAATCCAAAGCACTCGTATATCAGTTGTGATCACGTGATGCTCGGCAGACAAAGCATAAGCATATACGTACTACTCATATTGCAAGACCTCGCTCGTTTATCAAATTAACATTTATTTAAAAAATTTGCTCAATCTTGCAAAACACTCGCAGACCAAGTTACTCGCAATTCAAGGTTTTATTGTATTTATGATGATCTCATTCATGGCCCAAAGCTCCACTTGTCTGATGGATTTGCTGTGAAGTAGCTGCAAAAGCTGTTGTTAACATTTCCACTGCTCGTGCACTGGACCAAGAGTTATGTGAAAGTCTTTTTTAGTTATGGCATTGCGTGACATAAATGGTGCATTCTCGAGTGTGTGTGTGTGTGTGTGAGATCTCCGTACCAAGTCAAGGTTAAAATAATGACGATAATTTTGGTTGCCTTTGGGGAACAGCTATTACCGTTGAAATATAAACAGACAAGGCTCTGCGCGCTTCGCCGTCCAAAAATAAAGTGAAGTGGCCTCGAGGTCCCCATACCCGATAGGAGCAGCTGTTTTGCTTAAACAACGGATCCAAAAGCACGTCTGGGTCGGGAGCCTTTCCCATCTCTTCGTCATCCTGGAAAAAAGAAATAACAAGTTCACTCGAGTATTCCGACTGCGTAGGTTTTCATGGTTGTTTGTTTATTCCCTTGAACTCTCGAAAGCATTTTCAGAAATTTAACTGAAGAGGTTTCCAGCATGTGGAGCAAAATGTCAGAGATCATGGCTAAACCACTCACGGTAAAAACCAAAAACGTATCAAAGAGTCACTCTAATATTACCTACCACTCACGAGGAAGCATGCAACCAGACAGGAGGAATCTATTTTAATTACACAAAGTGAATTTTTAAACATGAGGGCTGTATACTATAATAGACATATGGAAACTAAAGTATTTAGACTCACAGCTTCACATGATGTGGAATACATGGAAAATGTTGATGCAGCGCAACTGTTTTTGTCTAATCAAAGAAGTGATATGATTGACAAAAGTTCGCTGCGAGCTGGGAAAGATGGACTTGATCGTTTTGCTCCTCGGGTGCGAGTTACCTGGTCTGCCCTCTCCACGGTCGGCAACATACACTTGTACCGCTCGTTTCCTTGCGTCGTCATGATGATGTAATCCTCATCGCGGTACAACGCACCTGACGTTGGCTGTAATATTAAAGCAAATTTACAGCACAATGCAACAATGCCACACTCAAGCAAGCTAGGCAGCATGACCACACAATCGAATGCTCAAAGTGATTTTTTTTTAGGTGTGATTGGGCTACGGCGTGTTTTCTAAATAAAATAATTCCTTCAAGGTTTATAGAATATTGCTTTTATGTGCTGAAAATGGCCACATTGTTTAGATGGACCACTCTTGCCAATCACATCTCATAAACCCGCAGCATGTTTAACAAGCCAGACTATACTGATGAGATTACAAAGGTATAAACCAGTCCAAAGTTTGCTTTATCAAACAAATTTAGCTGCGTAATATTGGTCTGTAAAGCCAATGGGACGATGGACTAAAACATATTTTGTAAATTATGTTTTCTGCTTATATCTGACTTTACCCATAATGCACCACAACAACAGGCGAGTGTGTCTAAGACACAGCTGTGTGATTCGTCAGATGTTCGAGTTGTCAATCGCATGGAGATTTCTAACCGATCAAATGCATTTCATTCATATGGTTAATACATTTGAGGATACTGAAGTAGTGGGAAATATTTTTGTTAGTTTGGATAATCCATTGCACGTGTTCCCATGGGACAGATTATAGAGGCCCATTCATACGACACCATCTTCCACTCTTTGGGTGACATTATTACAATCAGCCAGTCAATCCACTGCTGCATGAATGCTTGCCCAAGCTGATGACATCTATCTCAATGATGCAATATAGTAATCCATCTAGCGCCTGCACACGAGCTGATTTCATTGTATCAACTCCTTGATGGACAACCTCTCGAATGAGTTCCATTTCTTGGCTGCCACTTGATCATTATTCTTGACCATTTCCCATCTATTATCGTGACATGTACTTCCCAAGGCCACTTACCTTAATTAACAATTCGAATTGTCATTTAATTACATACATTCGATAATCCATGTGGTACTCTTTCTGAATTAGTCTTTTTTGTACTCTCATGCCCGAGCGATTAATTATGACAATCGTGAAAGGGGACAATCGAACTTGGGCCTCAATTCAGTGATGGAAATATTGATTAGGATTATCATAGGGATTGGGGGTCGGGAGTCCTACAGTGTCCGTGGTTCTAACTTTAGCGGAACCTACTAGAAGCTGTACGGCATTCATTTAAAACAAGCACAATGTCCAAATGCCGACTGTGGATGGAAACAATGTCGTTACCTTGCCTCCTCAAGTTCTCTTGCATAAGGCCATGTTTTCGGTTGACATCTCACACTTTCCTCTTCATTTACATATGCCCCCCACCCCCTCAACACTTTCTTCAAGTCGTCATGCAAACACCTTACTTTTTCTACCTCTTGGCATTTTCCCCCCAAAATACTTCCACAACTTTTTTTTTAGCAAGCATTCACTTATGACAAGACGCCCAATCCAGATCGTATGCATGCTCTCAATGTTCCCAACTAAGATTTATTTCCTTCTGGACCCATTCGAGCACTTCCTCAATGCTCTTTCTGTCCAACTGATTTTCTACATGTGATGCTATGCCCACATCTCAAATCTGTCCAGTTTTCCATCGCTATTCATTATCATGAGCATGGATGAAGGCATCCCCATCTCTCACGGTCTTGCAATGCAACTATTTATCTCGCTCCTCCAGATGAGCTTATTTCATCACTCCATCTCCGCAGGGCACACCATCATCTCAGGCGAGTAGCCTTCTTTGGTTGGTACTCTGTCCATCATCTCATAATCCCGTCTCGTGTTGTACTGCACAGCCCACTACACAGTCACAATGATGACTATTTTGCATATGCTCACAAATTCCAGCGTTCCCCTTCCCGTTTCTCAGCACCATTTAAGCCTTAAGTTTGAAGGTGAATTCTCTCTATCCATGGCTCTATGTACGTACAGCTTGATTCCTCTATAGATACCCCATAGATTTTCATGGACCCACTTACGTTTAACTTAACCGCAGGTTGAATATTGTGATGGTATAATATCTTATATAGGCCAGTGATAACAGGCGGTACGTGTAATGAAGCTGGTGGGAGACGTAAAATAGAGACTTTTAAATAAAATTGCGTATAATTGCTCCATATTCGTCTCTTATGTAATCGGTGTCTCCGTAAATGCCTCATTGTGTAAGTTTTAGAGAGGGCAAATGTTGGGTGCTTTGCCGATCCGAACACATTTTTTTGTTGTATGCCTCATCACCACGAGATCATGGTCCATCCACTGCTGGATGGAAGCTTCACCACCCAGCCACCGCCACCTATCACGACCCCGCGCTCTTACTAATCCACCCAGCACCCTGCCCACGCACCGATTGTCATCGCTCCAAGTCTCCTTGTTGGACCATACTCTCGGACGCGTTACATTCCTTGGCTGCCGCCACGGTGAATGTCATTTGGTGCACTGGGGTCACATTCGCTGGTCTCCCGTCTGTACACGTACAGCTGTGGTACAGCTGTGGGTACAGCTGTGGGTACAGCTGTGGGTACAGCTGTGGTACAGCTGTGGGTACAGCTGTGGTACAGCTGTGGGTACAGCTGTGGATACAGCTGTGGGTATAGCTGTGGTACAGCTGTGGGTACAGCTGTGGGTACCGCTGTGGTACAGCTGTGGGTACAGCTGTGGGTACAGCTGTGGTACAGCTGTGGGTACAGCTGTGGTACAGCTGTGGGTACAGCTGTGGATACAGCTGTGGGTATAGCTGTGGTACAGCTGTGGGTACAGCTGTGGGTATAGCTGTGGGTACAGCTGTAGAACAGCTGTGGATACAGCTGTGGTACAGCTGTGGGTAGATCTTGCCCCCTTGCCGTGCGCGTGTATGTGTCTACGTCGATGCATGTAGAAATTATTTTGCACGTCAATGCACGTACAACTGCGCTGTGTGGCCACGTGCACTTGCCAATGTACACGTGTGTTACGCGTGTCTACACATGTACACATAATATACGTGTCTGTCCGTACACGTATACACATTATTTAATACGTGTACAGTGTCTGAATGTAATATACATGTACAACAGCGCCACTCACCAACGTCAGCTCGTGTCCCGGCCAGGTAATGTGGAATGGCACGTCGTCCGAGAGGAGGCCGGCCCGGGCTGTCCCGCAGAGCGCGAGTAGACAGAGACCCCCGGCTAAGTTCACATTCACTCCTCCTCTCCCCCATCCTCCTCTCCCCCATCCTCCTCTTCCACCACCACCACCATCATCACCATCATCACCTCCACCACCTCGTCTCGTCCGCCCCGTGCACATTGCTTTATTCCGTGGGCCAACCTGCTCAGGGCACGGCGTAGACAGCAGGGTAACTGATGTAAGGAAAATGAAAACAATTTTAAACACCAATTGGTGATTATTGTTACATCGGAGCTATAGGCAGCGTTGTGTCAAGCCGCACTTACGGATGTGTTCCTCTTCGCCGACTCCACGATTACGCGACACGCACGATGATTCCACCGAATCGATTCCGGAACTATTATTATTGTTACCATTGCGTTGCTTGTTGAATAACTTTATTTTTTGCAGCACGCGATAGCTGAAGGGTATATGTATCAACGACATGGACCGTATTATAATGGGATAAAAAAATGTGTCTATACATGTACACTTTTTTTTGTAATGCGTGGTCCTATGAGCACGCGTATAATTCGATTCACAATACGGGAATCGACTCAGGACGAGTTCAAGCGCCAGGAGTTGGTGACGGGGCATGGGGGGGGGCCGGAAGCTGGGGGGGGGTGGGGGGAGACCGGAAGCGCGCGCGGGATCAGCTGATTAGCCACGCGGCCCGCTTCCGGCGCGCGTCACGGCCACCGACGGGAATAAACTTTATTGACAGCGAGGCCCCTCGGAGGGGTGGGAGGGCTGGACTCGCTGTCAATAAAGTTTATTCCCGCCTGTCGCGTCACTGGGACTCGATTTCAATAAAGTTATTCCTATTCTTGGTTCTTTGGTAAAGTCACGTAGAAGGGAAATAATATAAAAAATACAAATAAAACAATACAATTCTCACGACGTTTCGATTGCAACACAAGCAATCATCATCAGGTGTGAAAACCACAATTTTCTTGCTGTGGTTTTCACACCTGATGATGATTGCTTGTGTTGCAGTCGAAACCTCGTGAGATTTTTATTCTTTAATATTTTTATCATTTTATTGTTTTCCACCTACGTGACTTTACCGAAAGAACCAAGAATATTACTCTCCTTGTCCAACGTTACATCACTCCCGGGCCTCCGATTTTATTTCAAATGTACGTGGAATTGATGGCTCTGCTTTTCACACTTTTAAGTAATTTTGTATATTGTGTTCTATCTTATTAGGCCTTGCATTTCTTGTGTCGATTGTACCGTGTTGCACGACTTTTCCATTCGCAACTTGGGCATGTACAGTTGCGTTCAGATTGTTTTGTTCGCGTTTTCTTTTGCCGCAACCAGGTTCATACAACCAGGTCCCGATCGAAAATAATATTTTTTTGGCCAATGGGGGGGGGGGAGGGGGGGTTTGCCTGTGCCAAACTAAACCTCAACCTACCACGTACGAGCCTGGTGTGTTGGTGGTGGGGAGGTGTGAGCCACACGGCTTTGGTGGCTCTTTATGCCCGAGCCAGGTTTGGTTTTCGTGGGTTTTGGGGCCCAAAGCGTTGCTCTCAGCACAAGCCACGTGTTAGCAATGGGCGAGAGTGATCCACGCGCCTTGCCCTTTATGGGCCAGGTGTGTACAATGTGAAACACATGTAGCTTTTTGTACACGAGGAACTTGTGCGTGGTTATGAATGTGATTAACGGGCATTATCAACCGTGCGTGTGATATATGTTATGGCTTGGTCACGTGTTTTCAAAAGATGCGAGCCACAAAGGTTGGACAAGTTTCACAATTATCCACCACGTGTGTTTAGGCATGAGCCACCTACGTCAGCTAGGTATGTAAAGCGAGCCATCTGTATTGAAGGCGAGGTGTTCAATGAGCAGATCTGAATCACGTGCGTTCAGGTGTGAATCTGTGGCTGTGAGTAGGCGCTGAGCCACGTGTACTGTATGAGTCGGGAACAGCCCAGTGTGTGGGCTCGCTGGATTTGAACTGCCTGTGTTAATTGGACAGAAAGGACCCACTTTTGGTCAGTGGGTAGGTGTAATTTAGTCAGAATCCATGACCAAATTGACCAGAATATGCCAGATTTTGGAAGCCTGGATAGGTTTGAGCCTGGTAGGGCTGTGGGGCTACATAGCGGGTAGTACAGCAAAATCAATTGTACCGTAGTACTGTGTTTCAACCACTGTTCTCTACGTCGTCATCAATCTGCACTGAGCTGCGTGGTGAAGCATTGATCAACCCCCAACACAGGTGTGGGGAGGCATTAATCCAGCAGTGGAGTGCCGAAAGGGGTTTGCATGCACAGATTAACCTTCATATTTTAAGTGTCAGCCATGAGAATAAAAGTACTGCACTAAAATGTAAGGACAGGGACAAGCGATGCATCGCTGATATCACGATTTAATTTTTTGTTCCATTAATACAGCAAACCACAGTAAAATTGCAATCAGTGCATAATATATACTGTACTGTTGACAATGGATTGCTTTCATTATATATATTTTTTAAAAATAACAATCGTTAAATACAATGCCTTGCACGTGGGTGTGCATGCCAGTGATGTTTTGCTAAAAGCTTCATTCTAAAAGCATTTACAAAATGCTTAACTCGGTGCTCAGCTCAGTTAAATAGAATAATTTATTTAAAAAAAACCCTAAAAATTGCTTTCACTTGCCTTAACAAATAACTTTTAAAACATCACGTAAACTATTTTTAACACAGTAGATTAAAAAAAAACAGTTAAATAAGTATCATGCAAAAAAAAAGTGTGCAATCCAGGAATGTAAAAAATATATTAACATGAGCAAACAGGAGTGCAAACTTGAAAAATGGTAACAGAGTGCAGGTCGTTTTGCAAAGGGACAAGGTCCGGACGCACTAACAATACAGCACTTAGATTACATGGTGCCTGTAACACATGAAAGGGAATGAATGCATTTACCTTGTAGAAATATCTGATCTGACGTGGATAAGACGTGGATAACCGATGGGACCCTGAGACAGATTGGCAAGCGCCTGTGTGGTCCACCAGACCAGCATGTCACTTCCACTAGCAATGTTACACACTGACCAGGCGGTGGAGCTGTTGTGGGTTTTCCCACTTCCAGTCTTTAAAATGTTTTCTACATGCGTGTTGCGTGTGTACCATCGGGTGCAAACGGAAAGTGGGTCTTCCTTTTTCCACTAAAGCAAGGCAACTCATTACACTTCAACCGCACTATCACACCATCCTCCTTTTTTAGAAGTCTTCACCAAGTTTACCGTTGTTCAAATGAGAACGACGATGAGCGTGTAAGTTCTCCGATGTGTTGTATCACGTGTTGTTCAACATGATGTCCGACGTTTGGTGCAATGTGCTGGGAGCTTCTTCAGGAACCGAAACATTGGACGTCATGCCGAAAAACACGAGGCTCAACTTGGTAACACATCAGAGAGCCATGAACCACAGCTGCGAAAACTTACCCAAGTAGTAATGATTTGCTTGCCATGGCCTTTAGTCGAGTGTACAGTCTCTCCAATATATTTAATAGCCTTAGCGTTATGTATATTCCCCAGTGGTTCGGCGTGGTTAGCATGGGCCCTGGTGTAAGGAATAAAAATGGCATCCCCCCCCGTCCGATTTTTCCTTTCCCCACCCTCTTTGTAGAAAGAGCGCCTCGGCACTTCAGTGAGCCACAACGCAGTTGCACTGCCTGCAGACTCAACAAGAGCTGCACCACTGATGTTCCCAGAGCAGTTATTGCGATCAATACGTGTTGGGGCAAACCTAGAGATTATTACACTCCAGTCGTTTGGCATTAAAAACACTAGGCATTGGTTGGCATTTAATGATTAACCCACCCCCTCCGGGAATCAATCAGCACCCGAGTGATTTGATGAAATGTCACGACTTGGCATCACGATTATATTCGAGAATCGATTAAATTTTTCTTATTTTAACCACTTAATTTCTCTTGGTTCTTAATTTCTCCATCTTGTTTGTAGTTTTGATCTTCCCATTGGGCATTAGTGAGCATCAGCATATCATTTTCATATATATTTCATAATTCATATCGATTTACATGCATATGAGCATGATAATCAATTGTATTAGAGGAATCCAGGTTTCTCGCTACATGCCCAGGCATTATCCAGAGGTGTGTGGCCTCAACAGGACTCAACTAGCTCGGTGAACTCTTGCCAAACGGTCACACAAAAGCCATACATTTTGCGAGATATTAACTACCTCGCCTGGTATGCAGGAGGTCGTGGGTTCAATCCCAACCCTGACACCTGCTGTATATTTGGAGTTTGCATGTTCGAATGTTTGCATGCAAACTCGCGTGGATTTTTCTCCGGCTCCTCTAGCTTCCCCCTCCAAATTTAGAAACATGCATTTAGAGCATTTGGCTGCTATAAATTTCCATGCGATAAGCCACTTCGTTGAGCTACGTAGCTCAGTAGCCCTCACCTCGTAAAATAAATTCTACACCAACAGCCACTAAAACTTTGGTTTATGCATACTGTACTATCATCTGCCAATACAGCAATACATCATCTTCACAAGACGTTCAGTCTTTATGTATAACAGTAGTTTTAGTCCATAGGTCAGCTCTCCATATGAAAACTAGTTCCAATTGGTTTTACAACCCATGTATCTGCGGCATTCCTACAACATTGGTTTTTAAAATACTTATAACCAAATACGCCATTTATAATACCGTGACCGTTAAACATTTTATTTTTAGGTAAAGGTGCAGCCCTGCAATTTCTCACTTGCGCGGCTGCTGGTGGAAGGGCCTTCACTAGAAGGAGCTCTACAGAGCTCCTCTAGTACCACATACTGTAGTTAAATATTGATCATAGCAAAAACAAAAATCCTTATTTAAAACGCTGACAAAAGCTGCATCTGTATTTATCAAAATAAGTTTTCCTGCCACACACACACACACACTGCTGCAGGGAACGGCGCTGTGAGCGATTGCTGAGCCGTGCAGCCGAGGTCTGGCCTGAGTGTTGGTGGTTGCTCTTCAGTGTGTTTGGAGGGGCTGAAGAAGCTCTCGGCACGTGGAGCGAAATGTCGGACATTATGCCGAATAACATGCGGCACAACCCGAAAACACATCGAACAGCCGTACAGAGCGGCCACGGAAAACCTGCACGTGGTTACGATGAGTTCCCTTCGTGCTCCCCCTGCGTTCGTCCTCATAACTGCACCCCTCTCATCGAGGTGATTCGCGCCTTCAACCTGGGGACGACGGAGGCGCAAGGGTTAATTCTGTGGCCACCAAACGATCAAATCACCGATTTGAAATGGTGATTACATTTAATGTGTGCACCCAATCTTACAGTGCGAGGTTGTCACAAATGCATTTTAGTGTCACGGACGAATATACTCTGCGGGAGTTTCACAGTAGGGGGGAGATGTTGCGATGTGGTTTTACTAAATTAGGTGACTTGCGAGTGTTTTTCTTTAATTTGGAAAATGTGAACTGTGATGCTGACAAACATGGCCTACTCTTCAAAGAATATCTCTGGATCTTTAACGTCTGCCGTGATGCAGACAGCGTGTAATAAATTTCCGGCAGATTGCAGGTGAATGGGTAAAAGTATAAGCCCCGCTCGAGCAGTTGAGAGAAGGGCTGTGCACGTACGAATGATCACCCGCATATACATACGATGACGTGTTCAATTCTGTCCGGAGTTTTTGTCCTGACCTTGCGACCTGCTGTGAGGATCCGCCTTGCCTTGACAATGGCAGCGAGGCTCGGAACTGGGCCTCCAGCTTCATGTAGATCCCACCCGGGTACTGGGAATGGCAGCGTAACCCACTCATAAGCAGGATGTCTGTGCAGGTGTTATTGTGTAATAGCACTGTAGTATATCGTAGTTGTTAGCACATTAAGCTTGCAACCTGGAGGTCACCGGTTCGATTGAATCTCTTGGCGCGGCAGATTATGCAATAGAAAAGTTATTGTTTGAATTTTTTTTTTCATTTTCGTGGTTTCCCTCCAAATTTATCCTGATTGTGTCATTGGAATCGTGTCATGAGACAAAGCATCTATTCATATCTCCCACAGAGCAGAGTTAAGAGAACGGCCCACAGAAGTGGTTTTCACAGAGCTACGTCTGAGCTTTGGTAAACACAGCAGGGGGCAGCACTTTCCAATCCGCTCGGCATAAGACAAGACCAATGTTTTTAATGATCAGAACAGAAATTTGGCCAAATGAATCGAAGAAGCAAATTTAATGGGATGGCTTTTTTGCACAATGGTGACCGAGGTGAATCCATAAGCTCGCGCCACTTGAGAACTCTGTTCAATAGCAACCGTCTGCCTCCATATGAACCCAGGATCTCAGCAGTGCCAGCTCGGCGCTCTTGATCGCCGAGTCACTCCGCCACCTCCAATGGGCAAGTTTCTTAAACCCCCCTTACCGCCGCCCCCACCTCTGTTCACTCAGCAGTATAAATAGGTACCTAATCATCGGTCGGCAGGTCACGTGTGGTTGGGTAAAGTGTGGGTACTCCCACCACTTCCAAGATGTCTGGTCAGTGTGGAAGCGTAGGCCACATACCCTAGAGAAGGTTATCTCGAGCTCCCTCTCGTGGAGACCCTTCTACCGGCTGAGGCGTGAGCGAGCAATTTCAGGGAATCACCTTTAACGAGGTCCAAACACAATCATGCTGTCGGTTTTGTAAAATGTCGTCGTATCGCGATTTATTGTTGCACGTTTTTTTTCTGTGCAATGTTTAATTACCTGGCGATATTGATGAAACAATGAAGTAAGAAATCAAAAGTTGTAACTCAAGAGCCATTACCTCGTGTATCGACGTGGACAAGAGGCGTTTCTCGCTGTTGTGTTACCTCTTTAACTTCCCTGGTCTTGCCCCGATCGGTGCTTTCACTGAAGCGGAGCTTGGCGAGGTAAGCGCAGAAGTCATTCATCCTGCGCTGGTCTGCACACGCGCCCACCATCAAACACGAGCCGCTCTGCAACTAAACCAATAACTCGAGCAAACGGTCTAGAGCACGATTCAACTACATTTTCCCACGGACCACGTGATACAATTAGCATGTGCTGGCGGGTCACGATTATGTCATCCATCCCGCTTACAGGTGTTATCAAGTCACATGGAGTAGTGACATCATAACGTCTGTACATGTGACCGCTAATATGTACCTCTCATCTCCAGCTTTCTCATGCCCTCTTGTCTATCTCACTGTCATCTCACGAAGAGACGATCTCTTGGCTACAGCTCTTGTCATCGCACTCTCTCTTGTTTACCTCTATTTCAGCTCATTAGTCATTATCTACATCTCGGTGGCCAACATCTCTAGGTGGGCCATAGCTTGGCGGGTGACTCCAAGAGCCTTTGTCGGCTAGATGTGGCCCGGGGGCCGTCAGTTAACGAACCCTGGTCTAGTGTATACCTGTAGAATTCCTCCGACTAATCAGAAAACACGACGACCAACTGCAGAACTGCATCAAATGTGCATGCGTGTGCGATGCTTGTTATCTGCCAGCGATCAGGAAAGAACAAAAGCTATAACTGTTGCCTGTGCGTCATGGTAAGCGTGTAACGATGTGTCGATTAAATTCTTACACTTGTGTGACATGCGTCAAATCGCGCATGACAATCAATTACAATCATTGCAAGTGATGTGAACATTTTACCATTGGACTAACATTACAGACTTGCTATGTGCGTGGTAACGGGACTTGGCGTACCCTCCTCACGCTGGGTGTCCTGATTGTATCTCATGGAGCGGCACACGTCCCACTTCTTCCGCTGCGCGCACACGCTGTGAGCGTCCACACGCAGACGAGAACTCGTTACGGTCGTTACGGGTCCGACACGACGAATGGCATCGTCTCCCGTTCCTGCCCGTCCCGCACCGCAGACCCATGCCACAACTCTCTCCAAGAAAGATCTGTTCAAGTCCTCTTTAAATTCACTCCCCACCCCCATTGCCAACCCCCCCCCCCCACCACAATTTCTAAGTGTCCCAAGGTATAACCATAATATATAGGTCAGTAAAGGTGCAGCCCTGAAATAAATTGATAATGCCGCTGTTGGTGGCAAATCGAGAGAGGCCCCTCTAGAAGCTATTTTGGCATACTCTTCCACATTGACTATGTTATCATAGTCATAATTTTTAAAAATATTTTTTATCAAGTGTCTTGAGATGCTTTTACATTGAGATGGTATCATCATCATGAACCATTGTCTATACCCTGCAGTATGAAGGCCTCCCAATTTGATCATGGTGCCTCGTGTTCCGGCAACGTCTCAATCCATCTCGCTCCAACACGTGAACTCATCGCTCAAATATGGTGGTGGTCAACTTCTCAGGCATGTTCTCTCATTTGGCTGCCATGGTGTTACCACCAGCCTTGTCGCATCAGTTAGAATGGAGATTTAATAACAATATAAATTCACTCAAGTGCAAGCCGACTTGATTACATAATACACGTGCAAATGCAGGTTACTTACTTGAATGGGGAAGGGCTCAACAGGTTTACCTATGAAAGAACAGATTTTTTTTCACACATAAGCTCAAACAAATGGTAACAATTCAGAATTCACCAAATCTGGGTTATATTCCTACACACACATTGCTTCAAAAGCAAAACACATGGAAAGCCTTGGCACCTTTTCTTTCTGAGGCGTGCGAGAGGTTTTCTTCCTGGCTTTGATGGACTTCTTGGTCTGTTTCTTACCTAGAGAGCAAAGAGGGGAAGGTTAGGCTCATCCTTGTTTCATTTATACTGGCAGGTGCTGGTTTACGATTCGTCTGTGGCCGTTTGCGTCAAGAGCCACTACACACACAGATGATTGCACTGCGCTCTGCGATTCTGGGCTAGGTATCGTATAAAATGTCATCAGCTCTTAGCATATAGTATCTCTAAGCTCATGATGCATGCATCACAACACACGCATCAAATCGGACATATATGAAGCAATGTTTTTACAATGAGCATGTTGCATGTGGGAGTTGCCGTGGTGTAATGATTAGCACACGATTCGATGTCTTAGCGCCCGAATTGAGACGCAAAAACTCAACATCTTCTTGGTTCTTTCGGTAAAGTCATGTAGAAGGGAAAAAATAAAAAGTAAACAATAAAATACAATTCTCACAACGTTTCGGCCACAACACAAGCAGCCGTCCTCAGGTGAAGAAACAGAACTGTCAGAAAGACAGCGCTCCAATGAACACTGCTAAGCTTGGCAGCGTCTTTTAAGCTGGGTGGGAGGAGCAGAGCGCCTTGACAAATGAGTTTACATATCAACAGAAGAATTTAGCATTGAAGTAGCTGTGTTAATTTGAGAGATTAGCAGGATGTTAAAGTCAGAAATTAGCATGTAACTGGGAGATTAGCATGACATTAATGTGAGGAATTAGCATGTAACTGGTCACGGAAGTAGCTAAGTCAGAGTTTACATATCAACAGAGGCATTTAGTATATTAACGCTAAAGAACTGCAACTACCCAACTATCATACAATAAACCGATGTGAAAGAACTAAATATAAACTAACATCAATATAATCAATGTACTCAATATATTCTCCACTAAGTTAAACTATTAACATTAAGTAACTGGGTATACACTACATTATATAATGACTACCATATAGTGAACCGATAAAAAAATAAAATATAAACTACATCAATATCATCAATATACTCTCCAATAAGCTGAGCTACGAACAATAAGTCATGTATGACGACTTTGACTTTAACATAGCTACTTCCGTGACCAGTTACATGCTAATTCCTCACATTAAGAATCATGCTAATCTCCCAGTTACATGCTAATTTCTGACTTTAACATCCTGCTAATCTCTCACATTAACACAGCTACTTCAATGCTAAATTCTTCTGTTGATATGTAAACTCCTTTGTCAAGGCGCTCTGCTCCTCCCACCCAGCTTAAAATACGCTGCCAAGCTTAGCAGTGTTCATTGGAGCGCTGTCTTTCTGACAGTTCTGTTTCTTCACCTGAGGAAGGCTACTTGTGTTGTGGCCGAAACGTCGTGATAATTTTATTTTATTGTTTTATTTTTTATTATTTCCCTTCTACGTGACTTTACCGAAAGAACCAAGAAGATTAATCCCTGCAGTCACGAAAGCTTTAAATCGAAAAACTCAACATATTTCTCAATAACTCTGTGGCCTTCAAGGAAAAAATATATATAACGGGTGACATTTTGGGCAAAGGCCCTTCCTTCACAGGACATAGAGTAGCCAGAGAGGTAGCAAACACAGTATCACCAATTAATTAATAAAATATGAAAAAACCCTGAAAATCCCCATTCCCACGTCGTCCATCCAGCATTAGAAGGAGATACGCCACATGCCACATCTGACGTCACACGGGTGAGCGGGGGTGAGACTTTTTCCAACTATTTTCGCGTTGTCCATTTAGTCAAGTAATCTAAAAGATCATCAATAGAGCAATAAATGTCAAGTAATCGCGCGCGTTCAGATGCACTTCGACGGCCGTCTGGAACGCTCTTCCTTCCGATATTAGGAAGCCACTGGAGCTTTGCACTTTTACATCTAGATTGAAAACTCATTTTCTTTTGAACTGCTTTTTGTGTTAGTTTGTTGTCCTTCCGCCGCACCTCCGATTACCACGTTTGGCTACGGTGCGATAGAAGTTCAACATACGTACAACATTATTTAATAATAATAATTAAAATGTATAAAGCGCCCTTAAACAATCGTTCTAAGTGCGCTATGCATGGAAAGGCGAAATAGTTAACAACAAAGTAAATAAGAGGTGAAGAAGACGTTTGAAAATATCTAAAGGGGGAAAAACATTTTAAACGTAAATGTTTTTGGTCGAGATTTGAAGATTTACAAAGTGTCTCGGAAGTCCTGACCTCCAGAGTTTAGATGCTGCGATGCTAAGTTGGTAGTGGTGCACAAGTACAAATAACAACAGCAACAAAAAACAACAACACATTCGTCAAATTACACTGTGGCCCTAAAAGCAAAGTATATAACAGGCGACATTTTGGGCAACGGTCCTTCTGCACAGCACATAAATGGAGAGGCCAGGGAGATAGAGTGGATACGAATAATAGTGAGAGACAACACTTTACAGCTGCACTTTTTCTGTTTTGAGGCGGTGTTACTGACGAATGTGTTGACGTTTACTTAAATTGTTGAACGTAAAAAAACTGCTTGAACCTCTCTTCTTGTGCACTTCCTCCTCGTCTCCAACTTCATCATCTGTCACCTCTGACCCCGTCGTGTAATCATCATCCTCAGAAAGCAGGGCCTGGACCTTTAACTGCATACAAATACAATCAACAGCTGTTGCACAAAAAATCTATACAAATGTCAACCAAATCAAACACTGCTGTATGCGAATTATAAATTAACCCACGTGCAGTTTGAACACTGCGATCTGAATTTATTATATTGAAGTGTCACTAAGTCAACAGGTTATAAATCTTTGAAGCAAAAATACGCTCATGTCTTTTGTCTAAAGCATAAACACATCAGAAATGAGATAAGTCACAACTCTAAACCATTGAATTGTCGGTCTAAGGACAGGTCTGTTGTCCAAGTTACTGCCACCCTGTACAATCTAGCACTTTCCTTTTTGCTTCATCACACGCCTCCTCCCTTTCTTAAATGTCCCTCCCTTGCTCTATCTAAAAAAAAGCTATTTTATTTTACCAGGTAAAGCCTACTGCGCTATGTAGCTCTTTTTCAGAAGCGACCTGACCACAAATGACAGCTCAACAGAGTGGCTTATCATGTGGAAATGTATAGCAGCCAAATACTCTAAAACGCCTGTTTCTAAGTGTGGAGCTAAAAACTGGAGGAGAAAAAATGCACGCAACCACAGGGAGAGAGAACATGCAAACTCAAAATATACAGGTGTCATAGTCGGGACCAAACCAACGACCTCCTACGTACCAGGCGAGGGAGCTAACATCTCGCCATTGCGGCACCCTATCGCTTGCTCCTTTTCCTCAACATCCTTAGGAGAGCTCTCTTCAGAAAGCCTACACCGCTGGCAATATAACCACTGCAGATCTAGTTCCTTCTCTCAATTGTTTCAATGAAACTTCTCTTCTCCCGATCCCACATCAGCACTTACCCACATCTCAGTCACTTACCAGCCACAAATAAAAAGACCTGCCTGCCACAGCTGAAAATCCCCTCGATATGACTATGGTCAGTTGAGTTGCTGTTCAGTCTACGGTAAGGACTTACCACATCTGCCACTTTCTTTAAACCCGCAATGTTGGTAGCGCCCTCACCATCGTGCTTCTTTACCTCCGTGGCGACCGCGGCGGTCCAGTCGCTGCCGTTTCGTGTAAAGAGAAGGCGCAAACACAAAAGGCCTTGAATTCATCATGTGTTTAAAAGCCAGTCTCTTTCAACAACACGAGCTGCTCTCTTACATGAACGAGTGTAAAACTGGGCGCAGTGAGTCAGTGCTTGGGAGGCAAGGGTTGGTGGATCATGTAGAGAATCGATCGGGACCCCCTGTTAAATTTCTCTCCTGCATAGCTTGGGGGCCTGGGCCCCTCCGGTCTGTGGGCCCCGTTGCAGTTGCACCACCCGCACACTCAATAGGCATGCCAATTGAATGCAATGGGTGAATCGTTATCTGGGGTTACCCACCTCATCCGCCCCCCAAGGCACAGGTGCGCTCACCTGCTGGCGGATGGCGTGAAAGGCACGCACACAGCGTCGCGGTGAAGCAGGAGGTCCTGGTGGACCCGTGCACTGGGCCCGGCTTCGCCACTCGCCCGTGACACCACGTGGTCACGCACTTTGCAGCCCTGCGAGGCCGGGGGGGTGGGGAGGTAGATGAGTGAGGGGTAGGGTAGCAAATCGGGTTCAGCTAAGACCGGATTGGTTGGCACGGTGAGTCACGTAAGGATGGGGAGATGGTGGCATGGCGAATCAGATGTAATCATGACTCTGATTTGTAACAATAAATTAAATCACTGGGAGGGATTCATCGGATACCAATTGCTACAATTATAGCGACACTCAGGGCTGACAGGAAGGTTTTTGGAGGCCTGGTGCCGTCTCTGCCCTTTCTGTTGTTGTTACTTCCTGATTATTGGACATCTGTGAAAAAGAGCTTCACAGTTCATCGGATTTCTCCAGGATAAATAAAGATCCTGACTCTGAGAACCCCTCAGATCTGAGGTTTGGGGCGAACTGCCCTACTTGAAGCCCACTCCTCCCCCCTGGCTGTTCCCGTCCATGGACCTTGGCAATGCTAGGCAAACGATGCTGTTGTTTAAACTCGCAGTTGAATGTGTTCGCATTGGCTGCAGTGGCTGACCTTGCTGCGCTGCAAGGGATCAAAGCGGATCGTGCGCTGCTTGCAGCAGGGATAGATCCCTAAGCCAGTGGGCGCGCCAGCCTCCCAGTCATCCCCGTACAGGGCCGGGTGCGTGTGGTACAGGCAATGGGATAAATCCTTGCACAAGAAAACCTGCGACAAAAACACACAGGCACACACACGTGAAATGTTACTTAGAATATGAATGGGCTTTGGAAAAGGCAAGCCTCATTGCTTGTGTTTTGAGTGTTGTGGCATTTTATCTTGACTTACAGCTCCAGCTGAAGTTTACAAAATATACCAAAAAAAGAACTCCTCGGAAAAATTGTGCTTTGGACATGCGGGAAGTACGGTACAACATTGCAGATCTGACTCACAGGGGACTTAAGTATAGGTGGATATGGTGGTTGGATATGCAACATACTGTATTTGTAAACAATACAGATCTTTCTGCGGAAAATCTACTCATATCCACCAAATTAATGCCACCCACACCATTAACTTGTGCACACGCACCTACCTTTAACCTTTTGTACCAAGTAGTTGTGCAGAGCATCCCTCAAAATAATCACTGACATACACCAATAAAATATAAACGGGTAAATGATTGCAATTTATAAGTTAAATCCATACTTGCAGAATTGTTAAATGTCGACTTATCAGTCAGATATGGCACGTTGAGTTTTTATTATTTTCAACATAAGTTGAAAGCGTTTTACGCATCAGCTCGTCCACGTGTCCATTGGTAAGCGGCAGGCGCACTATAAGAAACGCAGATCCAATATGAACAAAACTTTTAGAGAAAGCTGCGTTGCTGTTAGGGACTAGCTCATTCTCAAACCTGGCCGGATTGCCCAAATTCTTGGCCAAAACTAGGAACACGCAAACCAGCGCAAAACGAACTATTTGAGAATAATCAAACGCAGTTTGCGCCGACAGCAACCCGTCAACTTCCCGCACCGCCAACCGAACACTTCCGAAGGCAGGCGCGTGCCGGAGAACATTACATAGTCCACACGTGCGCATGATTCTTCCTGGACCTGCTTGCGTTAGACTGCACCTGATTGCAGCGGGAGCAGGTGAGGTAGTTGACGGTGCCCCAGAGGCGCCAGTAGACGTTGCGCCACGACTTGAGCTCCTTGTGGAGCGCCGAGAGATACACGTATAAGTCCCAGCCGCTTTCCCTGCATGGGGGGGGAGCAGGGCGGAGAGACAGCGGCGTGAAGGCACGTGTTATTTTCTCGGAACTTCTCCCGATTATTGGTCATGCGGTGTCGATAAATGCACCCGGAAGACGAGGGTCAGGAGCGGTTGTTGCAGTGTTGACCGGTGAAGCTGGATATCAGGCGCTATCCTCAGCCCACTGTGTGCGTGTGATCTCTGGGGAAGGGTGTGCGTCGTTCAAATGCCGGTCTTGCTTAGTCACAAGCGAACTCACACGAGCCATACTCTTTGGTTCTATTCGGTAAAGTCACGTAGGTAAAAAAATAAAATAACAAAAATCACGACGTTTCGGCCACAACACAAGTGGCATTCATCAGGTGAAGAGACCGTGCTGTCATGAGGACAGCGTTGGAGTGACAGCACGGTCCCTTAACCTGATGAAGGCCACTTGTGTTGTGGCCTGAAACGTCCTGATTTTTGTTATTTTATTTTTTACCTACGTGACTTTACCGAATAGAACCAAAGAGTATGGATCCTTGCAGTCACGAAAGCTTCAACTCTAGAATTCACACGAGCCAAACGTACCGACCGTATCAGATGCCGAACAATTACCGACTCCATCCTTGGGGACGGACTGCATGATGATGATGATAAATGAAGTCAACTGCATTAATAGAGGGGTCGAAATTTGGGTGCTAACCCTGATCCTACACGGCAACTGCATGCCTCATCACTGATACGCTTGTCTGGACATGTATCATTATTGGTGTGTCTGTCCACTTTCACTCGTCTGTGTCTAGATACGCGCATCTGTCCGTGTCTATTCATGTACACCAATCGGTCCGTGTGTCTGTATACATGAAAAAATGAAAACTCCAGAAAAAAATCACGAAGCGAGAGAGGGGGTGGAGTGGGAGTGGGGGGGGGCTTTCGGAAAACCTGACATGGCGATACAGAATCTCTCCGTGGCGGTCGATGAGCATCTGGCTGCGCACGCAGGGCAGCTTGCTCTGCGTGTCCTTGGTCAGCAGCCTCCGACAGAGCCGGCACCTGCAAGAAGACACGACGAGAGCCCGGGGCGTGCGTGCGGGCGGGCGGGCGGGCGGGCACGTGGGGGTGGGAGCGACAGCTGCTCCAGTCGGGAAAGAACATCGCTCCGGCGTCGCTTAGGTAACGACAAATAAACACGGCAGCAGATATTCGGCAAGCCCCTGCTGATATCTTGATAATGAGCTTGATAACTGGGAGGTGACACGGCCTAGGGGGTCGTGCGTTGACGGCTTGTTACAGAGTTCTACAGTTCGAATCCAGCGGCTGCCATGGTTAATGCTGTATTAATCATAAAAATACGAGTTGTCTGCTTCAAAGTGGACGGTAAAAATCGCGCGACGTCAATGGCAAGAGTAGGACATCGTATGCCAGCAGTACGGTCAATATTTTAAAACTTACCCGTAAATGACTCAATAATAATTTTATTTTATATCGCATCATTTATGCAAAACTGCATCTCACAATTGGTTTACACATAGCAGTCATCACCCCCAGCTGTGAAACAGTGGCAGGACCCTCTTGAAAAAGTCATAAGACTCAGTCAGGCTTTCCTGAGTAAACAAGTGTAGTAATAATAGGTTTTAATCAACAAATAAATGCATCATTACACGTTTATTCTCCCCCTGAATTTGCCATCACCAAACGTGGGGAAGTGCGGAAAAATAAGCCCCACGTTTCGCACAGCATGGGGAGACCCTTATTTGGCAGTGGTTTACAAAAGGACCGCATGCATGCATTTGTTATCTAACACTAATAAGCATAGAAAATGTCACATATACGACCATCACTTTTCCACTCTGGTAAATTAACTGCATGCACCCAGTGCAGTATTTAGACAAGGCGCAACTGTCACTCTACAGACGTTCACATATCTTATCTTTTTCACACATCCGCCTATACCTCAAGTCCCCAGCGTGTCGGATATGCGACCCTGTGTTACTTGTAACTAACGGCTGTCACTCCGGCGCCTCACCTGTAAAGCGAGGCGGCGGAGCTGGGAGAGTCGAGGTTCTTGTGCTCCGCGTCGAACAGCCGCTCGATTTTCTTACAGAAGATTTTACTGGCAAAAGCACACGGACAGAAAGACCTCCGAGCGTTACGCTGAATGATACAAATTCCTCTTCGAGCAATTTGCGATGTTTCAAGACAAAACAATGTGAAAAAGCCTCTACGTTATCTTTACACTCAAGAGCATCGTCAATAACGCCGTTTCAGACAATGACCCTTCTTCACAGCATATAATTAGCTAATGCATTGGGTGTGTTCTTAATTGTGCCTGTGCACTACTGCGAATGCAGCATCACCAGATAATTTGTCAAAGTTTTTTGTTTTATTATTTTGCTTTTTTCCCCCCCAAAATCATTCCGGTTGTGCTCTTGGCAATGCATCATGAAATGGAAAATCCATTCCCGAAATCTTGCGGTCGCGTGCTCCATGTGTCAGGGAATAGCTGTCTGTGTTGCAGATGTTTCACGTGTACCCAAAAATAAATATATTTTATGCAGTAGGGGTCACACTTTCCAACACACGCTGCTAAGGGGCAGCTTGTCACACGTCAGTCAACCCGTCATTTTTAGTTCTCGAACAAAAAATTGTCAAATTAAATTATCAACGAAGTTTAACAGGAGGTGTTATTGTTGTTTTGTTCAATAAGTCATGAATGCACCGAAAGCATCAACTCAATGCATTTGAGAGTACAATTTAATCACGGGTGGCTGCTCGTATTCAAACCTATGAACATAGCGGTGCCATCTCAATGCTCTAACCCGGACCACTTCAACTTGTAATCCAGCACCGTGGAGGCGATGGTTGTTGGATCACTCAAATGCTGCGAAACTCCGTTCCCGTAGGCATCAAGGTGCCATACCCTGACTCGCCAGGAGAAGACAGTACAGCAAATAGGACTAATCACCATCTGTTTCCAACTGTGCGGGGATAGGGAGTTGCCCTCTCGCACGCGTTGATTGTCTCCGGGTGCTCCGGTTTCCTCTCGCTTGTATAAACGTTCATCTATTGGCTGAAAACATCTTAAAATACCAATGCAGGACCCTTCTGAAAAGGAGTCCTATGACTCAGTGTGGCTTTCCTGGATATATAAGTCATTATAATTATATAAAAATAACATGTGCCCGATCTTATCAGACCTCGGATTGAGCCTTGGAGAGTGCTTGGATGGCTGACCACCAAGCACAAAAGCAGGTGCTGTAGGCCCTGTGGGCAGTGCAGCAAAATCCATTGTTCTGTGCTCCCTGCACCTTCATCCAATGCGCACTGGCCCAGCGTGGTGAGTTATGGTAAACTAACACCGCTTCTGAATGTGGGGAGGCCCTCATCCAGAAGCGGACGGACAAAACGCGCTGCACATGTAGTGGACGAGAATGCGTTGGCGCGCGGCTGGTCAGCAGGGTGTGCCATTGCGCTGGAAATATGAAGATCCATAATAAGGATGTTAAGTAAAAGGGCACATCAGCAATAGACAACGATGCTTGGTCGCAAGCAAAGCACGATCAACATGGGACGGGGTAAACAGAGTGCATTCACCATCTGTCCCAGAGGTTCTTGTTTCTCGTAACGGGGATTTTGTTGCCATTGGAAGCAACTCCGCCTAATGGCAAACACGGATGATGGTTGGGGAATTATGGTAACAAATGGCCAAACGTTATGCGGCATGTTTTAAAACCGCTTAAACATTCACCACGGGTGGCCGGGTGTCTCGGAGAGCTAGTACTGTGTGAGAGCAGAGCTGGTGCTGCTGAGTGCATGAGTTCGAATCAGAGGGTCAACCGCCCATAGTTAATTGGATTCTCGAGTATAGTGGAAGCAGAGAAAGCTGCTGAAGACCGCCCGGGCATGGCGTGGGCTTGTTGTGGCGTTATGCTCCACAGGGAACGAAGAGGAGTAAGTAAATCGAGCATTGTGAGTTGATGGTCTCAGAATGGTAGCGAATGACTTTTTATTGATTTAATAAATGACTTGAGCTTCTTCCAGCATGGAACACTAAATAAGTAGGGTTTCTATGAAAACTAGGAGCGGGGCATACAGAACATGTGCAACTTTCTTGAACAACCTAAGCCAAATTAACTAATTGTGAAAGTAGTTGCATGACATCTGCCAGGCTGTTCTCGACACCGAGTGGTGCAATTCTTGCCACACACACACACTGCTAGGGTTCATATTGAAAATGTCTTCGTCTCTTAGCCAGACAACTAAAGAACAATTGCAATTTAATTGTGAAGAAAAAAAAAACATTTTTAAAAACTTTCACAATTCAGGACACTCATGCAAACTAAACCCCACCTCCTAAACTTGTCCTTGCGATCCTTGAGCTCCTCGGCCTGGCTGTGAGTGAACAGGTCCGCGATGCGCATCACCAGCTCCTCGCCAATGCAGTTCATGTTGGAGGGGGCTGACACCACATCGGCCATGTGGGCATGGCAGTACCGCACGCACTCCTCCACCTGCACACAATCGGGAGGGAAAGGAAGGCAGTTCATCTTCATCATCACTCTGGGGTGGCCCAACGGTAGTGCGTTCGCCGCTTGTTGCAGTTATTCGCGGTTCGAACTCTGGCAGACTGCCCTGGCGAATACTGCAGAAAGCATTAACCATACAGTACATGCCGTCTGCTTCGCAGTAGACGTTAAAGACTCACGTGACTTCATTTGCAAGAGTGAGCCATTGTGCGTCGGTGTTATGGTCCAAATTTGCCAAATTACCTGCAAATTAATCAATTAGCATTGCACAGAGCAAACATTGCCCCCGACTGTGAACTTACTGCAGACTGTTGTTGTCTGTTGAAACATAGTGCCTTCGTGATAGCCTTGCATTATAAAGGTGGCGCAACAACCAAATGCACGAAATTAATATAATTACTGTCAATTAATATTAGTACGGCACCTCTCAAGGCACCAGGCGGCAAGGGAGGGCCCCATGGCAGCTGTCCCTGTGAGGCACAAGCTGAACACAACACCGGCCAGCAAACGGTCATTCGTCTGTCAGGACAGAGAACGACGCTGCTTTCCAATTGTAGAGCAAGAAATAAGTTGGGCCATGGTCCGAAATTTCAAGCAAATTATATATTTTTACTTTTAAGGCCAGTGTTACTGATGTGCGTGTTAAGGCTTTGTTATTTGTATTTGTGTACCACTGCCAATGCAGCAGCATCACCTTTGACGAAATACAAGTTGGCTTGAGAAGAACACGCCACAGATGGTGAGCGTTGTAAAAATATGCCGTCGAGGTCCCGAGGAAATTGTGAAACAGTGAAATTTAGGAACACGGCCCCAAAACAAACAATCCGAGCACACGGCCGAATTTAAACACAACTTCACAAATGCAATAAAGCAATTACGTACAAAACACATTGTACAAAAACATATTTTATCGTTAGCTCACTCTGCCATTGCGTCCGAATTATGAGAATGACAAATCTCAAAGTGCAATAACAGACGTTGCAAATTAAGTAGTAATTTTTTAAAAAGAATTAAACAAGAAAAATGGACATGTCACAGCCTTGGTTTCGCCTCGGACTTATGAGACTGGACGGCCTCGAACGCAAGCACTGAGCCGCACCAGCGGATTTATTCCATGACGACGGTGGGGCTTTTTGGCGTGGATGAAATCAACACAGTCCAACCGTTGTCAAGAAACAAGTGTCGCAGGCACAACTGCGTCTCCGTTTGGAAAACAAAGGCAAAACAGTGCAGTGTTTGTGCAGCGTTTCAAAATATCGGCTCGCACAACCAGCTCGCGTTCCTTACGAGGGGTCACGGCGTTGCTGCTGCTGCGAGATGTGCGGTCCCACAAGGCAAATGAGCCTCAGCTGAAAAAATATACGAAAGTTTATGCATACTCACCAAAGAGTCCATTTTTAGGAATTCTGACGAGATGAGAATTGAGATTACGTTGTTTGGTTCTGTATGGGTGGTGGGGAGGGGTAACATGGAAGTGTACATTTATCAGTACCGTATAATGCACGTGAAATGTAAACGTAATATAAGTTTTGGCAATGGTTAGAGAGTTGAAATCAAAGACAAATGCTCTTTTTTTTAAATTGCATACAAACTCGCTATACGTTGCTGTGGCGCATTATAGGTAATACCATAATGTTTCAACAACATTTCCGCGTTCATAAATACTGCTGGATATTGGTCTCAAAAGCCAGCTAATGGCTAAAACATTTTTTTTTGTATCGTGAGACACAAAACAGAGTTCTATATATATAAAAAAATGGGTTAATAAAATGTACTAAATTGAATGATCGAATCAAGTTTCATCAGGGTTGCGATTCAACTCAACACTATGGTAAAACGTAGCACATCTGTTACAGGAGTGACGTAAAACTATTACGTACCAGCATATATGCATCGAGAAATATTGATTCTTACACATGAAATTCAATGCATGTATCTTCTGCTCAAGAATCGACAGTATATGAATGATTACATCATGCCATCCCCATTATAGAGTAACTAAGAGGTTAATTAAAGATAGTAACAGGGTTTTTGCTATCATTGAACGACATCGCAGCTCCGTGAATCTCGATTGTAGGGATCAAATAGATCAACGATGGAACTGCAGGGTCCACAAGAGGAACACGACCTTGCTCCCCTTAGGGGTGGCCGGGTGGCACGGTAATCGAAGCACTGCACCGGAAGTCCGCAGAACCTGGGTTCAAATTCGGGTTTCAGCCACCCGCGATTCAGCAGGGTTTTCAAGAGGTGTAGCCAAAATGTATGGTCTCAGCCTGGTTGCAAATGACCGCACAGAAAAAGCGGAACATTCAATGTTGCCTTTTTTCCCCCACTTCATTTGGGGAAATAATTTCTCTCTGTCATTATATTATTGAAAAAAAGTTTTGCTGGCTGCTTGCCTAGCTGGCTATGCGCCATTCTGACTGGCTGGAGGCTATGCACTACCCTGGGCGCCAGAAGGAGGGGGTGCATGCATGGGTGGCCGGCACACAAGTGGGGGTTTGCGGTGGGGGGGGGGGCATAGTGAGGGGGTGCGGGGTGGGCCACCAAGGGGAAGTGCAAGTGGGGGTGGTTGCGAGGGCCGCGGGGGGCACGTGCGGTGAGGGGTGCACGAGAAAGAGGTGCAGTTGGTGAGGTGGGGGGGGCACTGGGGGTCACCTAGGGGTGGGGAGGTGCGGATGTTTTCTGATTCTGATGTTGGGGGTTGAGGAAGACAATTGTTATTTACAATATAGCCAGAAAGAGAATCACATCCAAAGGATGTACGGGCTGCTAGTCTTCTTAAGCATATTACCAATAATCCCCCTTGGCAACGCATGATTTTGTAAACAAATCAAGGAAACATAAGACGGCATACCAAGTCTGTGCTACACGCAACACCACAGGAGAAGGAGCTGCTACTCAAAAATACAAAAGCAGTACGAGCAGAAGCTATTGTTTTGTTACCATTTTGCTCCTAGAAAGCTCTTAAAACAAATACGCAACTGGGGTTATTTCCATAGACAATGGTGTTATGCATGGCAGCAACCAGCCCCTGTAAGAGCTGACATTTCACCAACTCAGCTTCACTTAATTTGGTCTTGCACAGCCAAAGTGTCTGCACAGCATTTCTGCAGCAGGGGTTCTCAACTTGTCGGGGCTGCGATGTGGCCTATGGGTCGCCTATTCACCGATCGTTAAAGAGGTTCACTGTTAAAATCCAGCAGCCGCCCTGATTATTACTCTGGGTTTAATAAACCCTAATAATATTACGCGATGTCTGCTTTGCAATGGACGTTCATTATCCCACAATGGAATTCGCAAGAGTCAACCCATGTGTACTGATGTCACGGCTCAAATTTGTCAACTTGAAAAATTACTCGATTGGAATATAAGTAACAATCATCGCACATTACTGCTTTAAACTTGGTAGAAGCCTTCTAAAAAGTTCATGAGACTCAGTGAGGCTTTGCTGGGTAAACAAGCGTAATACAAAATAACAGCTACCCCGCAGTTTCAACAGAGTTCTCTTTGTATAGTGATCAAAATGGATGCATTGTAATACATCAACTACATTAATAATACGGTTTTTCCCCTTTTTTTCTGGCAACAAAACTGAAACCTTTTTTTTTACAAGGATTCATGTCTGCATTAACCACAATACTTGCAGTCAAAATGCAAACAAAAAACACTGATAATATATGCATTGTCCTTGAAACTACATTCTCAGGTTGTTATACATGGGGCAGTGCAACAGTAATAATTTGTCGGCACAGTCTAGAATCCTGCTGTGATCGTCATACAAACCCCCGAGCCTTTAGCAGCCACCACAATGCTTATTTTTAGTTGCACGAGGGTTCTAAATACTATTTTACACGGGCACTACCAAGTTGCGGCTGCTCTCCGCGGTCGGCCAGCCGCGTGTTGCGCTTGACATAGCGCATGAGCCAGTCGAAGATGTGCGCGTCGCAGTGGACCGAGATGTCCACCTCCTCCCAGCGCTGGGCCTCCATGGAGAGGTATTCAGAGAAGTAGCGCATCTCCTGCACCAGCAGCTGGCGCGGGCAGCTGAAGTCGCGTTTGACGCCACGCGCCTCGTCGCACACGTGGATCACCATCGTGGGCCTGCATGCACACACGGACACGAACGCGTGCAAAGATTAGCCCTCCCGCCGTCCCACCCCTTGTGGCCTTTAACAGACTGTTGGGGTAAGTGCTGTTAGCGAGCAACTATTAATGCAGGCACAGGGCACGAAAGAGTGGCGCTCAGACGCTTTTGTCTCCCAAGCACTGTATTTATTCACGGTACCAGGTACTCATTGAAAGCCGAGTCAACCTAAGAGACCTAGGCCTGCTTCAGCTATTAGACACTGCTCGCCATTGGCATTTGTCATGGCTGGGAATTGAACTCGGGTCTCTGGATTCATAGCACGGTGTGTCAACTACTGTGCCACCACTTCCCAAATGCCACCACAAACAATGGCGCATACACACTCATGTGCGTGCATATCTTATCACTGTCAGCTAGAGGCAGAGCAGGTATGGTGCTTGCTGGAGTCCCATGGGCAGTTTCATATTTATTTTTCAAATGCTTAACGGTTTTTTCCGGAGGGTTCTGCTTTGGAATGTTTGACCAATACAAATGGAGAGAGTTGCACCTTATGAAGGAACCCGGAGAATCCAGATGAGCCATGGATAGAAAAGCCAGATTGAAGGGGATGCTCACTGATGTTCACCATGGCTGGGCACCCAAACTCGGGTCACCGATTTAATCATGCGGTGCACGAACCAGCGTGCCACAGCCTCATACATTATTAGGTCCAGCCACAGCTTACCCTTGACTTTCCGTTGACTTCTTTGGCTCTGCAACATCAGCTGCATCTTCCTCCTTGTGGAGCCCGGTTTTGGCAGGAGATGTAGCAGGAACATCTTGATGCAAAATATAAAAACCGAAAAAAGCAACTCGCCAAGCGTGAAAAAATTATTCATTAAAATAGATTCTTAAGCTGGCAATGCATGCATCCGATCCTGTGTTTAAAAAAAGACGTTATTTTAACATTGTGTTCTTGAATCGAATGTAGACCCTGGAACGCGACAATTGAGGTAATCGCTGACAGGATAATCATATTTGCAATATAAACAAGTTGTGACTACAAAATACTGTAACGTTCAGCAGAATGCCGTGCTGTGCACCTGGGGGCCAGCACGCCACGCCGTCCGTCTGGGCTGACGGCTGCGCCTTCATGGCGCAACGCAGCAGCAGCAAGTCCTTGATGTGCCCGACCAAAGCCTGGAACGGCGCGTCCGGCCCATCGTCACCTGCCGGATGAGCCCTGGGAACGAGCGAGAGGACGGCGCTTCTCCTCTTCAGCTCCTCGAAACGCCGGGCACACTGCGAAGCACAGCGATGCGCTCCCATGACCCTTCGCCGTGAAGTGCTTCCTCGACGTTTCCACAGCGCGTGCGTACAGCGTCTCGCGTTTCCACCATTCAACGGGCAGAGTGCAACCGCTGGTAAAGAAGGTGGCTCAGTTGGGCCAAGTCAAGGGCTTCCGTGGGGCAGTTTGCTTGCAGGGGGCCGAAGAGTAGTTTTCAAGTACCCTTGGCAGGCCACATGCTAACAAGCTCCTTCGCGTTATCCAATAATAACGGGAACATTACGTGCGAGTCTAAATGGGCCCTTGCAGCGACGTGACTCTGAGCAAAAAATTTAAACGCAGTGTTGTCAGCTGTACAATATTCCCCTCCAGTAGCTGATTATCACGGTTTAGATGTCCCCACATTGACTAATAATTATGTTTCCGGGTTGTTCTGAAATGGAATTTTAACTCGAGCCATTGCATTCATAGCACAGTCCGCAGACCACTGTGCCACTGTGAGCAGCGCATGGGGTGAAGTCACGGGCTGTTTCCAGCTCAAGGGCAGTGGGTCCCCATCCCCCCGCTCTAAGTGGTCCCCTGTGGCTCATAGCTCTTGTGAACCGATGGGCACTTCACGAGAGGCAAGCCGCGATCATAACGTTTTAAATTATCACCACCTTAACATGGTAATTATGCTCTATTAAATTGTGTACACACGTGTGCGACATATGAAGTCACTGCACTAACAAAAGCGCGCACAGCACTCGTCTAAGGAACCTTCAGGATTCACGAAACGCCCTTCCCCAAGCCTTCCGTGTCATCAACTCCCCCTGCTCTCCAGTTCCAGTCCAGGCACATGACCTTGATTTTTCTGTCCAAATCTACAAAGAATATATATGCATGCCGTTTCCGTGCAGCACATTGAGATGCGGTCACATTTAGACGCGTGACAAATTCCAACTGCATTGAACTGTACATGTACAACCTGCTTTATCAATCCTCTACTGTGAGGCCTGTTTTACCATACTTCACCACAACGGACAGTGCGAAGTGGTGAAGATGGAGGGGGGGGGGGGGGATCAACAATAGACGTTTGCTGCACTATCCGCTACTAACCACAACACCTAATTACCCTGTCTTTTCGACATGGTTGTCACCCAACAAGCATTAGCCAGGCCCAAACATGCTTAGCTTTTGACATCCGATGCATGGCCCCCAATCCAAACGCCTTCCAGGCCCAAAAATTCTGCTTAGCTTCGGAGATCTGACTATATGAGGCGTCACGGTGGTCACCCATTGGAGCACTATCCGGGCTCAACACTCCTTAGCTTCCGAGATCTGGCGAGATGTGCGGCACACCCCGGTTTACTTTGCCACAGGCATTGTGTACACTGCATTGATTCGAAGGAGGACGGGGCGCCTCACATCGTCGGCGCTGCAGCCGGGCACGAGCCGAGCGATGCTGCCCCAGTCGCCCGGCGGCTCCAGGACCAGCAGCGAGCGCAGCACCGAGTCGAGCAGCTCTTGCTGCGCCGCTTGCGCTGGCCACGCACCGCCGCCGCCACCCTCGAGGTGTCCCACTTGGTTCATCGTTCCTCGCCAGTGGCTGCAGACGCATGAGAAGAGTGCTCTTCATACCAACGCGTTTCCGTCGAGCAGACTGCCAACCACATACCAGCTGGCACCAAATCCTCTTTCAATGTTTTTGTATTCCCATTCATAAATTATGAATATAAAAAAGTATAGTCCTCTATCAATCCACTGCTGAATGAAGGCCTCTTCACACAGTGTTGGTCAGTTATCAGGGAGTTAATCGGATTTCACCACATTGGTCAGTGCGAGTTGGTGAAGGAATGAGAGCCAAGACTAGATCAGATAAAACTCGCTCCTGATCTTGGCCGTGGCACGGCATTTAACTCAAGTTATTGGCTTTATAGCGCAGTGCGCAAAGCACTGTGCCCACCACCTCATGAATTAATGTACATACCATGAAATACAAATTTGTACCGTTCTTGTGCATGCACCTCGAATCTGCAATGGCTCACCGTCTGTTAGGTATGAACATAGGATAGACGGTGACAGCTGATACCCTGCCAGTTCCAACAATTTTTTTTTGCAATCTTTAGGAAAAACTTTTATGTGGCTTATCGTAAAGGAAGATATTCAACCAAAAATGCATTTTCTGGACGATGTAATTACAAAGATTAAATTAATCTATTTAATTAAAAAAAATCATTATTGGCTATATCGTCACACTACACAAGAGATTAATTACTTGATTCGATGATGACGAGGGCCATATATTCTGAAGCATTTACGACAACACTTAAAGCATTTCAGAACGTTACGCTCACCATGCCCTCTGGGGTGACATTAATCAACCTCCAGGCTGTAGTTTTTGGGCCTCCAAGTAAATCAAACTAAACGTATTTCTTACTTTACAGTTATACGGCATACTTACATATATTCCATCAAATATCCACTTTCTAGCTCTCTGAACAAATTCGACTTCAAATAAGTCACTGTCAGAATCACCGAAACAAAATCAGACGCAGGACTCTTGCCATTTGTACAAACAGCTCGGGCTCAAAGCACTCAAGCAGCACATTTTGCCACTAACTGCAGTGTTGTATTGCAAATTGTCAAAAGTTCGTGCATAACGAATAACCCAACTCTCTCTCGTTAACACAATAGCATAGAGTATTGAACATCTCAGCAGGGTTTGCCCTGGTGAAATCGGGGGGGCAGTTATATGAATGAGCCACGAGTTGGATTCTCAGCCCAAGGTGACCACGGCGGCGAGTGATATCTGAATCGAGTCGGTGCCCTTCACCCTCCTTCACTAACCAACCAATGCCCAGTGCGGTGAAGTATGGTCCAACAATCCCCCGCATCGTGGGGGAGGCCTTCATCCAGCAGTGTGGGGACATCGGGGCCAAATGTCTTGTTTGTTTATGATTGAGTGTTTAATGACTCAAAGCAGTCTGCTTATAGTAAATGATTAGCCAGTAAGGTCATTGCCCAAGACTTCCTGGCAATACTCTACTGTAATGATTATAAATCTATTGGGCTCTCAGCGTGTTCAATAGAGATACAATGTAAATAATGAGCCACTGAGCTTCTAACCCCGTAACTATAGTTTACTTTTTTACTATTTGCTCGTTCAAAGGTTGTATTCCCATTTTCCAATCTACGTGAAAGGGAAAAATAAGATAAAGGTGCAGCCCTGAAATTGCTTGATAAGGCCACTGCTGGCAGAAGACGGGCCCCTCCAATGTATTAGGCCTGGGGGCTGTCCATAAATGACGTCACGCGATTTTGGCCGATTTTTGAACCCCCCCCCCTCGTCACACTGCGTCACAAAGTCAGACACCCCTCAAATATGACGTCACAAAGCTCTACCCCCCCTCCACAAAAAAAACATTTCTATTTTGAAAATTAAACATGCTTCAAATAGCCTTAAACTATTGCCTTTGTAGTGCGTATTTAATGTGGCACTGCACTCTGATGTTGTAGGAGAAAACATTTATTAAAAAGGCGTTGGAAAGTTGAAATTTAGCATAAAATTCACTTCAAAATAATCAACGTCTAACTAAAACTGCAGATGGTCAGAATATTATATTGAAATTATCCTATAATTTTTATATTTTATAATTATAACTATAACAAAACTTTGTAGTAGAACGTAGCAAAATGGAGAGTACAATAATAACAATCACATTCATTTCACAGAATGAAAAGCCCTGGTAGAATGATTAGAATCTAAATGTTTAATAACAATCATTAATTATTTTTTTTACAAAATGTATGCTTCTCCATTCTCCCATGGAGAAGCAAAATGCTCCTTCATGGAATAAATAAAAGGTGACCTTAGTAAATAAAAATAATCAAATAGTTAATAATGAAAATGTAAACAAAATTTGTGTTGTTATAACAATTCTATTCAATTAATATTTATTTAAAGTTGGGCATTTTGATGTGACGTCACATTTCTCAACCCCTCCCCCCTCGTCACACATCGCCACATGTCTGACCCACCTCCCCCCCTAGGTGCGTGACGTCATTTATGGACGGCCCCCGACTCTTCCACGCTTGCCCGACGTCTTGTAAGGAGGTGGCAGCGATCAGATTGTACCCATTTATACTGCTGGGTGGACATCGGCCGTGGTGGGGGGGGGGGGGGTGTGGTGGCATTGATGCAAGTGCCGCACCGGGAGATCGAACGGGTGAACTCTGCAATATTTTTTTTACAACAAAACAAAAATCAACCTTCAAAAACTCGCACCTCGGTAATGTTGTCCCTGGCTGTTGCCCAAAGCTTCGGTAACGGTTCACACAAAAAATAAAACTTTATCTAAGGGGCCGTCCATAAATGACGTCACGCACCTGGGCGGGGGCAGACATTTGTGACGTCACATCAAAATGCGCAACTTTAAATAAATATAAACAACACGTTCTACTTAATTAAAAATACTTTTTATATTAATGTTTTCTCCTACAACATCAGAGTGCAGCGCCAGCCACATTAAATACGCACTACAATGACAATAGTTTAAAGCGATTTGAAGCATGTTTTATTTGGGGAGGGGGGGGAAGAGCTTTGTGACGTCATATTTGAGGGGGGGGTCAAAAAATCGTCCAAAATCGCGTGACGTCATGTATGGACGGCCCGGTAACGGTTCACACAAAAAATTAAACTTTTATCCAAGTTGAATACTGTCGGCAACTCGAGTTGGCTTACTGCGGCATCGCTCCGGGACTTTCGAACGCAGCAGCGACGTCACAGCCGTAAACTTTCGATATAAAACTCAACACATTCCTCAATCACGCCGCCACCCTAATGGGGTGAATAAAAATAATATATGTGGGACGTTTCAGGCAATGGCCCTCGTGCATAGCCACCGAATCTACGTGTGCACCACTGCCAAAGGCGGCATCGCGATTTTTTGCGTAACTTTATACGTATTCTTGGTTATTACGGTAAAGTCACGCAGAAGGGAAACAATAAAATAATAAAAAAAATCAAAATTTTCTTGCTGTGGTTTTCACACCTGATGATGACTGCTGCTTGTGTTGCAGTCGAAACGTCGTGAGAATTTTATTGTTTCATATTTTTTATCATTTTATTGTTTCCCTTCTACGTGACTTTACCGAAAGAACCAAGAATGTGAATCCCTGCAAGTCACGAAAGCTTTAAATCAAAATTTAACTTCATACGATTTATACATTTTTCCCCCCTCCACATGAACGGAGCCGCCAATTTCGCCCGCCGGAACGCACGTGCGTGCGGCGAAGGAGCGAGCCGATATCATCCGGGGAAGCAGTAAGCCGATTGAACGGCTTAGAAAATAAATAAAAAGGCCGTGAAAACCGCTCACTTGCCCGGCAAGCAGCGGGCAGGGGTCGGCGTCATTCAAACCTCGGCACTTAGCAACTGCTGGGCCCGGTCCGCGTTTATCTCTCCTGTAGACAACCGCTCCTCCTTCACGAACGACGCGTTCCCTTGGCTTCTGATTGCCGCCACACGGGGATGATTTATTTTTGATTATTATTATTTACAAATGTTAATGATTTCAAACAACGAATATATATTGAAATTTGACACTGAAGGAACACTGTAAAGGAACGTTACAGATGATAGCGAATACTGTACAAGAGGTGGATATGCCGGGCTGCCAGGGGAGACGGCCCCGCCCCTCGATCAGCTGTTCGCTCCACCCACGTGATCCACACCCACAACCCCCCCACCCCACGTGATCACCCTCATCCCTCCCCTCACTCTCGCTCCCGGTGACTGAAAATTCACACATCACGTGATCACCCCCCCCCAACCCCGTACGCAACGCACGCGCTTCACACCACGTGATCTAACCGCCCCACCACCCCCCACCTTGCCCACCAAGGACAAAGGTCCCCCCGTAAGAGGCTGTCAGCCAGACTGTTGGGGCAAGTGCCGTTAGCGAGTAGCACCCAATGAAGGCCGGCAACTGTGGGCACAACTAGAGGGTGGGAGTGGCCAGCGACTACGCCCGGCCGCCTTTGTCTCCCCCCCCCTGTGACGATGTTTAACACACCGCACCAGGTAGTCATTTTGAGGCTGAGTCGACCTAGGGGAGGCTCAGGGAGCGACTCGCAGCGTAGCGCTAACCGCTGCACCACCGCTCCCCTTAACACCTCCCCCTCCCACTCTCTGCCGATTCAAATTTCATAGAGCGCATAAGAACGCATGGCTAATTACGATTGGTCCGTTTGGGCGGGCGGGGATCGATATTGTCACGTGTGCGCCGGCCGGACCAATGAACGGCAAGCTCACAAACCAACACCGGTACGCCGCGGCGTATGCGGTCTAGGAGATTGCAGACAGGAAGACCCGGCGTGAACGGTGCCGTGGGTGGGTCCACGGCGTCATGGGATTATAACATTTATAAAAGCAGCACATTTAACGCGGTAGATTTCAAACCGTTTGACGTGGTGCATACCGCGTAATATCATGCGATGAAAATAAACTCGCCCGCTAGCGTGTCGTTGTTGTATGCCGGGGGGTATCGGTGTTGGTTTATGAAGTGGGGTTGTTTTTTTTTTTGGTTTGACTGTGAGACCCGCCGCTGTGTCGCGTTCCCGCCCCTCGTCGCCCTAGCAACGCGCGCTGAAGGAACCCCCGCGAGCGGCCTCCCGCTGCCGCTGAGGCCAGCGGACCGCACCACGTGCGTCTGAAGGCCGCGGCGTTTCGATCAGCGACACACCGCGCGAGTAGAGAGTCATTTAAGACGCGCCTCGCGCACGGGAGCGAGCGGTGCTGTGGTTGTTATTTCATTCAGTTAAGTGTTCATACTAAGGGGCCGTCCATAAATGACGTCACACACCTATGATGGGGGTGGTTTGAGAAATGTGACGTCACATAAAAATGCGCAACTTTAAATCAATATAGAATTATTTTTTTAAAGCTTTCGTGACTGCAGGGATTCATATTCTTGGTTCTTTCGGTAAAGTCCCTTCTTCGTGACTTTACCGAAAGAACCAAGAATGCAATATAGAATTGTTATAATAACAACACTAATTGTTATAACGACACTCCTACAACATCATAGTGCAGCGCCACATTAAATACGCAGAGCTTTGTGACGTCATATTTGAGGGGCGGGTCTGACTTTGTGACGCCGTGTGACGTCATTTATGGACGGCCCCCTAATGACACTTTTTGTAGTGCCCTAAACCTAATGGCGAGCCATTTAGCCAGTCGATGGTGGTTTATGCACGTGGCCTGTAATCTAGCCACGTGGAGTCGAGGGTTGGTGGATCGCACAAATGTTGTGCAACTCCCTTCCCGTAGGCCTCGCTTTGCCATGTACCCTGGCTTGCCAGGAGAAGCAGACTAATCGCCATCTGTTTACATCTGTGTGGGGATTAAGAATTGCCTCCTCGCGCGCGTGCGTTTTCTCCGGGGTCCTACGGCTTCGTCCCGCTTGTATAAACTCTCATTAATTTGCTAAACACGTCTTAAAAATAAATACCAAAATGCAGGACCCGCCCTAAAAAAAAAGAGTCCTACCACTCAGTGTGGCTTTCCTGGATAACTAAGTATAAATAATATATGTCTACAGGGGCGCTCAAGTGTTGGATCATTTACTGTTGAAATTCAACGAGTTGGTCACACTGCGTTCGCAGTGGTGCACAAACAAATGCAACACATTCGTCAATTACGCTGTCTTAAATGGAATACTGTATATAATTGGCGACGTTTCAGGCTCGTAGCCCTTCATAGCACATTATGGTTACTCTTTAATCTTTACTTTATTTAAAAGTAGTTTCACCACCCCTGGTCTGTAGCGTTTTGTTTCTAACTTTTGTCTGAAAATGGAAGAAAATGTATATTAAGCGTAATAGTTTTAAAATAACAAAACAGTTGGCAGTTAGTCGAAATTTATTCTAGGTTTATGATAAGTTTAGAGTTCACTATTGGAGTCGCCTTCACATATTTTGCAACACAAGTCTCAGCTACGTCTTATATTACGTGAGTTGTCAATGTCTAAATGTATCCTGCATGTCTCTGTTTAATCCACCACTGCTGCCTGGCAGGATGAACACAATGAAGACAAATCCGCCGCCCCCGAGCAAGTGTGGAGGCCGGGCTGCAGCGCCTTGCAGGCAGGGTGCACAGCTGCCCGCCGTGCGGCCCACGGCCCGTCCTCTGTGGCGCAGCGCCACGGGCTCCCTGACGGGCGTCACGGGGGTCACTGGCGTGGGGATCGCACCGACCCTGGCCGACAGCGGAGGGCAGCTGAGCCTGCCCCTTGCCCAGTCACTGCCCCCGCCTGTGCCCCGGCGCCCTGCCAAGGAGCCAGCTGTGAGCATGGAAACCCAAGAGGGAAGTGCAGAAACAGATATGCGAGTACAGGTAGAGCAATGCCTGCAAACTAACTCGTTTTTAAGTTTGCAGACGTGTACAGGCTTGTGGTGACATGTTAAATATATATAATGGTCATATTAAATGGGTTTTTTTCTTTGAATGTGTTTCTGATAGTTTCAAGACAGGGAGAAAGAGCTGCTGGATCAAATACGTATCTTGACAATGAAGGTGAACCTGTTGGGACAGGAAAATAAGGATAAAGATTCAATGGTGACATCACTGACCAAACAAATGAATGCAAAGGTTAACATTTTTTAAATATTTTTTGGCCTTTCAAGAGCAAAAAAATGTAATTCTGGAAAGAGGAGTTTGTGAAAAGTGATTATTAAAGCCTCGTGCAGAGGTCAATGGGGCTTTTTTTTCTTTTTCAGGAGCTGGAGCTTGAGGAAAGGCTTGCCACAGAGAGGCAGACACACAGACAAAGTCTCGAGAAACTTGCTAAAGTTGAGAACCTGGCAAAAGAGCGCATGCTTCTCTTGCAGGAAAACGCACGACTGCATCACGAAGAAGTGGAAAAGATGAAAATGCAGGTTTGCATACGTGCGGCGCTCTGGTATGGTAGCATAGCAGAATTTAACATTTCACGTATTATCTTGTGGGAACTGCATAATTTGACTGACCACACAAAAATTAACGACACTGCAACATGTACAGGCCTAAATTTTGATTTAAAGCTTTCGTGACTGCAGTAATTCATATTCTTAGCTCTTTCCATAAAGTCACGTTGAAGGGAAACAATAAAATATAAAACAAATTTTTTATTGTTTTATATATTTTATTATTTTATTGTTTCCCTTCAACGTGACTTTACCGAAAGAGCTAAGAATATGTACAGGCCTTTTAAGTAAATGATTTGTCTTAAAATGCTTTAATTGTCTATGCTGTGCTTGCCCAATGGATCAATGAATGTGCATTATTGCGTTCAATGTTATATTTTGAGGCAGCACAAAGAGTCTATGGCTGCAGTTCTAGAAGGTAAAGAGAAGGAGATGCAATGCTTGGAAGAGAAGATTGGCAAGCTGAAACAGCACATCGCCGACCTGCTAAATGGGAGGTCCAGGTAAGAGGTTAAACTGGAAACGTATAAAATGGAACATACTTTTGGGGAGTTGGGGGGGGGAAGGCAGATCAAGCAGCTGCCCACCACCCCCTAACTTTTGAATGGAATATGCAAACCAGTTAGCACTGTTGGGTACTTATGGTGCGAAAGAAGTTCAACATACATACATGGGCCAGTGTCCCCCCAACTTCAACTCTAAAATCTTTCCTACACTTCTGGCTAAAGTGATGCTCCTCAGTATTCTTACGAGCAATTATGGTATTATGAGTACACCCATGCAATTTTAGTTAGCAAGTGATATCCCGATGCTTTAGGTCTCAAAGACGGTTTATGGTGCTAGCAGATGAAAATAATTAACTTGTAATAAAGTTGTTTTTATTCCACTTACGGGGATTCACCATTTCATGAAAATGTGAAATGTTATTCACAGAGAACGGCAGCAGCAGCTGGATGAGCTGAGGAAAGAGCTGAACCGGATTACCCAGGAAAATGAACGCATGCAGAAAAAACTCGATTCACGTCTGGAAAAGAGGTGTTAAACGTTGTACGAGCCAAACCCACGTAAATACATTGTATGTAAATTTTTGATTTAAAGCTTTGGTGACTGCAGGGATTCATATTCTTGGTTCTTTCGGTAAAGTCACATAGAAGGGAAACAATAAAATAATAAAAATATAAAATAATTCAATTATCACGACGTTTTGACTGCAACACAAGCAATCATCATCAGGTGTGAAAACCACAGCAAGAAAATTTGAAAAAAGTGGCGGTTTTTTTTTTACGTTAGCACCACGGAGAGCGATTTGGCAGTTTGTTCAGATGGATGAGTCCATCTATGTTCGGAAAAGAGGAGGGGGGAGACGAAAATAATGGATGCGGTCTGAAAGACACAGTAAGTGTGAACAATCAAGACCCGAAATGGTCTATAAAATCTTTCCAATGATTGCTAAGCCAGAATCCATCTTCTCGGTTGAAATTGTCTCTGTGTTTGTATATGTGGATAGCCTCATGAACGAATCTCTCATGGTAGCCAGTTGGCTTGCAGAGAACCTTTGTCTTGGAGAAGTCAATGTCATGTGAGCCTACTGAATTATAACAATGATCTGCCACGGGCGAGGTGTTGGTCCTACCATGTTTTACATTGTATGTGTTTATCTTAGCAACCTATTGAGTTTCTCAAACTCGCAGTCTGAACATGTGAAGTTACAATTATCGTCACTTATCTGGACTTGGAAGCATCATGTGAATCTTCTTTGGTTCTTTCGGTAAAGTCACGTAGAATGAGAATAAAATAATAAAATAAAATAAGACAATAAAATTCTCACGACGTTTCGGCCACAACACAAGTAGCCTTCTTCAGGTGAAAGAACAGAACTGTCGGGACGACAGAGCTTGAATGGACGCTGTTGAGATTCGTAGCGTCTTTTAAGCTCGGTGAGAGGCGTGGAGAGCCTTGACAAAGGAGTTTACCTATCAAATCTGAATTTAGCATTGAAATAGCTGAGGGATTAGCTTGTCACAGAAATAGCTGTGTTAAAGTCAAAGTTTACATATCAACAAAGGTATTTAGTATATGTACGCTAAAGGTCTCCAACTACCAACTATCATAAAGTAAACCGATGTGAAACGTGAGAATTGAATTGTCTTATTTTATTTTATTATTTTATTCTCATTCTACGTGACTTTACCGAAAGAACCAAAGAAGATGAATCCTTGCAGTCACGAAAGCTTTAAATCATCATGTGAATCTCAATAAAATCGATTTGTTTTTCATGTACTTAAGTCATGTAAAGCCCGAAAGTGCCATTACATCACCAGGTAATGTGTGCCTTATGTTGTGAAAGAATGTATTTACTTTTGTTATTTAAATAATGTCTACAATATTGTCCATTATGAGACCTCCTTTTGCCAGTAATAAAATATAGAAATAGGTTTTACCCTTTTAACTGGCCAGTTAAAAGGGTAAAACCTATTTCTATAAATATTGTCTGTCTTTGGTATTTTTGTATTGCATCAACGATTAATTTCCACTAAATTAGAGGTGAATGATTCATTAAGCTGCATGTCTTCAACTATATGTCAAGTAAGTGAACCCACAATGTTGTATTTCATATATGCGAAAGTGTAGGTTTCATTAAAATAATATGCAACCACAACAATAAATAATAACAAAATGATGTATCCTGGGATGGACATGGTTTAAAAAAAATGTGTTTCAAATAAAAACGACTGTCGACTAGAGTGCACTTTGTTAAATGGTTTTGCGAACGTGGGGCTTGTGGTACTGTAATGTAACCATCCAGTGACTGCACACGCTAATTTAATTTCGCCATATACGTGGTGGACATCCTCTGGTATGTCTCCTTCATTAATCATCACTGGGCATCATCCTTTCCAGCGATCTGTTCTGCCAAAGCTTGCCTTTTTGAACAGTCCAAATGTCTGCGTATGTATTCTGATTAATGTGTTCCTTCGTCACGAATTTTCTGTATCCACCTTGGTGTGCTTCTTGTGCACTTTTACACTTTTGCTCCATTTTATTTGTCAGCGTCCCAAGTTTCTAAACCGTATATCACAGCAGGTAACGCTGCTTTAAAAGTTTTTTTCTTTCGGTATGTTTATCATTGGTATGTTTTTGTTAATTAATTTTCTTTAAAAAATATGACTTAGAAAAAAGTTTTGCTGGCTGGGATACCCTGGTCGCGCAGTCGAGTGCACGTTGATGATGTCTGCCGCACAGATCGAAGACTTCACTCGGATCCCACAGCGTTGAGCCGGGTTCATGCGTGCTGATATCATGCCTCCACCTACCAGCACGGCCGTGTTTCCTACGCTCATGTGCGGGATACGCCATCAAACTATATTACGAACAAAAAGTTGTTCTGGCTGGCTGGACAGAGGGACCAACTGTCACGTGCATAAGATGTGCGGGCTGCCAGGCATAATGTAAATCGCTTAAACCTGGCCTCGTCTCCATATTTCAGCATTTTGCTGCCGTTTTGCTTTCAAAAACTGACCTAGGTTTACATTTTCTGCTGTTTTCAGGGTACAAAAAAAATGTGATGACACTCGTTTACAAAATAAAGCCCCGCTCAGTCTCAAGACTCTTGTTTCAGGAGGGCCCTGCCAAGTTGTCGCAAGAGAGAGTGATGTTGCTATGTGTAATACAAAGTGAGTTATTTGAAGGCAATTATTCAGCATTGGGAAGTTTGACCAGTAACAGCTTTTTTTTTGTTTGCTATGGGAAGAAACCGGAGAACCCGGATGAGACCCATGCAGAACGGTGGGTCAAGATACAAAACTACTACACAGGAAGGGACCCAAGTCGGGAATCGAACCGAGTAATATCTTGTTCGATATCTCGAATTGTTTAATTGCATTCGTGCCGACCACGTTCATATTGGGTACACGCTGCGAACGCGTTTACCCTGTCAGCCAATCACGCGCGTGTGGGCGTGGCAAGACAGTGCTCGGTTGTAAGATAAAATATAATTTGCGCATTTTTTAAAGTGATTTGTTTACCTTTCTAATACTTCGCATCCCTATCGTGTTCTTGTATTGTTGCAACATTCTGACGTGCCCCTACTGGACAGCTGTGAAAAAAGAGCTTTATAGCTCATCGGATTCCTCCTCGAGTCTAAATAAACATTGGGATTCTGCGTGCACTTTGTAAACGCGCTCAGCCTCGGCAGCCAATCGCGAGCGGGTTACGGCTCAGCTCGCTATTGGGGTGCACTTTGTGAAAGTGCCACGACCACGCGCGACGTTGCCACGGCAACGTTGACAACAGAGAGAGAGAGAGAGGCCGGTGCCATGGACGAGGAGGCGACCCCGGCTCCCAGGGCCCGCCGCGTCTTCATCAACCGCATCGACTCGTTCCTGGGTAGAAGCCTCGCGCGGGTGAGTGGGGTGGGTGAGTTTGGTGTGTTGCACGAGTGAGCGGGTGGACGAATTGACTGGATCAACATTTCGGTGGAATTTTGCAATTGTCTGGGCGAGTGTTTTTGGTGAGTTGCCTGGTTGAATGGGTCAGTGTTTTTGGTGAGTTGCCTGGTTGAATGGGTCAGTGTTTTTGGTGAGTTGCCTGGTTGAATGGGTCAGTGTTTTTGGTGAGTTGCCTGGTTGAATGGGTCAGTGTTTTGGTGAGTTTCCTGGGTGAGTGGTGAGTGGGTTGAAACGAGTTGCCTTGGGTCAGTGTTTTGGTGAGTTTCCTGGGTGAGTGGTGAGTTGTCCTGGGTGTGTGGTCCAATGAGTGGGTTGAATGAGTTGTCTGGGTCAGTGTTTTGGTGCGTTGCCTTGATAAGTGGTTATGAGTGAGCGAGTGGATTGGCTGAATGGTTGAGTGAGCGACCTGAGTTTGTTGGGAGTGAGTTGCGCGCAGCCTTCAAGACACCAACCCTATAAATTTAATTCTAGATTTGAAGCTTTCGTGACTGCAAGGATCCATACTCTTTGGTTCTATTAGGTAAAGTCACGTAGGTAAAAATAAAATAACAAAAATCACGACGTTTCGGCCACAACACAAGTGGCCTTCATCAGGTGAAGGAACCGGACTGTCCAGAGGGCAGCGTTGGAGTGAAGACAGCCAAGCCCGGGCTTCACCTGATGAAGGCCACTTGTGTTGTGGCCGAAACGTCGTGATTTTTGTTATTTTATTTTTACCTACGTGACTTTACCTATAAATTTAATTCTTACATGGGTACAAGTTGTGGGCAGCAGAGGGCAGTGTAGTAAAAACACATTGCTGCACCACGTCTATGCTCCCCGCCTTCACTCACCCGCATTGACCAGCGCGGTGAAGTATGGTCAAGCCAACCCCAATGACAGACAAGGCATGCTTGAGGCCTGGACACCAGCGGTGGATTGATACAGGGGGCTCTACGGGATTGAGCAGAAATCGGTACCACTCGTATCAGCTTCTCAAAATGGACAAATAAAAGTTAATTTGGTGATAACCCACTAATTTCAAAGGAAAGTTCACGTAACTTGTATTGGATATAGAGGGACGTTTGCGCCACTTAACGTTTGTCACTTAAGGTGGTACCAACAAGTAAAATATTCGGTCTGGGCTCATGGAATAACGAGAAAATGATGCATGTGAAGATGCATCGATTTACCAATTCAAGTACATTCTCCCCCTGACAAATACATGCGCATATCAATGAATTCATGAGTAAGAGCAATTATGGCAGATGTTACGCGAATGAACATGCAGACAAAAATAACAAATGAGACAGAAAATACAAAGACGCGGGCAGAACGTTCCAGACGGGTTCCGTTAAAAAGGAGACTACAAATATTGTAAGCAGTTGCAGTAACAAGGGGCAGTACAAACCATTTACATGGCGTTTTCGAGACAGAACAAAGTATGTATTACAAACGTGACATGACCCTGAATGGTGTCAATTCATCATTTCGCTGGGGGTGGGTTGATTCATTATGTGGCTCGTGACAGCCATGTGTTTGCATTAGGACTTAATGACTGATGAATGGATTATTTAAATGAATGCTTGCATGCGCGAATGGATGGATGACTTAATAACTTAGAGGCCCTCGTTTTAGATGATGCTCAGTTTCTCCTAAAATTGCATCCATAAATACAGCAAGGACATGCAGTCTGGGATTCATTACCTCCATCGCCCGTGCAAAGGGAAGACGTCTGTCTACAAGTCGCATGGGCGTGAGCGTTTCCACCACAATGAGCCGCGGTACATGGCAGGGTCATAGATGACTCAAGTGTGTTCAAAAGCGTAGAGTTGCACCAACGTTAATAAGGGACACAGCAATAACCCCCCCCCCCCCTCCCCCAAAGGAGAACACGCCAGCAAACGTAGATTTCCTCTTGTGTCGTGCTGTGCAGCTGTATAGTTGTGATGCACAATACCCGGCCTTAGAGCTCAAACGTAGCTCCTGGGATATTAGCAGTGAAACCAATGCTCCCGAGACTGTGAATTCTCACTGTAAAAAGCGAGGCACAATTCATCAACTTCAGCGTCCCATGGAGGTGTCATGGAAACGTAGATACATGTTAGACTTGTGCCACGAGTCGCCGAAAACTGGAGCCTACAATTAGTCGGGGGGCTCAGTGGAAAGGGCACTTGCCAAACGTGCAAAGATGATAATAAGAATATCAATGACCTTTGTTTTACCCAGGAAAGCCTTGCTGATTCTCAAGACGTATTTGCAGAAGGTTCCTGCATTGGGATGTTTCTCACTTAAGTTCTCTATTTATGGGCAGATCTATGGTTCAAGCTCTTTCCAGCCCATCCGATCCCATTCACCCTCTTCACTCTCCCCAGAAGGGTTCTTGAGTAGTAACTAGAGCGGGCCACTTCAGGTGGGTTACCGCTTGTCTTTTAAACCATCACCGGATGCAGTTTAACATTATAGCAAGGACATTTGGGATGTTCAGCTGATTCCATTAACAAGTGTTTGCCTTCATTGGAGGAAATCAGAGTACTCAGATAAAACCCATGGTAGCATTGGTGTAACAGTGCAAGCTCTGCAAATATGTATTTAAGAATCTCTTACTGTTCTGCCATCTCTTATATGTATGTATTTTGAACTTCTTTCACACCATATATAGTCAATCTCATACTCACAGGCAATCTCCCATCCAAGCAGTATTCACGGTCATTGCTGCTTAGCTTCTGAGATCTAATGAGGACGGACACATTCAGCACAATTTGGACGCAGGTAACAAGATATCACTGGTGGAATATACGAATGTGAAACTTAGGTTTACATGCTTGTGAAATGAGCCAATGACAATGGCACCAATGAAGTCAGGCACATTTGGGGTGATTCGCACATAAGCGACCATTATAGACATTGAGTAATGGAGTAATTTGAGAGGTTGGGGCAGAGTGAGAGGCCAGGCAAGAAATATTGTGATCTGTCCCTAAAGATATTTTTCAAAAAGATGTAACGGAGCACTTTCAAGAAATTTTGACAAATTACAAGCCCTCAATGTTACTTTGCGAAAACCGTAATAGTGGAAAACAGGTTTTATTAATGTCTTGTAAAAGAGACCAAATCTAGAAGTTGAATGAAATTGAACACTGTCCTGTGAGATGATGCAAACCAAGGGAGGACTGGGAGGTAGAGTTAAGGCTGCCACATGTGTATAGGATAATTATATTAAAGGCTGGGATGCATACTGTGGATAATACTTAATGCTTGGCAGTGGATTACAATGGGCCTATGGGATTCTATATATTAGCCGGGCATGTTTCCCAAAACAGCCCTCGTAGGAGGTATTTTGTTTCTTGTTAAGCGTTGCATCAAGTGGGAATATTAATAATACATTTATTTTTGACCAGATGCTCCATTGTGTGTGGATTGTGCGAGAAAAGGTGTGTGTGTGTGCATGACCAAAACATTGGCACTCATTGTCCATTTTTGCTCATAGCATTTGTCGGGCTGTGTGGTCGGAGCATCCTTGGAAAGCATGGAAGGGATGGAAGAGGAGGATGAAGAAGAGGAGGCGCATGATGAGATGGATGGGGAAGGATCTGGACAGGGCCCATCAAAGGCAGCTCGTGTAAAGATGACTTACCAGGTTGTGGGCACCCTTAGACAACCAGAAAGCCCGGAACCTGATTTTGTGCAGCAAATCGTGAAGGTATTCGCAGCAGTCAAGAATCCAGCCAAATGCACAATTTACCACCTTGGACACAAGTGATAAAATCCATCCATTCTGTAGGGGAAGTGCTCTTTTCAATAACGTCTAGTAACCCAGAAGAATTTGTGTAGCAAATCTGGCTCTGCTGATGAGACCCAGAAAGGCAAACCAATCCCAGAGGTTTGCCTGCTTAAACCAAATGTTCCTCGATAACATTGGTTCAAAAGCCTTATTGGCTGATGGACTGAAGATTTATTATACTTTAGTAATGTAACATACTCTCATATGTTTACTAACATTGGATTATTTTGTAGAAAAATAACAAAAACGCCAAATATACTGCTGGCAAACAGACATCTAAATTGCAGGTGAAGGATGACACTTCACAAGGTTAGTACATGAAAAGTCAGAAACCAATAAGCCTAGTCCGTGTATAAGAATAACAAATAGTACCCCTTTTATGCACGTGATTTATTATTTGGATAGACAGATCGAAGTATTTGTATTAATTTTTTCTGTTCATTTGAATTTTCCGTTTATACTTTTCACAGCCTTCGTCACGCGAAGACCTGCTTTACCACCTGATGGAGTGTGACATCATTGTTTATAACATCACGGAGGATGCCGATCAGACAGAGGAAGCGTCCTGGGCGGTCACTGGTCAGAACTGCCACAATTGGATTTACCGCTGGGCCATAAGCAGATGTTATCGCTCAAAATATGGGAAAAAACATTGGCTTTTAAGTTTGCGTTAACGTTTTTTTTAAAATGTTGTTTCACAGAGATTCATGAGAAGTTGAAAAGCTTTGAAAATCCCAAGGTGTTTGTTCTGTTGTCGACAATAATGACATGGGCACGCACCAGGCCTCTGGACCCTGTGAGTGCAAAATACTGATTGTCATTTATTTACTCAGGAAAATCTCAGTCTCTTTCAGAAGAGTTTTGAATTGGTATAATTTTGAATCCTATGAATGCGTATTTGGCATTTTGTAGAACACCAGGGTACCTGGAAAAAAACCCCATACATATGTATGTATGTATGTTGAACTTCTTTCGCACCGTATATAGCCAATCATGCTGATCGTAGGTACGGGGGGAAATAAAACAAACTAAACACAAAGAGCAGTTCTAAATTCATTAGTTTTCAGTCAATCTAGAATGAGTTTTTCAATTCATACGAGGGAATAACACACAAAGCGCCAGAAAGATAGAGACTCAATTTTTTGCTGCACTGCTATCTCATGGTTACTTTGCACCCCAAGCATACAACACCTAAAATATTCGCAGGCAGTCTCCCATAAAAGTACTTAATCTGTATCAATCTCGCGTAGTGTCTGCGATCTGAACAAATCGCGTGTATTCAGGGTGAATGGTTCGTAGGCAAATGGACAACACTTGTACACACGTACACTACAGTGTTATCTGTCTTGGTCCCAGGATGATCCAGAGCTGGACTTCACGGAGGAAGATTACCGGAGGAGGAAGCCCCATCCCAACTTTACACAGGAGATAGATGTAGAGAGACTTGTCATCAAGCTGGGAAAAACGGTTAGTGCTGCATAACATGAGTACAGTATTGAATACATGGTGTGAAACAAAACAACAGATTCATAAACAAAATATTTACCATTTCAGCGTGTGATTCTGCTTTCCAGAATAAAACCACGTTCTCCACCTTTGTGCTGGCATGTGGCCTCATGTATGGAATGGGAGAGAGTGTTTTTCATCACTTCTTCAAGGTAACTCTGTTTTGCTGATAACAGAAAATAACATAGACTGCCACGGTTGTGTAATGCGGCTCGTTTGTAAAGTGAGCCTTAACAGCACAGGCTTGTTGTTGGTTGCAGACAGCGTGGCTTGGAGAATTGTCTGCCCTGCCTATATACGGACCCGGAAGCAACATTGTCCCAACTATTCACGTTAAAGACGTAGCAGGGTAAGAGACGTTGTTTATTGCAGTACTGGATGCTGCCATGTTGAAATGGTTATCGTGCTGGACTTGCAATCCAGAGGCCGTCGGTTTGATCTCCTGGCGCGGCAGGTCAAACAATGGTGCAGTCTTCTTAAACCCCCCTGGCTGTATCCACGCAGCAGTGTATATGGGTAGGTTGCATGTGGTGGGATGAAGTGTGGGTACTCCAACCTTTTCCAAGATACCTAGTGTGGAAGAGTCAGAATATTTATTTATCCTGCAGGAATCTGATGAGCTACGAAGCTCTTTTTCATAGATGTCCAGTAGTCACAGATGTCCAGTCGAGCAGGCCAACAAACCCTCGAGAGTGGCTGTCTAGAACTCCCTCTCGTGGAAGCCCTTCTGCCAGCAGTAGCGTGAGCAAACAATTGCAGTGCTGCATATTTTCCTTTCATACTAAATTGCAGGCAATTATTTACCTATCAAATCATCGATTCATATTGATTATTGCGCGAGTGATACATGCATTGAATTGTGCGTGTGGGAAGCCATTAATTATAATTCACGCAAATGAAGTGAACAAAACTGTACAAATTAGATGAAAATAAATAAACGCTCAACAAAGGCAAACATTCAATTGTTTTGCAATGCCACCATAATGTCTGGCAATACTAGTCCACCTTTGTTAGACTTGGGCTCCAACTATATGTACAAATGCACCAGTTCACCAGGAATGCACCGATAAAGTATTTTTGTTATATATATCTCTCAGGCTAAGTATGGTTGAGCCTGGATAGTATTTGCATCAGCAACTACCGGGCATAAAAAGCTGCTGTAGGCTTTCGTACAGCTGCATCATCAGCAGAGGGCAGTGCAGCAAAATCTATTGTTGTACTGTACTACGTTCCGGCATCTATGCTCCTCGCCTTCATCAACCCGCCCTGACCAGCACGGTGAAGTATGGTCAGAAAATCCACATGACTCGCGCAGCAGTGGGGAAGCATTCATCCAGCAGTGGATTAACAAATGGGCTGTACATGAAGAGAATATGCTCACGCATTCATGGTGAATTGCTCATAACATTTCAATATTTCTGTCTCTTTCAAACAGTGTGGTGCAGAATATATTGGACAGAAAACCAAAGGTGCACTACTTGCTTGCTACAGACAGCTCAAAGCACACACTGGAGGAGCTAGTCAAGGTATTTGCTTGACATTAAGGGTTGTATTTTGTAAAACATAGGGTATTTAATCCATGTTCTCTTACCTTTTAATTTGATTATGCTATTAGTTTATTTTTTTAAATCTTGCAATCCTTATTCTTGTTATGTAACCAATGTCACTCTTGCGAACTAGACCATGTTCGTGTATTTGTCTTAACGAGTTGTTTCCACGTCTTGCTGAATTAAATATTGAATTGGATTTCATAGACTGTAGTTTATGAACTCATGCATGACAGTACAGCACCCATGGGATTGGCAGCCACATTCTTACAGCGGTCAGTCAGTTCCAGAACTTCGTTCGCCCAGCACCAGTGTGTTCGTGGATTCGGCGAACAACTCTCATCGGGATTTATGGAAGGTTCAGTGTGTGATGTGTCACGTGGTGTGTGTTTTGTAAAAAGTCTCTTCTGGAGGTGGCAGCAATGGGGCTGTTCCCTCGTCAGCACAGGATTAATACAAAGTTGTTTAATTGACTTCTGTGAATGCCTTTGCCCTAGTTTGTGTATAATGAATGCTGTCTTGTTACGTTATTGGCTTGTTAACGTGTTAGGGTATTGTTTGTTATGCTTTATAATTTAAGTTTAAAGAGGTAATGCACGAGCTCTATCCATGTCTATTGCGGGGAGAAAGCAGTGTCACGATTACTCTCGTTAAGATAATCCAATATATAAAATAATTTGTAAAAATTGTGTTGCTATTAGGGACATAACCTATAATGAAACTGGCTACATTTATCAAAGAGTTGCCCAAAACACGGTGATAAAAAAAAAACTGCTAAAAACGAGGTGATGACATTCGAGGCCATGCGCGCGCCTTGCCTCTCCATGACATCATTACGTGTGATGTCATCCAATTGTGCGGCTCAAAAAGTAACGTTATCATTGTTAATTAAACGCTTCCAAAGAGAAACGCGTGTTGGAAAAGCGGTATAGAATCCACGCGAGCGAATGCATGTTCATCCATATTCATACATGTTGGGGTTGATAATAACCTAAGGGTCACATGCACTCTCAAATTCGCATTGCTGCAGAAAATGGGGCTATTTTACGAGTATCATGTTTGACATGTTTACGTGAAAGAACTGTTGATATAATAATTGACTTTCACTCCAATCCAAGTAAAAATTTCCGTAACTAAAATTTGTTATGAACTTTGCATTTTACAGGCCATCAGCAAACACTTGGGACCGGGTAAAACCATTAAAGTGCCCAAGGAAGAAGCACTCCTGTTAAGAGACCTCATGGTAATGTCATCTCTGTCTTGCATACCGCTCCTGGGATGACACAGCTGTATATAATAAGCAGTTGATCAGTGTATATGTGTGGGTTCAGAGAAATAACTCTTCCTCGACCTTTGCAATCATTTCAATTATTTAGGAGTCATTTAAAAGCTAATATAAACAATGTACAGATTACGAGAGAGAAAAAATACTTTTAAACCTATAATTTGGCTTAACAGCTGCGGTGCTGGTTATCCAATCTATCATTTTAAATATCGCGGAACGTTACGTGCACCTCTTTTTAAAAGAAATCATGAAGAGGTCTGCGTATCGGGGTAGCAGGGGTCTGTGAATCTCAGCGGGCTTCCAACTGCATTGCATAAACTAGTGAGTGGTCTACTTGAACGCGCCTCCCATGCGTGGAAGACTGAGCGACTCCCTCTTGTGCCGTGGCAGCAATCGGATTACGACCACCTGCTCGTGAATCTGCGATTCGATGCGCAGTTCTTGCGCGGGGGCATGAACATCCACTGGGTTGCTGAGGGTGGCCTGGTGGAGAACATCGCCACCATCGTCAGGGAGTACAAGGAGACACGAGGGCTGCTGGTAAGAACCTTTTTCTACCCTTGAGCGTGCTCGTGCGAACGCTCTGCACTCGTTTCGTGCGCTTGAAAGAATCCCACTGAATCGTTGCATTTTTCTCGAAAGTCGAATTACAGCTAACTGTTTCTTTCGAGCATTTTTTAAAATTTGGATGATGTTTAACCATCTTTGCAAGCACAATGTAAAATAATGAGCAAGAGTACTTGCCTAACCCATTTGGAGCAACTCGATCTATGGTTAATCTCAAGCGTTCGGGGGAAATGTGAACATCATATGCATGAATCAAATCATAGTTTCATTTATAAAAATAGATGGTTTAAGTTTGTTATAAGTGCGTTAAATAATGCGAGTAATAATCTATTTACTGTTTTGGGAATTATTTTGTTTGCTATCCATTTGTAAATGATCATACGAATAATTTCTAGAGTAATCAATTATTTGAATAATGAGATATCCAGGCTCCAAGTTGCACCTCTCGTCAAAACAACCCAGTGCATGCGCATCCCTCGCGGGTGTTGTTTGCGCTCACAGCCCATGCGTGGCTGCGTGCTTGGCCCGCCTGCCGTGGGGAAGACCTCCCTGGTGGAGAAACTCTGCAAGCACTACAGGCTGCACCACATTAAGGCCAAGGACGTCATAGATGAGGCCATCGAGAGGCTGGTGAGCAGCGTCGCGAGTGGTGCAGAGCTGGCTGTTGGAATTGTGATTTGCGTGGCTTTACCTGCGAAGCAGGACGCTGCCGTGATGTGCCGGTTAACACGCTCGACTCGGTGGGCACACTGACAATCCAGAGGTTGCCGGTTTGGTCTCCTAACGTGGCAGTTGAAGCAATGGCCAGGTTTCTCTCTTGTCTACCCAGTGGAAAAAATGGACACACCACAGTAAGTCGTTCAGCAAGTCACATGTGGTAGGGTAAGTAAGGTACTGTACTCCCACCTCTTCCAAAAGTTCTGGCCTGTGTAGGGGAGTAGGCCAAAGTACCCTCGAGAGGGGCACGCTAGAGCCCCATCTACTGGCGTGAGCCAGTGATTGCATTGCTAACGCGAGATACCCAGCAAGCTGACCCATTTATAAATCTGACAGGCAGCATGGTCAAGTAGAGCGTGGGGAGGCCCTCATCCAGCAGTGGATTCACAAATCGTGCTGTACATGTATGTGATCTTGCAGTGGGTCCCATGTTGGTGGTGGAGGGCACTCTGTCTGTAAAACACCAGGGCAACGCAGCAGCATTTGTATAACAGGCCTCACTCCAGGGTTTTCTGCATAAACAAATGCTGCTGGAAAACATTGCTCCATAAAGCCCAGAGGCTAATGGACTAAAATGTTATTTTAAATAATAAATTTCAGTTCAACGGACCCTTGTGTATTAAAAAAAAGTTTTACTGTCTTGGAGGATAATGGGAAACATTTAGAAATAATACATATACATATTCTTAGTTTTTTCGGTAAAGTCACGTTGAAGAGAAACAACAAAATATATATAAAACAATAAAAAATTCTCACGACGTTTCGACCATAACTCAAACGGTCATCATCAGGTGTGTCGGTTTGCATAAATTTATTTTGAAAACGGCATATTTATTTATTTATATATAAATAACGTTTGCGTCACGCGCAACGATTGGCTGTTTGCCAGGACTAGTCCATCTATTTTTTTTTTTAAAAGAGGAGGGGGGAGACGAAATTTGTTTTTTATGTATGCTGTCTGAAAGCCACTGTAAGCGTGAACAATCAATCAAGAACTGAAATGATTTATCAAATCTTTCCAATGATTGCTAAGATAGAATCCATCTTCTCGGTTGAAATTGTCTCTGTGTTTGTATATGTGGATAGCCTCATGAACGAATCTCTCATGGAAGCCAGATGGCTTACAAAGAACCTCCGTCTTGGAAAAGTCAATGGCATGTGAGCCTACTGAATTAGAACAATGATCTGCTACGGCCGAGGTGTTGGTCCTACCGTGTTTAAGGTCTGCTTTATGTTCACGAATGCGGTCCGAGATATGGCGTTTGGTTTCTCCAATGTAACTACTACCACAGAGGCAACTTAGTTTGTAGACACCAGGGTATTGTATGTCCGGAATCACATCTTTTACAGACGGAACCAGATCACGGATTTTATGTAATGTGTTGAAACGGACCTGGATCTTGTGTTTATTCAAGATTTTGGAGATCTTTTTTGTGATCCCAGCAATGTAGGGTAAAGTGATGGTTTTGAAAGGCTCCTCAAGAGGGTTCTTCTTCATGGTTTGAGTGATAGCTTTGCGGATTGTATAGTCGGAGTAAACCATTAGCCCTAAGAGCTTGGTGTACGTGCTTGAGTTCACTGCTTATGTGTTCCTGGTCGGATATGCATTGGGCTCTATGATACAGAGTCTTGATGAGATAATTCTTCTGTGATGGATGGTGGTGGGAATCCGGTTTCAGATAAGCATCCGTATGGGTAGCTTTCCTGTAGACAGAGTGGCTCATTGTGTCTACAAACTAAGTTGCCTCTGTGGTAGTAGTTACATTGGAGAAACCAAACGCCATATCTCGGACCGCATTCGTGAACATAAAGCAGACCTTAAACACGGTAGGACCAACACCTCGGCCGTAGCAGATCATTGTTCTAATTCAGTAGGCTCACATGCCATTGACTTTTCCAAGACGGAGGTTCTTTGTAAGCCATCTGGCTTCCATGAGAGATTCGTTCATGAGGCTATCCACATATACAAACACAGAGACAATTTCAACCGAGAAGATGGATTCTATCTTAGCAATCATTGGAAAGATTTGATAAATCATTTCAGTTCTTGATTGATTGTTCACGCTTACAGTGGCTTTCAGACAGCATACATAAAAACAAATTTCGTCTCCCCCCTCCTCTTTTAAAAAAAAAAATAGATGGACTAGTCCTGGCAAACAGCCAATCGTTGCGCGTGACGCAAACGTTATTTATATATAAATAAATAAATATGCCGTTTTCAAAATAAATTTATGCAAACCGACACACCTGATGATGACCGTTTGAGTTATGGTCGAAACGTCGTGAGAATTTTTTATTGTTTTATATATATTTTGTTGTTTCTCTTCAACGTGACTTTACCGAAAAAACTAAGAATATGAATTACTGCAGTCACGAAAGCTTTAAATCAAAATTTAATACATATACATTTTCAGTCTAATTGTCTTCTGTAAAAAAAATGTGGAGCAAGAATTGTTCAAGCAGGTAAACTCTGGACTGTTTTTGACCTGGGTCTCAACGGTGGCATTAGCCATGTTGAATACGGTAATTCTGCTACATTATTGTCAGGAGCGATCCATGTGCTTTTGAGCTCAACCGTTTATTTATCTTTCGATTTAAAGCTTTCGTGACTGCAGGGATTCATATTTCCCTTCTACGTGACTTTACCGAAAGAACCAAGAATACGTTTATTTATCGTTCATGGCCTTGCAAAAAATGCTTCTAATGCCTAGTTTCCACAAACAGCCAACTCGAGTCGATTTGAGGGCACTAGATTTGGCCAGAACTCGAGTTGAAGGACAACTGTCGGTTAAAAGTGTGGCGTTTTCCATTATTCTCCGAGCTGCTCAATTTATCACGCTAGTTGGACAGGCCTTTCCCAGAAATACTTCCAAGTAAGATTTTCTCAGAAATGTTTGTGAATTAAAGGTCAGGACCACGTTGTTGGCAGAGTTAAACGTTGAACTAAATGTAAAATTAAATGTTCATATTGTCCCACAATGTTTTTGAATGTTCCGTGTTTGGTGATGTATTTCCGCTTGGCCTGGATCTGATATAGGAATTTCATGTCAGCCTGCGAAGCGAAATTAACCCAGATATCTCTGCCTCGAGCTCGAATTCGCCGCCAACTCGTTGACTAAAAATATATAAACGTGGTAGTCGGAGAGCAATTCGCGTTTATACTCGAGCTCTTTGGCTCGTGGAAATGAGGCTATAGTGAATGTTTCAGTGGGTAGAATGTGTCAGTGATGCTGTAAAACGGGGCGCCACGGTGGCGAGAAGTTAACTACCTTGCCTGGTATAAAGAATGTTGTGGGTTCGATCCTGACACCTGTATATTTGGAGTTTGCATGTTCTCCCCGTGGGTTGCATGGATTTGTCTCCGGGTCCTCCGGCTTCCCCCTCCCCCAACATTTAGAAAGATGCGTTTAGAGCAGTGGTTCTTAACCTTGTTGGAGGTACCGAACCCCACCAGTTTCATATGCGCATTCACCGAACCCCTCTTTAGTGAAAAATAAAATGTGGTTTTTTTCAAATTCAAGACATAGATATGTTTTTTACTGGTACACAAAATGAGCCGTGCATGAACATTACCTTGTTCAAAGAATAAAACCAACACAATGCATAAACTCACAACAAATTACATACCTGGAAATCAATGTGACTTCTGCTGTTGCCTTTGAGAGATCAGTTCAGATATGCGTGGCTTCACCTTGGCAAGTGCCACTCTCATGTCATTTTCACAGCAAAGTCTGTTCCTTTTCTTCGTTTTTATGTCCAGCATCCTCGAAAAGGATTGCTCACAAAGATATGTTGTAACAAATGGTATAAAAAAATCCAGGGCTTTCTTAGCAATAACTGGATACTTGTTCATTTGTCGACACCAAAACGTTGAGAGCGTTGTTGTTCTGAAGAGTTGCTGTTGAACCTGGCTCTGCTGAATTTCAATGATTTCGTCGAGGAATTCATCATTGACATCTGCTGTTTCAACAGCAAACGTGAACGGCTGTCTCACCCATGCTGGATATGACTCTCTTGTAGGGAAATATCCGTCGAGAGACTTTGCAAGCTCATCTAAGTGCGTGGCAATTGTTTGCTTCAGTTCCGTGGATACAGAAATATCTCCGATTCCAGACACATCTTCGATCTTACTTGCACAGTCGTCCAGAAGCGGGAAGTTTGCGAAGTTATTGTTCTCTGTTCGTCGTTTCCATAACGGTAGCTTTTTTTGAAAAGCCTTCAGGTGTTCTTCCGCTTCCATGATATTGACTCCACCACCCTGCATCTGCTGATTGAGATGATTGAGAGCTGCGAATATATCAGCCATGTACGCTAAAATGAGAATGAACTCAGGATTTTTGAAGCAATCTGCATGGCAGTGTTGGTGCTCTTGCAAAAACAGGGCTAATTCCACACGCATGGCAAAAACACGATTCAGCACCTGTCCCCGGGATAACCACCGAATATTAGAATGGAGCAGAAGTACCTCAAATTCAGAGCCCATTTCTTTACACAGCTCACTGAAGATGCGGTGCCTCAGAGCACTTTTTCGCACATAGTTCACACATTCCACCACAGTTTTTAATACTTCTGCCATTTTTGGAGGTAAGGTTTTTGTTGCCAACGCATGCCTGTGCAGAATACAATGCGTCACAATGATGTGTGGTGCATCGGCCTTTACTAGCGCACCAAAACCAGACTTTCTTCCCAGCATGACTGGAGCTCCGTCCGTACAAACTGCAGAAACCATATCCCATGAAAGATTGTTGTCTCTGAAGAAGTCATCCACAAGCTTCTTCACATCGGCTGCCTTCGTTGTTGTTGTAAGAGGCTTACAAAATAAAAAAACTCTTCTTTTATCATGTCGTCTTTCACATAGCGTACAAAAACAGCAAGCTGGCTTAGATCAGAAACGTCTGTGGTTTCGTCGAGTTGAAGGCTGAATTTTGCCGGGCTTGAAATCAGATCCGCGACTACTTGAGCCAAGATGTCTTTACTCATGTCTTCTATTCTGTCACTGACGGTGTCATTTGAAAGGGGAATTTGGGATAATTTACCTTCGGCCGCTGTTCCGAGTATCAGATTCGCCATCTTTAATGCAGCTGGTTTCACAAGTGTTTCACCAATGGTGTGTGGCTTGCCCTGCTTTGCGATCAGGTAAGCAACTTCGTACGATGCTGTCAGGATCGGTTTGTTAACAGGTACAAATCCAAGAGCAGGCAGAGTGGCCCTTTCATCGAATCTGGCTCTCTTCACCCTGAATTCAGCAAGTGTTGTGTTCTTGTATTCCCCGTCTCCATGCAGCTTCAAGAAGTGTTCCTTTAGTTTTGCCGGTGCAAGACTAGAGTTGCTCAACTTGGCGTTGCAAATCATGCAGATAGGACGCTCACTCCCATCACGTTCCGTGATACATGAGAATCCATGTTGTACATATTCGTCCGACCACTTTCTTCTTTTGCCCGACATAGTTAGTATGGATAAAATATTAAAGAAATCACACGACGTACGACAACAACAGTCACACGTTGACTACTGAGTACGCACTAAATTCCCCGCAGCGCTGATTGGCCAAGCAGTGTAGCATGATCATCTGCAGCCAGTGATGGCCAAGCGGGCCGTGTGTGTCATCACAAATTTACACAATAATTCAAGTGTGTCCGGACCTCCGTGGCGGGGGCTCTGCCGAACCCCTGAGATCGACTCACCGAACCCCTGGGGTTCGATCGAACCCAGGTTAAGAACCACTGGTTTAGAGTATTTGGCTGCTGTAAATTTTCACGCGATAAGCCGCTTCATTGAGCTATGATTTGAGGCCAGGTCGCTTCTGAAGAAGATCTCTCTAGCTCAGTGGAACTTTCCTGGTTAAATACAATTGTTTAAGTTTACATGCAGGGATACTTCACTCTGGTTACAGGAGAGGATAGCAGCTCGGGCACAGAAGGAGGGTGAAGAGGAGGAACACAGAGAGACGGGGGAGGAGGAGGACGAAGGAGGAGAAGCAGAGGAAGAGGGGGAATCAGCTCAGGATGCTCAGGAGCTGCTGGAAGCTGTGAAGGAAAGCTTGGAACAAAACAATGGTAAAAATGTATACATGTTATACAGGGTTTGTGGAGCATTCAAAGATGTATCCTGTTACAGACAATCATAAACACATTTTTTTTGCAGTTCTCATATTATACATTCACATATATGCAAAACAATACCATGGTAAGGGAAATACAAAAACGTAATGTAAACATTACCACAGCACTGAAATGGGCGTTTTTATGTAAATCATCGACTTCCCGTTTAAAAGCCCAAATGATGCTTATATTAAATTCTGTCAGTGTCAGATTATTTTTTTTCCCGTGTTGTAATTCCTGTTCTGCGGAATTTACCAGATGAGCAGTTGAGGGTTGGCTCGACCCTCCTTCCTCAGTTAATAAAATCAGGAGTGATTTGTGGTGTGTCAGCAGTGGTTACTCTTTGCATATCTGCCAGGCGAATGTGGAATTTATTTACCCCTGGCTCAGAACTCTAAACAGGCGACAAGCTTGTTAAATAGGGAAAATCTTTCGTCCAGGGTGGGTTGATCACACACATTTATAAACCTCCCAAACCCACTTGGGTTACTAGGTGGCCAGGAGATGTCAGTACAGCAAGTGGATTGAAATAATCTGTGCAGAGCTTTGAGTCGTATCTCCTTATATGTGTGGTGGGATTTCTCCGGGTTCTCTGGTTTCCTCCCACGTCAAGCCAAACACTCACTCATGACATTGGCCAAATATCCCAAGACATAGACCTCTCCTGAATAATGTGTTTGATCCCAATAGGTCGGCTTGAGGACACGTACCTCGTGAGGTTCTTCAAGGAGAAGCTGCGGTCCATGTCGTGCCAGAACCAAGGGTTCATTTTGGACGGTTTTCCCAAAACCTACGCCCAGGCCAAGGAGCTGTTCACTGGTACGGCGTTTTAATATCAGAACATCGAAATGGTTATATTCTTAGTTTTTTCGGTAAAGTCACGTTGAAGAGAAACAACAAAATAACAAAATATATATAAAACAATAAAAAATTCTCACGACGTTTCGACCATAACTCAAACGGTCATCATCAGGTGTGTCGGTTTGCATAAATTTATTTTGAAAACGGCATATTTATTTATTTATATATAAAAAATAACGTTTGCGTCACGCGCAACGATTGGCTGTTTGCCAGGACTAGTCCATCTATTTTTGAAAAGAGGAGGGGGGAGACGAAATTTGTTTTTATGTATGCTGTCTGAAAGGCACTGTAAGCGTGAACAATCAATCAAGAACTGAAATGATTTATCAAATCTTTCCAATGATTGCTAAGATAGAATCCATCTTCTCGGTTGAAATTGTCTCTGTGTTTGTATATGTGGATAGCCTCATGAACGAATCTCTCATGGAAGCCAGATGGCTTACAAAGAACCTCCGTCTTGGAAAAGTCAATGGCATGTGAGCCTACTGAATTAGAACAATGATCTGCTACGGCCGAGGTGTTGGTCCTACCGTGTTTAAGGTCTGCTTTATGTTCACGAATGCGGTCCGAGATATGGCGTTTGGTTTCTCCAATGTAACTACTACCACAGAGGCAACTTAGTTTGTAGACACCAGGGTATTGTATGTCCGGAATCACATCTTTTACAGACGGAACCAGATCACGGATTTTATGTAATGTGTTGAAACGGACCTGGATCTTGTGTTTATTCAAGATTTTGGAGATCTTTTTTGTGATCCCAGCAATGTAGGGTAAAGATCCAGGTCCGTTTCAACACATTACATAAAATCCGTGATCTGGTTCCGTCTGTAAAAGATGTGATTCCGGACATACAATACCCTGGTGTCTACAAACTAAGTTGCCTCTGTGGTAGTAGTTACATTGGAGAAACCAAACGCCATATCTCGGACCGCATTCGTGAACATAAAGCAGACCTTAAACACGGTAGGACCAACACCTCGGCCGTAGCAGATCATTGTTCTAATTCAGTAGGCTCACATGCCATTGACTTTTCCAAGACGGAGGTTCTTTGTAAGCCATCTGGCTTCCATGAGAGATTCGTTCATGAGGCTATCCACATATACAAACACAGAGACAATTTCAACCGAGAAGATGGATTCTATCTTAGCAATCATTGGAAAGATTTGATAAATCATTTCAGTTCTTGATTGATTGTTCACGCTTACAGTGCCTTTCAGACAGCATACATAAAAACAAATTTCGTCTCCCCCCTCCTCTTTTCAAAAAATAGATGGACTAGTCCTGGCAAACTGCCAATCGTTGCGCGTGACGCAAACGTTATTTTTTATATAAATAAATAAATAAATATGCCGTTTTCAAAATAAATTTATGCAAACCGACACACCTGATGATGACCGTTTGAGTTATGGTCGAAACGTCGTGAGAATTTTTTATTGTTTTATATATATTTTGTTATTTTGTTGTTTCTCTTCAACGTGACTTTACCGAAAAAACTAAGAATATGAATTACTGCAGTCACGAAAGCTTTAAATCAAAATCGAAAAGGTTGTGTTGGTGCAGGGCGCTGGCACAGTCTGCTGCCCCTTCCATCTGCTCTCCCATTTGTACCTTATCGTGCCACTTTTTTTTTCGCCTTTGCTTTGATGTTTTTTTTCTTCCCCCATTGTATATTTGACTTTGTGTGTTACCGTCACGATGTTGTCTTGCATAGCTCTTTTGATTTAGATTTTGTCGTGATTATTCATGGAGTATTGAAAATGTCACGCGTATAGCGCTGTGCGATCTTTCAATGAAAGGCGCAATATAAAAGCAAATGATATATTATTGTTACTGACGAGATGGGGCCATTCAGTTAAAGTAGTTTGTTAAGGCAAGAAACTCCGTGGGAGGCATCTGTCTCACGCGTTTACTGCTTTCATTATGATGGAAATTCATTGTCGCCGTCATCGTGGTTATGTACAGTTGGCAGAATAGGCATCGACGTGCAATCTCCAAGACACCGAATGGCAAATTGAGATGAACTGAAAGAAAAGAAAATACAAATAAAACATGTATAAACGTACTCTTCGGTTCTTTCGGTAAAGTCACGTAGGTAGAAAAAGAAAAAATATACATCTTGTTTTATTTTTCTACCTACCACGTGACTTTACCGAAAGAACCGAAGAGTATCGATTCCTGCAGTCACGAAAGCTTCAAATCAAGATTGTATAAAAGTAGCGTACAACCAAATCATCCTGAGTGTACCAGACCTCTTCGAATCTCAGGAGCAAAGCAGGCCTGAGCCTGCCACGTACTTGGATGGGAGACTGCCTGGTGATACAAAGCGCTATAGGCTTGGTCGTCAAGGTGGCCAACATGTGACAGTATGGTAATGAATTCTTGAATCTGTCTGTGTAGAGGTTTGAGTGTTACCCCCTCAAATGCATGCGCTTCCTCCACGTTCTCTGGTTCCCCACCCAAAGCAAAACACTGAAATTCAATTGATCAAACACCCCTGTGGAATTGACCAAATGAAAAAATACAATCGTTTCGTTGGTAAGAAACAAAAATATAAATAGTAAAAACCCAAGTAACATCAATTCATCTTTTGTTGCTGTGACCAAATTGTAAATGCTGATACCACATCAGGTTTGACTCCAAAACATCTTGAATAAACACATCTCGCGTTTTAAAGTTGGGCATTGAATCAAGCGTTCTCAACCCCATCGGGTTTTCACTCCCCAGATGCGGACATGCCAAGCGTGTGACGAAACAGAGGAAACTTTATGCTTCAAGTGCATAATGTTTGGGGAATTATTGTACGGCGTTAAGTAAATTCACCAAGGGTTTTCCCTTCTTCTGCTTGCAACAGGGGAAGACGATGCTGAGGAGGAGGAAGACGCAATATCAGGCAAAGAAAATTACTACGACAAGAGCATCATACCAGGTATTGCAAAGTGTGCTTATTTCGACACCACATGCGATGATGGACAGATAGCGTCGAATTGAATCAACTCGCCGTGCATGCTGCTCACATGCCAATGCACACTGCCAGGTGGCAAATCCCTATGATAATTATCTATGGAAATATGAAGTCATATTCAAAAATAATTTTAGCACAATTTTTTGTTACTTTCATTTTAATGTAAATGTTTACATACAGAGCATATACAATGCCATCCGAGGCATAATACTCCCCCTGATAGGTTCTGTACATTGGCACATTTCAGATAATAAGAGGGGGAAGGGGAAGGGAAGTAGGGGGCATCATTTCTCTTAATATCAGCCCCCTGAATGTGAACCACATTTATTGAAGCTCAGGACAAAGTACTTCAGCACCTCAAATCGAATCAACGTTTAAAACATTACAATTAATATTGCATCGACAGTTTGGTTCTGATAATTTCAGTTTGAGTATATTTTAGTACGGATGTATTGTACTTGGGATCAAGGTCAAGAAGTCATAATGGATAATCTCTGGATGCCAACATTCTTCTATAGTCGACATCTGACCTTTACGGGCCACTCTTACAGTTTCCTCACCGTCTAGCTTGCCACTGCAATTCTTGTCCTGATAATCTACCCTCCATATTTATTGGTGTGTCCCACTCGTGGCAATCGCTTTTTTCTTAATTACATGCACAACACTTCCTCGCCAGGTTCCCTTAAGAGCTTTAAAGTTTGCTTACCATATCCTTCCTTCAAATTCCTAGCATCCTCCGCATGCACTTGTTTTTCAAAGGCCAGAACTATGGCAACTATTTTCAACTAAGGTTGAATGCTTTCATGCATTCGCTCTATCCCTCTGTCTGTCCGTCTGTCTGCTAAACATGGGGTCATCTTAAATCTAATGATGATCCAACACATTTTATTAGTGTATTAAGTTTTGTAGCTGTGAAGGACTAGGCGGAAAAAAGTCCACCGCCGACTTGGTCAAGCACGAGGATGTCACACACCATGCGAGTGCTTCTCCTCTCATGACGTCATTGTGTGTGACGTCATTTCACGCGGCTAGTTGAATATTATACTTCTGATGACAAACACACATCAGAAAGCGTTACAGAACCATGCATATACATTATTTTTCTTTATTATTTTTCTACATTATTGTGTAATGGCTGCATGGTAAGTCAAACTCGCTGACCCAAGCAAGCAAAATAGACATTCCTCCTTCCTCGTACACGTCCTGAAAATCGCCCAGCAGAAGTTTTCTCTTTCTGTCCCCTGGCCTCTTTCTCGTCAACCTTCCTTGCCTTCAGAACCTCTGAGAACGTGACGGTCACTTTTCAGAATTGTCCTAATTAGACCGTCGGTTGTGCTGAGATCTGGGTTTTTGCCACGGCTGTGGAGCGGTGCAGACTTGGTGGTTTCCCTGGAGGCCCCGGACGAGTTCCTGCGTGACCGCGTGATGAACCTGCCCGAGGCCGTGGTGGCCGGCACTCACTACACCGAGGAGGCCACTCTGCGCCGGCTGGCCGCTTTCCGCGCGCACAACACCGTCGACGAGACCATCCTCAACTACTTTGAAGAGCAGAGCGTCGCCGTCGCGCACTACGGTGGGCCCGCTGCGTTGTCGCCGTCGCATCGATACGCGGTGGCCTTCCTGTCCTGTGTGCAGGCGGTGCAACTGCACCAGCCAAGCAAAATATTACGGTCATCATAGATAATATGGCTGCATCAAATGTAGGCACATATATCACACTCATTAACGTAAAAAAACGTGATCGCTCACGTCTATATTGTCTGCATCTGTCTTCTGCCATCTCACTACATTTTTCTACCAGTCGAAGATATTTTAAAAAATTGTTTATTTTTAATTTTAGCTTATTCTGAATTGTGGTTTACTCGAGTCTGGCTTCAGAGGTTTTACCGTATGTGGTGCTTCTCCCTGTTGTGTGTGGGACTCATGGTACAGCGCATGGCTTATCACCGCACAGGTGTTGCTGAGGCTGATGCATAGCCAGTGAATACGACACATTGTTCAATATTATCCTTATTTTGCAGATGTAACCAAGGAAGATGCTGAATTCCTGCTGCTGGTACACCAGCTGCTCAAACGGATGGGCGAGCCGCGCAACTACGGCCTGACCGCCGAAGAGAGGGAAGAAATCTTCCGGCGTGCGGCGGAGGAGAGGATGAGGCAGGAAGCCGAGAAGTGGGCCGAGTGGGAGAGACACGAGGTGGTGGAGGCGGTGGAGAGGGAACGCAAGCTCAACGAGTGGGTCGGTACTCTCCCTCCAAGTAGCACCTCGCTCGCGTCGGCCGCTGCGTAGCGGACCAGCCTCCACCGTTAACGGACCAGTATGTACCGATTGCACGTTGAACTTCTTTCGCACCGTGCATTGGCGACCGCGCTAATCGGAGGTGCGGGGGAAGGACAACAAACTCAAACACAAAAAAAACAGTTCTAAAGAAATTGGTTTTAAATTTAGATTTGAAAGTGCATAGCTCCAGTGGTTTCCTAATATCGGAAAGAAGAGCGTTCTAAACGGACGCAGAAGCGCATCTGAAAGTGCGCGATGCAGTCGTCTTTGTTCGATGGTTAAAAACGCCGCTGCGAGGATGACCGGAGTTTGTGGTCAACCTCATGTAATAAACGATCTGCATTTATGATTTGCTTTGTATGGTCCCCCTGCAAATACTTTAGTGTTTATTATTTTTGGATTTGTATATTACATTTTATTGCAAAATTCACATATTGAAAACAAAGGTCTCTGAAAACAACTTTATGTGGCAGTTGGGGTTTGACATGGTCATCATGTTTAAGTGTAATGTGCTTGTGTATGCCACTTCCGCCAAGCTTAGTTTATTTGCAGCAGGTTTCAACGGACAATGTTTACAAGATCTTTCTGGGACAAACTGCCAACGGAGGTTTGGTACCAAGGCTGAATGCAGAACATTGAGGAGGCAAGAGGCTTTGGGACCAAACCTCCACTCGGGGTTTGTGCCAGGTACCTCTTGTCAAGACTGTCTGTTGAAATCTTGAGTACAACCACTGTCGAAGCACTCGGAGAAGAAAGGGTGAATGGGCTTCACTGACACAATATACCTACACAAGATGACCTTGGCCAAATGTTGAAGCCAACCAGTGGTGATACTACAGGCGTCCTTGGGGGGGGGGGGCATACGTCCCCCTTAATTAGCAGTACACACCCCTAACCAACATGTGCCCCCCAATTTGGAGGCTGGAGAGGTACTTGACTTCGAGTTATGTAGGTCATCACGGCCAATCATCCATATTCCTCGACAGTTACTCAGTTAACACGTGATCATCAAAGGTATGCTCTTGAAGTCCCCCGCTTACTGAGCTTTACATTAAGGTTAAGAACATGGACCCCTCCGTTTAGAGCTGCCCTATTAACGGTCATAGACCTTATACTGAATCCAAGTGCAGTTGCGTTCAACATACATATATAAGATTCGTTCACCACATGGGACGCTGCCGTGGTGTAATGGCTGACACACTGGACTTGCAATCCAGGGGTCACCGGTTTGTTCTCAGTTAAAACGATTGACAAGTTGCTTAGAAACCCTGTCCACCGAACAGTAGAAATGGGTACGGCAGTTAATCGGCAGGTCGCGTGTAAAGTGTGGACACTCCCACCACTCCTAAGACGTCTGGTCAACGTGGAAGAGCAGGGCGATATCTCTTGTAGAGGGGCTCTCGAAAGCTCCCTCTGGTGGAGCTCCTTCCACCAGCAGTTAAGTGAGCAGGAGACTTCAGGGCTGCACCGTCACCATTCAGCACATGTGCAGCGCTTTAAGGGATTGATGACCCATGTGCGTTGCAGCAAGCCAAGCTGGAAGCAGAGAGGCGGCGGGAGCAGGAGCTCCTGGCCCGCGAGACGGTCCCCCTGCGCGAGTATCTGCTCGCACACGTGATGCCCACGCTCACCACGGGGCTCATCGAGTGCTGCTCCGTGCGACCCCCAGACCCCGTCGATTTCCTGGTCAGTGCTAGTGCCGTTTGGATTGGCTTGTTTTACTAGCATGCACACCAGAGTTTCCACTTCAGATAACTCATTTCCATCCCCGACATCACACTGAATGCGCCAAAATCCCGTAAAGACTTTGCAAGCTAAGCAGGGTTTGAGCTTGGATGCTTTGATGGGTGACCACCATACACAGAAAACAGGTGGTATAGGCATTGTGGGCAGTGCAGCAAAATAATGTTTTCTTCAAACAGGCTGCACATGTACACATGCTACTTCAGTACCATTGGGATTAGCTTAGTTTCCAAGCACGTCGACCCAAGGTTCACATCCACGTAATTTACTCTTAAGAAATCATATTGCCCTTGACCAAATCACCCTGAATGTCTCCTCAGATCCGGAAGCTAAGCCAGACTGAACCAAGTCAGCACTTTGATGACAGTCTGGGAATACCGGGTGTTGTCATGGTTGGCTACGAGGTGGCTGGGAATGGATTCTTAAATCCATTTGGAACTTTGAGTGTTAGCACCTTGCGTGTTTTTTTTCAGCTTACTCCAGTTTCCTCCAGTATTCATAACACACATTGGTCTAACATCCTAAACAACTATCTTGAGGCTTTTCTGGGTAACAGGCATTCATTTGCTTTAATAACCACAATTTGACATTGGTATTCATGAAAACTATTTTACAACTTCACTGTACACTGGGCAAATACTCTGGAGGTCTCAATTATAAAATATATTTTAAACTTAAGTTTCTTAAGATGCAGTACTGTATTTCGAGAAATTGTGGAACCTATTGTTTGATTAGTGCATTTGCATTGGTGTGGTGTTTCTGTTGTAGGCGGAGTATATATTCAAGAACAATCCTCAGGCTGACTAAGTCAAGCTGATCCACCCTCACAGAACGGTCCACAGAGCTCTTTAAACGCAAGCCATGCATGTGAATTACATTTAACATTAAAAAAAGAACACCACTGTTATAAAATTGTCACAATATAAATATTTTAAGACAGGAACATAATACAAAACACAAGTTCTCAAGTTTAAGAAGCATTTTAATTGAGAGCCTGCACAAATATACTTTTTTGTGTGATAAAGGTTAACATAAATACATGTTTTAATAAAAAAAATGTGTTTGGCAGAGTGCATAATGTTTATTTAACAATCGTTATGACGACGGATAAACAAACACAAGTGGTGTATTTTTGTGTTTGATGTTTATTGTTTGTGTTTTGGTGAAAACGTGTCGACATCTCTGTTAACAACACTCTGGCAAATCACCGAGACATTCCATGTTGGCCATTCTGATGCCCGAAGCTCATTTGATAGGTTCTTTCAGCAGTGGTTCTTAATCCAGACCTCAAAAACCCCAGATCTCAAGTTGACCAAGTTCTAATGTTCAACTTATTGGACAATAAACTGTATGGAATGAAAATGGGTACATGACACAGCATCATACTGCACGTGGGTGGCCTGAGTTAAGATTTAGGATCACCGGTGAAACATTTTAGCCCTCTCACTCAGCGTTTCTCCAACTCCAACCCTCGTGAGACACCCACGGTGCACCTTTCCACATCTACCAATCTTCCAACTTCATGTGCAAAGAATAATCCACGGCACGTTGCACGCATGCACGCACGCACGCACGCACGCTCACAACGGTTGGTAAGCAAAAAAGAAAGATGCACCCTGCGGGCTAGCGAGGACTGTGGTTTGAGAAACAACGCTCCAACTCAGCTGCGAGTTAACTGCGCCGCTCGTTCTTGACGACCACGGCGGGCTCCTGCAGTTGCATAGCGGTCACCTTCTCCACCAGCTCTCTCACGTAGACTTTAAACAGCGGCTCGACGTCCTGCAAGAAGACGCCTCGGTGTCAACACCTAATAGTTTCTAACGCACCACTTAAACCACTTTCCCTGTACAATAGTAGGCATGCAACCATTCACCATCGAGTGGAATGATTAATTTTCACGAAGAATAGTTTGATTCGAGAATCGGTGAAATTTGTGTGATTGTCATCTCAAATAGGATTCTATTTTTTTTTAATCTCATTTGCAGTTTTTTTTCCCTTTTGTCACAGCATATAATTTGCCAAAAATATCTTATTCACAGTTTTCAATGTATCGCAAGTGTAAACATTGATTTGAATCGACGAATCAAAGCGTCGTTACACGCCTACACATCTTTATGCGATTGGTGCACAAAATAAAAATCAACCTTGCAACTGCACCGCAGCAGTCACTGTCATACCTTCTTTTCTATTTGTCTTTGCTTTTCAACAGCCTCCACCAGGGAAAGCCCAACCCATTCTGCCTCCTCTTCTGGAACCACAAACTCCTGTACAACAAGCACAACCGTTGCAGATGCTGCTCAAGTCACAGCAAAATATTTACTATGCCAACTGCCTTTCTTCATGCAATACTTTGCAAGCGTGAACACAACGGTGGGTGCGGGCTGCAACACGGCAAGCAGTTGGCAAGCACAGCAAGGGGGTTGAATCCATCTGCGCGGAGCTTTGAGTTGTTACGCCTTTGCACCCGCGGAATTTCTCCGTGTTCTGTTTTCCTACAATTTTGCCACACACCCATTCATTGAATTTACCAAAAATCATAACGCAGGACTCCCCTGCAAAAGTTTTGGGAATAAAGTGCGGCTTTGCTGAATTAAGGGCATCATTACAGTTTACCCTTCGTTATATATGGGTGGATTCTCTGTATTGCGGATAAACCGTGCTTACGAAAAAAGTACATGTTCACGCGTGTTGCTTTCATTATTAGCTGCTTCTCATTCATCGAGAGTCTGTGCCCATGTGAGTGCATACATGTCGGCAGTTAAATGGATTACTTACAGAAGCAATGAATACAGACAACACATTCTATGTCTTTTACGAAGAAAAACAACAAATATATTTTTTATATCCTATTTTACATCTGTTTTGCATTGTCTGCTTGTATTTTATTCTGGCCACCCCTTCCTCCCCATGACCGTGGATAATCGAGAGGTGACTTTATTTATTAGTTCCTTGCTGGTCAGTTACCTTGTACTTGTCGTAGACGAACTCCCTCTTGACGGGATCATCGGGGTAGAGTTGCGTGTCTTTGCGAGCCAGACGCAGCAGCAAGGTCCTCTTGAGCTCCATGCCAAACTTGGAGTTGAGGTCCTCCTTTGGGGTCTGTTGTAAACAATTGCAGCAGAACATTCAGTGCTCACAAAGCACGATTCTGCATCCGGCAATAGTTCAGGATGTTTCTGTCTCCTTGTTTATATTGGAGTCGCAATGATGCGTACTGCTGCCTGCTATAGGTAAATTGGCCATTGATATTCGGCTCTTGAATCGGTTCCATCTGGTTGTCAATATCCCTTAGGCAGGTATTGTTATTCCATCTGGTTGCCCCTTATGCTGTGGGTATTTATGGGATTAAATCAATTATTTAGTGTAGATGTAGTGAAATAGACATATTACTAATAATGCAGTTGTAAGTTAAATTAACTTAAGTTCATTCACTAGTTGAACAGCTGGCATAACTGCTGATGGAATATCTAATGCGAGTTTATGCCCTATAAACTAAGTGCATTTTAACTGAGAGTTCTTGACTGATGAAAGGAGCAACTGACAGTTGAACAGGGCTGAGCTCTCAGAAACATCTCTCAGGAATTAAATCCCAGCTTGAGTGTCATTTCCCCTTACTGGTCCCACTGGAGATAATGACACTCACTATACTCACTCGCAAACTCAAGAGCAACTTTACAAAATATGTATTATAACAAATCAAAAATCCAACCCACACAATGTATTAGTTCATTCACATCCATACCACGTGGGTATTTACATCAGAGGTGGCCAGGTTAAAAGGGAAAACGAAAAACTGCTCCTTCTGGGTCACACGATGAACACTTCTATACCCGTATCGTCCGGTCTAAACTCTCCGTTTTAAAATGTGGCGAGTTCGTGGTGGGGCCTTCGAGGAGGGACTAAAGATTCACCTTGAGGATGTAAAAGTCAAATCCATAGGCATTGTCAATTAGGTCCAGAGTCCTCATGGTGACGGTGACGCTGAAGGTGTGGTCCAGGATCTCGCTGTACAGATCCCGCTTAAACAGCTGGGGTTTCCACAGCCTGCGCAGCTTCCGCGAGAGCTGGAGGGGCAAGCGACAACACAGCCCGGCTCCATCAGGGTTCTCACGCGAGGCCCCGTACGCGCCTCAGTGCGACGAGAGGCGTTTCATTGTTTGTTTGCAAAGTGTGATGAGATCTCCACTGTGGCTATGGTTGGTGTAACAACAGCACACATTTGTTGCCTACACTCGAGATACTTTCCTTCACACATTTACGCGTCTCCTTTGTAACTAGAGTGGAGTAGGCAATTGCAGGGTTGCACTTTTTCCTTTGATTTCTACCGTCTCAACATGTGTGATGGCTCACTTAGGGAGGTACCACACGGAATAAAAAAACAATATTAAACTACAACTAACTATATATTTTTATTTTACCAGGTAAGGCTCACTGAGTTATATAGATTTATTTCAGAAGCAACCTGGCCACAAATGATAGCTCAACAAAATGGCTTATCACGTGGAAATGTAAAACAGCCAAACACTCTAAACGCGCGTTTCTAAATGTGGAGGGGAAAAGAATTCCACGCGACAACGGGACGAGTTCACGTAAACTCCAAATATACAGCGGGCCGTCAGGATCTGGATCAAATCCGCGACTTCCTGCATACCAGGCGCGGAAGTTAACATCAGTTCAGTTCAGTTTATTTTGGTATAGCCCTGTGAGCCATTCGGCTCTTGAATCGGGTGCAACCACAACAAACAAAAAAACTAAAACACGAACAAGAAAAACATCTTAATGTGACTATGTGACTGTGCAAACAGAAAATCCAGGAAAAAAAACATCAAAATATTCCTGAAAAAAGCACCGTACACCAACGCTGTGTGCAAAAAATCCCAGTGGGATGCAAGTCAAACAACAACAACCACAACAACTTAGATTAAGGCCATCAGTCTAACTCCGTACTACAACAAAACAAACATGTCCAAACCAAAAAACTTTTCCAAATCACCAAAAAGAAGTAATAATTGCAACGTAACAGTGATCACAACGACTGTGACCGAATTTTTACAATAAACTACATAAATAACACGTAACACCAAACCCTAGAGCCATAGCTGGCTGCATGAGTTACTCCACAACAACAGAAGCATCGGTCGGAGTATCAAATTTTTCAATGCACCTTTAAGATCAGCACGCTAAATCAAAATACAGATAATACTTTGCAGCGTCATCCGGAGCGAAACATTTTATTTTATGCCAATGAATAGCAGTGGCAGCTTGGGGTGTACAACTCCTCTAGAGCAGTTTTGAGAGAAGATCTCATGGGTAGCGATCCAAGTTGCAGTTTATTGGCAATAGCATTCCAGACTCTGGGGGCATCAATAGCAAAGGCCCTTCCTCCAGTTTTTGTACGGCAATAGGGAATGTGAAGCTGGTAAATGAGCGAAGACCTGAGGTCAAATTTGTTCTTTGAAACAGAGAGGAGATCCAGCAGATAGTCTGCGGATTTTTTTGTAAGAACATCGTGAATAAATAAGATCTGGTGCACAAGCCGTCGAACATTAAGAGATGTTAAGTTTGATCCAATGTAGAGATCACAGTGGTGAGTCCTATATGGGCAGTTCAATGTAAATCTTAAGGCCGAGTGATAGATGGAATCAAGCTTCTTCAGTACAGTACTTGGGGCTGATTTATACACGATGTCACAGTAGTCAAGTAGAGGCAGTATGGTAGCTTTTATCAATTCCAAACGGAACATTGGAGGGGAAGCAGTGCTTGTGTCGATACAGAACACCAATTTTTATTTGTCTTTTTACCAAATATAATCAATGTGATCTTCAAAATTCAGTTTTGAATCCAGGATGACCCCAAGATACTCATAGATCTTGACTTGCTCTATTTGACAATTATTTAAGGAATGTAATTGGGGAAAAACATCGCCACCGTGGGCTAAAACGGACGGAGCTCCGCCGCGTGCGTAAAACTGTCCGTGGGGCTCAAAGAGGGCCGCCGACCTTCTCATTGTTGGAGTAGGTGAAGCCGTAGAGCCAGCCCTCGCCACCCCAGAGGCCGTTCTGCGACTCGCGCGGATAGTGGACGGGGATGGCCGGGTTGCGCTGGACGCGCCACCGCCTGCCCGTGCGTGGGCACGACTTCCAGCCGTCCTCGCCCGGCACGTAGTGCACCGGGGTCGGGTCTCGGGGCACCAAGGAGCTGCAGGAGAAGACGCGCCACTGAGTTAATCGACGTCTCTGTCTCGATCACTCATCGCTGTGCATGTGTGTCTACCGCTAGCCACTGCCTGTCACTGTGTGCGTCTACCACTAACCACTGTCTACCAGGGGATTGTTCGAGGGGGTGAAAGTGTGCACAAGCATCTGTCTGTCGCCTGATGAAGCTGGTTGTAATTACCGGCGAAACGTCGTACTCGGGTTGTGAATGTTGTGGCTTGGCTCTCCAACACACCGGTTGGTGCTGTACTAGTGACGAATTGGTCACGTTCTGTTTACGTGACGACCCTTACCAGTTGGCTCTGTCGGGTGGTGGCGGGTTTAACGACACATTTATATATTTACGCGATCGAACACCCCCCCCCCCCCAAAAAAAAAACCTCTATTATGGAAAAGCAGACTGTTGTACTGTACTACTATTGCCGCCGTGCTTGGAGCGCCTAACGCTTCCCACCTCCCCGCTCCCTCCTCCTCATCATGATGGTGGTGGTGTTTGTTGTGTTGGTGCGTGGAGCTGTGTAGGGGGGCAGGGGCAACGGGGGTCATCGGCACGCACTCGCGGTAGTGTTGGGGTAGGCGCGCGTAGACCCCTCGCTGCAGCTTCAACGCCTCCCACATCTTGGGCGGGTACTTGTGCAGGGGCATGGCGCCTCTTGCCCGAACTCCCGGAGCGGCGATCGCCGCCTCCGCGCGTCCCTCGAAACAATCGATTGCAGGCGATGTTAAAGAGAGCAACGGCGACGATGTCGATGGATTATTTTGTTGGCGATCGATTAATCGGCCGACGGAAGTCGCCTCCGTCCGCGGGCACCGCGTGTGGGGTGGGTCGCGTCCGCGCCAGGCGCCCCATCGGGCGACTCGATGCGCACCAAGCCCCGCTCACCGCTCCCTACAAACCCTCCGCGTTCATTTAAATCGCTAAAACGCATCGACGAATGTGTTCTTTTCTTTGGGGGTGGGGTGGGGTAACTCTCCAGCGAGGTAAATTCGGAAGCGCGCGCCTGTTTTATTTGTAATTTAGCATCGAGCGTAAATCGTGACATTCTGGTAGCCGTTACAAGAGATATCGATCCCAAGGATTGTCGATCGCAGCTCGCTGCGAGTGATCAGTTTGTGGGCGCATCGAGTCGCCGCTGCCACTCAGCTGAAGGTGACCCCCGCGGGGGGGGGGGGCGTTTCTTAGGTTCCCAAACCACGTGGAACCAGCATGGCAGTCGACGCGCTGTGTGGTAAACACGGCACGCGGAACCGCCGTTGTCAATGATGATCACGGCTGTGTTTGGGGTCCCGCCCCCCCCATAAGGGCACCCTCAGTGGCAGCTGTCTCAGTGCGCACAAGGTGATTCCCCGACTCTTTGTTTTTTTTTCACTCCAGGGCACTCTTCGAGACAGTCTGGTCCCTTCACCGGATGAAGGCCGCTTGTGTTGTGGCCGAAACGTCGTGATTTTTGTTCTTTTTATTTTTTACCTACGTTACTTTACCGAATAGAACCAAAGAATATGGATCCTTGCAGTCACGAAAGCTTCAAATCTAGAATTGATTCCCCGAGTAAACATGACCCAACGTTGCATGTTTACCCGAGCACCTGGTTTATAAACATTTTAATTAAAATCCCTTTGTGATGTCAATAACTTAGGGCAATTGCAAGCACGCATCTCACTGCACCGCTCCGGTTTAGTTTTCTCTTAGCTGGAAAAATAAATACCGGCTACATTTTCTATAGTCTTGGGTTACCCAGAAAGGTGAAGGACTATTCAGTACCCGTTCGTTTAATGTGTGATAATGTAATGCACAGCTCTTGTCGATTAATTTGGTGGATTAATTAAATATCGTGTCGGTCACGGAGCTTGCTTCGCCAAAACTTAACCAGTGCCCGTGGGTGCAAATGGTTGCCTGAGACTCATTCAAGTGCCATTCGCCACTCATCCTAGCCGCTTCCTGGAGTCGAACTGGGGTTCACCGAGCTCAAAAGCACCGTGCGATACATCTCCACGAGCCGTCCAACAACTCTATCCACTAGGTGGCAGCAAATATATAAAAAATACTGTAGAGGTGGTCCCCGAACTTACGACGGATGCGTCACGACGACCCCGTCGTAAGTCGGAGACTACCTGGACCCAAAGTTCGCGCATCGCAACACGGACCGCCTTTAGAGCAACAGGCGGCATGGCAATTTGACAAGTGTCCTGTAGCCTCCGCGTCGCTTATTTGTATCAATTAAAATCATAATTAATCATTGTCCACGGTTGGATGAAGGTTTCCCCAGCTCTTCGCCCTCTGGCGGTTATGCAATAAATGCAAAAATCCACGTCGCTCCTGCACAACAGCTTATTCCATCGCTCCATCTCCACGGCTGTCATCAAGGTCGTCGTCTTTTCCCTCCTTCGCCACTGCGTCGTTAGTGTCGACCTCGGGTCGTCATCATCGTCATACCCTCAGTAGGGACGTGTCCTGCCCACGCCCACTTTATTTTATTTTTTTATTTTAAAACACAGCTGCTCACTCAAAACTGATTATTAAATACCATTCTTAGAAATATGTTTTTTTTTTCCTAAACCATGCACGTTCAGTCTGTACCCCACGTCACCCATCGATTACGCCGAGCATAATTTACGCAATGACTAAAACTAATGTGAGCATAACCAGGCGCACGTTGCTATGCAGATATCCTGTTTGTATACACAAATAATTTATACTCATTTAATTAAAAAAACACAATAATAATGTATTGCTGAGATTTTGTTTGAAACAATATTTTGGGGCAGACTGGTATTCGTCAAGACGTTATTATGATACAAAGATATTGTAGTGTGTGTGCGCATAGACGGGCAGAGATCACTCTCACGAAACTTGTGGAGAATATAAATAACCTGTGAGATCGGCAGTTCGCCAGCAATGATTGAAGCAAGCCTGGACTGCTGATGCGACACTGTCGAAACCGGTCCAGCATTTGGTCTTGAAACAATGCTGCTGAAATTATGCACCCACAGAAGGCCGTCCGGCTGGTGGGTTGTATAATATTTTATTTTTCTTTAACGTGAAAAGACGGATATGCGAACAAGACGTATTGTCTGCTCATTTGTTGATTTTACCAATCTCCGTTCAAATACAAATTAATTCGTTGCACGTGGAACGCTCCTGATGATTAATAAACACAACCCACGTGATCCAGAGTTCTGATTCAAACTGATAATACGACAAGGGATACACGTGTACACACATACACGTCTTTATAATTACATACATGTTTACAGGTTACCTATCCGGATTTTAAGATGCTTAGGAAAGTAAGACTCATCCCAGACCTTTGTGCCTGGTGTCAATAAAGTTATACGATTCTGGTCACACACACCTACCGGATAAGACGCACCCCCAACTTTTGTTTGAAAATGCAAGACAAGGCAATTGAAATTGCGCCTTATAATGATTCAGATAATACGGGACATGTGTAAGAGCGTCAAGCAGGAGCGAAACATTGTAATCCATATTGCATCGCAGGCCTGCTTCCAGCTCCTCTCGGAAGGGGGACACAGTAGAGCTAATGTTGGGGTGCCCTATTACGGTGATTTACTGCTAAAGGGGAGAGTGAACTGGGGGGCGGCGGGGGGGGGCAGAGGGACATTTGGTTGGTGCAGGGCACATCCTGGCACCCACATATCTCCGGCCCTGTTCACTGCATCGCGCGCGCTTTCAAGATCCGCTTTTGCAGCCGTCTGGAACGCTCTTCCTTACGATATTCGGAATCCACTGGGAGATATGGTGCAGTTTTTAATAATCTTGATTGAAAGCTCATTTCTTTAGAACTGCTTTTTTTGTTTGAGCTTGGTGTCCTTCCCCTGCACCTCCGATTAGCACGGTTGGCTACGTACGGTGTGAAAGAAGTTCAACATACACACGTATAGTTTTATGATCACGATATATATAGACAATAGATCGTGCAAGTATGAATGAATTATTTATCAGCAATGCAAATAATACGGATATGAAATGCGTAGTTTAAAAACTCTCTTTTACAATGGACGAGTTGAAAGTGGAGTGCACTCTAGCCACTGCACCACCACTCCGCCCGTATGAAAATGACTTTACAGTAAAGGTATATGCCAATATAACCGTTGAGGCTAGTGGAACGAGCGAAACTGATAAAATATTTGTATACCAGACAGACGGTACAATGAATGACTGCCGATAAAGAATGCATACACATAAAAACGAAACCTCTAGCAATGTGTTGTTCAAGCTACCTTTGGCGGAATGACCTCCAATTAGAAGGAGCTCGAGAGAGCCCCTCCAATGGGTGTTTGGCCTACTCTTCCATGCCGGCCAACCCAGTAAACATGGAACGTTGGTCCAACGTTGGGCCAACGGTTCCAACCATACGCCAACGTCTGACCCAACGTTGCACCTCTACTGGGGCAGACCGCTCGGCAGAGAGTGGGAGTACCCACATTCTACCCCACCACACGCGCCTCGCCCATCGACTAAATGTGGTTGTTTCTCCCTGAAAAAGTTCTCGGTGGACGGAAGCGAGCGGGGCATTCAAGAAGCGTGTCCGTTATTTTCGGTTGCCGCGTCCGGAGATCGAACTGGCAACGCCCAGCCGTGATTACAATCACACCACACGGCAGAATTGTATAATGTACATACGCACCGCACCTTGTAATTCGTTTTGTTATATATATGTACAAAAAAAACAATTTATAGCGTTAATGTTCGGGTTGGGTTTTTCACTCACAGGGCCAGGCTCAGACGCAAGTTGGAGAACGTTCCAAAGCTTTCGCGCTCTCGGCGCTTAAAGAGTTAAAAGTGAACCGAGTAAACTCCCCTAACTCCCTCCCCACGGGCTGGTGACGCTTGAGTCAATGGAGAGCAGACCGAGTCCACTATCGAGTACTCGGATCAAAAATTAAATCCACGGCCAAATCACGCGAAAGGTGCCCGGTTTCGTCAGATCTCGGAAGCTGAGCAGGGTATAGACGGAAATGTTCTTGGATGGGCGGCCGGCATGCATACCGGGCATCTGTGGGGGAAACAAGCTTTATAGCTCATCGGATTTCTGCAGTGCAAAATCAATATTCTGATGTGTTGCGTGTGGGCTGTCGAGGCGCTACGTTAATCAGCAGAAGAAAGTGCAGTCAAATCCATTGTTGTACAATACCATGCTATGGCTCCAACGTCTATGCTTTCTGCCTTCACAAACCCGCACTGACCAGCATGGTGAAGTATGGCCAAACAACCAGCCATGATCCGTAGGGTGCGGGAAGAGCTCTCAACCAACGCTTCATTGAATAAAAAAAATAAGCTGTCCGTGTGAACAGAGCCCAGCGTGTGTGTGCCGCGCGTTCAGGATGACGTACGACGTTTCGCTGTACTCGCTGGGGAGCTTGTTCGGGAACCGAATTCAGTGAATAAACACGAACAACACGCGGCTATAACCAGGGATTATACAAAACAAAACAAAAAACCCAGAAGAACCGAATTAAAATTCCTGAAAGGGCTCCGAGCACGCGGAGCGAAACGTCGGGTCGAAGGAGAACACACATCGGAGAGCAACAGAGGGCGAATGAAGACGCGGGGGTGAATGAGGAGGGGGCAGCTGGCAGGGGCGAGGTGCGGGCGACACAGAGGGGGCGGGAGCAATAGACCTTGGGCGTCGTGGGGGGGGGGGGGGGCAGCAGTGAGTGCGTAAGCGAACGAAGAGAGAGGGTGGAGTCCTCCTCACCCATCCCCGTCATCTCGTCTCTGAGCTCGTCTCAGCCCCCTTGGGGAGCCCCCCCCGCCTCCCTCCCCCTCTGCCCCCCCCCGGTATAAGTGGCCGTGCGAACCGTGGAGTGGATTGTGACGACGCGAGCTCAGGAATGCGCGGTCTGGCACCGCGCGG